TAATTGTTTGTCAAAAAGATTGTTTAAGTATTGTTACTTAAGGACTAAAATATTAAAACACCAGGTGGCAAGAAGCTGAGGTAACTAGTTTTACATCAAACTACGTCAAAATGCCGATGTTCAGTTCATATATTAACCGAACTTCGGCTGATATTGAACCGAATCTCAGGCAGAGTTTTCGTTCGGACCGAATTTTCACCTAATTTTGGTTAACCCGTAACCAACCAATCTCTAATTGCTTAAACATGCACTGCATAAAAAATATTTATTTTTGCTATCAAATCTACGAGGCAACCAACGTTTATTGACGTTATTTGGTAAACTTTTATTTTCGATTTGTTATCGTTCCATTACTTTTTAAAAGCTAAAAAATAATATTTTTATATATTTTAAATTGATTGAATTCACACATGCGAGAATCAAACCCACAGCCACAGCGTTTTGTGCTGGTGCCCTCGATACCGCGGGTTCAAGTCCGCGCCCAAAGCATTCAATTTTATCAATGATATAATATTAATTTGAATGATATGATAGATTATATTAATTTCAAGATATTATGTGTATGAGAAAAGTAACAATGGTTTAAGTTAAGTTACACAATATAATAATAATATTTTACATTAAACACTTTTACCGTTTAAAATGCGAAAATATTAGACAACTTATTTACATGGTGACGTGGAGGCATTACTGCTGCAAAGTTTCAGTAGGTAAACTTAAGGTTAGAAGTGTTTTATTTAACTGTTATAAGTTATAATTTTACTCGATATTAAGACACGGCAGGATTTGGAGCGGGCGTGCCGTGTTTGCTCTTACCGATTGAGCTACCTTTTTAATTTTTTTCCTTTGTGATTTTTAATTTATATAATGCTAAATACAGTTGGTGGTTTACACGAGTAGTACACATTTAAATAAAAGACTCTAACGGTTTAAAACGCGATATATGTTGGTTAAACTTATTAAAAATGATATTACTACGGCGCTACGTTTCGGATGCTTTGCAGCAGCCGTGGTCTTTCTTTTAATCCGGTACGCTCTTGACAGAGCGGTCGTGATCGCTATGTACTCGTAGTCTTAGAGGGGGCAGATGTGATCCGTTTCACGATGTTTTTCCATTGCTGCCTGCTAGAGGTCATCCGGCTGCACTCGTTCAGCGAGCCTCCAACCGCTGCCTTGATCTGGTCAGTCCATCGTGTGGGTGACCTTCCGCGCGGTCTAGTGCCTTCCACCTTTCCTTGGACAACAAGGCGTTCTATAGACTGGTTGTCACGCCGGGAAACGCCGGGAAATAAACTACAGCCGTGGTCACAAGGAGACAATATAATGCCATCATATTGTGCAATACACACGTATAACTTGTAGAAATATTAAAGTTTCCAAATGTGTACTACTCGCGTAAACTACATACAATACTTAAACATATTTAATAACGTACGTATTTCCAAAGCGAAAAACATTTCGCGTCCCTTCTGAGTCAGATTCGTATAAATGTAGTCCCTATACAGCAATGGATAGTTAAAAATCATAGTTGTCTTCTCCCTGCTACGTAATTCCTGCGATACTAGGAAATTAATTAAAGTGAAAAATATTATTTCCTTCATCGTAACGTAAAAATGGCAATTTCACCGTAAAACGATCATTAAGTCGCGCAAAGCGGAAACTAGTTTCACGTACAATTACTCAATTAATGGCAATATGCTGTAAATAGAAGACTGGGCTGCGAAATACCTAATTATTTTTCTTCTTCAACAAAATACTTACTTTCCCACGGGTGGCTTGCGTTAAATCTATGACGCCGTCGAGAAACAAGCGTTTCGGTTTCAGCCCGAGTATTAAGCGAATCGGCAAAATTGTGTTGTCGACTTATTTTTACATTTTGTGGCCGCCTAAATCAAAAATTATTAGTACTAGCTTTGCTCGCGACTTCGTTTGCCCGCAATAGTTATTATGGGCATCGTATTATTTGTTTTTTCGAACACACTCCTTAGCTTTATAAACTACAGCTGTTAGAGTTTATTTTCAAATGATAGCTTTTACCATGACGCGTCTCGTCGTTATTGCGAGTCAATTTTAAAAGGTTTAAAAGCCGTATGTATACCTATGGTTGCGGACATTTTGTTAAATTATTAAAAAAATCAAAAGAACCCGTTTCCGCAGCGAACGCAACGGAATTGCTCAAACATCAAAAATTTTCCCCATTTTTTCCAATACCCTCTGTATCCAGCGATCCTATTGGTCGCAGCCAGATGTTTTATAGCCTTCCTCAATACATGGTAAATAGCAATAAATGAATGTAATCAGTAGTTAATTTCCTGAGATTAGCGCGTTTAATAAGTGAAAATAAAAACAAAATCCTCTTGCTCACACTAAGCGGTTCTTTAATTACGAGGATATAACAAAAAAAACTGAAAGCATAAACATAACAACATTCTATTTAACACTGAGTTTCATTGAACAATATAGTTTATTAACTTGGTTTTAAAATACCATCGCCTAAATATGTACGATTGAATTCATGTAAGCCCCATGCCTGTCTACCTATGTCAAATCCGTACTTTAAAAGCTGTTATACACAATGCTGTCAGGTTGAGCAAAATTATCAAAGGCTTGCAGGTCTTGAAATGAACGTTAATTATGATAATGTGGATTATATCTTATAATCAATCTAGATATTACGTGAAACGGATAACTGATTAACATTCCACGAAGTACTGCATTGTTAAATTATTTTTCGTAGTTCCACCATTAAAAAGTATAATCATTTTCACCTCAAATTGGTGTGAATGTAGAATCTGTAGAAATAAAGATGTGACGTGATGTCATATCGAATGTCCCTAAGCTGGGGCAGAGGGTCTAACAGTGATGCTTCTTAGCGGTCTAGAGCTTTTTATCTCTCCAAGTACGTTTCATGTACGTAGACTGTGGTGTTTGATTGGAGCTGCTACACTCTGCAGTCTCCTTGTGAATGTTCAATCAAGCGCGAGTTTTTAATATTTAAGCCAGTATATTAGCTTAACTAAGTGAGCAAGATAGTAATTTGAACCGCATAAAGATTCGTGCAGTACTTTTGTAGATTAGTGTACTACACAGATAAACAAAACTATGTACTATTCTGACCGCCACTGTAGCCAAATGGGTAAACTTGTAGTCTAGCATTGTGGTAAGCGCGGTAGATACTGGGTTCGCATTTCGATCGGTCAGGGCACAAATGTCTGATCTACTCACCTGTAAAAGATCTGTGAAACGAACACATAAATATGTCCGCCCCATGCCCCGTAGGTAAAAACGGGATTTCACTTTAATTTTAAGTTTAAACATAGAATTGAGCAATGATGGTTCTCTGGTATGTAGACTCGGCGAATGTGGGTGAGGTCGGGAATCTGATTTGACTTCAATGACGAAAATCAACAAAATGATGGAAAACCCAGCATAGTTAGAAACCAAAATTGGCGCCAGACGCATTTGGCCAGAAGTACGTGTCGTTTAAGGGCCGATGACATAACATAGAGAGTTCGTCCATGACCATCAATTTGCTTGCTGAATTATTATTAAAGATAGTAGATACAATCTCTAACCAAATTCAATATTATGTTCATGTTAAGCAGATAAGGCCTGTAATAAAAGTTTTACAAAGACCAAGGAAACGAGACTAAAAGATTAACTCAGGTAGGATAATAAATAATCCTAGGGAAGCTATACCTCAATAATTATATTAAAATTGATATGGTTAAAATTTAACTTTTATGACATTGATAAACGATAATTAGGTCTACGTTTCTGATTGGTCAATTGTGTTTATTCAGAAGTAAATCAAAACTTGGGTCCGTATATTTTTATTTATAGCCTTAGGCAGAATCGCAAATATACATTTTGATAAAACACTTCAACAATTTGAAACGCGATACATATTAGTTGAAATTATTGTTGTTAACGTTTTGACGAAACTCGCCGGGCCAAATAATAACTTCACCAGAACAGATGGCGCTATCGTAGCAGTTTTTACTTAGACGCCAGAGACACCCTCATCTTTTGTCACTCCGTGACCACGGCCGCTGCAAAGCAGCGAAACGTAGGGCAGTAGTTAAAATATTTTTTAAGTAAGTTCAACTAATATATATCACGTTTTGAACCGTTAAAGTGTTTTATTTAAACGAGTACTACTCGTGAAACTACAGACGCTTTTTAATATACATCTTCTCTTGACAGCCATGCACTGTACACCTGTTATTTTTGGCTTACCGTCGTATATATAATCCGCTCTCATATTTAAATTTCTGCTTTTTGAGCAAGAGTTGCTTTAGTGGTTTGGATTGTGTCCAATTATTAATATTGTACAATTTTTCATAAGGGATGACTTTGACGTACACTTGTTGTTATATGTATGTTCTCAGCTACAACTAATTGAGAGGTTAAGGGGAGGAAATTATTTTATTGACGTAGGTAACTATGAACGTCACACCAGTTAACAACTAAAGACTCTAAATTAACATTTACTACCAGTTCTCAAATCAAGAGTGCACAACGAAGAAGAACTGGCAAGAAACTCGCCACCATTTTATTATCGTCAAGTTTCATTCTACATTCTTCAGTTTAATTATACTACATGTTCTTCTTGTTGGAGCGAATTCCTCCAAAGCCAAGGTATTTTATCGATGATATAGATTTATAAAATAATCGATATTTCTAACTTACGGCCACAAAAATGTGTTCATTCTCAACTTGAGGAAAAGGGATTTTAGTATGTATGTATGTAATTTACTTGATAAAAGTGAGATACAATGAATGATGAAGAAGTCGTTGTCGTAGATTTCGCAGAATAGATAAGAAATTAATACATTGCGTATACTTAGAGGGCGTGTCTTAATCGTACGTATTGTATGTTATCACAGCGGATCCCTATTAATTTATAACAAACAGATAGGACCACAGTGTCAATACCTTTGGTCAGTACGTAATGTAATCATTAACAAACAACAACTCGGTTTAACGTACGTAACATCATGTGGGACACTGTCTGCGTTGCATTTTTTTGCACACTGTGCCTATATCTGTTGAAGAAAATCGTGCAAAGTGAACCAAATAAGATACAATTTCATTTTAAGTTCTCCATATTCTATTTAACAGGCAGCTTTTTGGCGGCTTTCGTTTGGCCGTACTTCCTTCTGGATCCGAAAAATGTAAAGAATGCGAAGTAAGTGCCTTTTATTGATTTTAAAATTAATAAGTATACAAAGAACGTTGGTTGTTAGTAAAAATTCACAATTATTTTTTATTTATTACATCTTGATGGATTCTTTACTGGGCCTAATAATACTAACCAAATAAAAGCTTTTTAATATATAACTATACATTCATTATACTCTAATCGTTTCAACTTATTTACATCCCACCGCTGGTCATAGGCCTCCTCTCTAAAAAAGCTTAGACCAATCAAGAGCTGCAGTGTTCTTCTATAACCACTTATTTAAAAATAACGTGCTCTCCAAAACATGAAAAAAATGATAACACTTGGAATTCGAACCCCGGACCTTTAAATTGGGTCTAATAACTAACTACAGGACCTAAGAGACAACTTTAATCTACACAATGACATAAGCGGAAACACAAAAATTTTATTACAAGTCATTATAGTTGACCCTCAAACTGAAGCTGAAACTCAACATTTATCATAATTCAAAAACCTTTTATCACGAATGATTTAGATAAAATTTATACAGAGTGACGACCTTCCTCGTCAAAACATAATTCATAGATAATGTTTATCTCAATTTTAATTACAATTAACTACGTTGAGTTTGCTACAAATAAAATATTACCGTTTGTTAAAACTATATTCATATACGCTTTTAGTATTTCTTATATGTAACGCAATAATGAAATGTATTTTACTCATATCATTTTGTTGACAAACAAAACATTAATAACGTGATAACGTCCATAATTATCACACATAAATACATACACATTACAGTTCGACTACTCTTTTCTGTAATTACAATTAAACTATCAAACGAAGGAAAAGAGGTAAAGAATAACAAAGACGATTTTCTTTAAATATTTCCTCAAATAGTAGTAAAGATACACATAGTCAAGAACTGCCTTTAAATTAAAATGAAACACTTTAACGGTTTAAAACGCGATTTAAATTAGTTAAACTTATTTGACTAACAACGGCCCGACGTAGTTACAATAATTTTGATATAATTTGTTATTTGAATGTGTAGTACTACTCGCATAAACTACAGGCATTTCCTTTAAATTTGTCTTCGTATACACGAATCACGAAATTCATTACAAAGAAATGCATCAATTTCAGAATTGGAGCTGAGCTTTTAAAGCACGTAACCAAGGTTTACGGTTTACGATGGGAACTTCGTAGAGGAGATATTTTAGCAGAGGAGCGTGGAGCAATTATTGTTTCAAATCATCAATCATCTCTGGACATATTAGGTGACTTTTTCTTACTATTGTGATATAATTATGTACCACAGTAGCCAAACGTTAGGGAAAAACCAAACCAAGAAACCATAAAATATGTATGAATGAAATTATACCTCTCTTAAACTGTCCGCAACAGTATATGTATTTTAGACTAACGCGCAAGAACATCGGGACGCAGGCGACGTCGTCGGTAACACCTATAACTTTAAAACTGCGGGGGAAACAAACCTTGGAAATAAAACTTGGATTTCATACAAGAAAGCCAAAAGGCTCTCTAATCTAAAAACGCTACACATAAATATAAAATAAATAAAGTATAATATTCGCAGTATAGTTACAAGTGAATATTAGTTTTGTCCTTTACGTCAAATAGTTTAAGACTAAAAAAATTGTATGAAATCTTATTTATATTGTTTCGACCTTGGTACGAAATTAATAATTTGAAAGCCGAGAGCCATGCCACTATAGTGTAAAATAATATAGTAAAGTGAAGTGAATCATAATTAAATTCCAGGTCTTTTTAATATATGGCATGTTGCGGACAAACTAACAGCCATTGCAAAAAAGGAATTATTTTACGTATGGCCGTTCGGTTTAGGGGCTTACCTCGCAGGAGTCGTGTTCATAAATAGAAGAGACAAAAAGGGCGCATATAAGCAGCTCGAAACGACAGCCGAAGTCTTGAAAAATAAAGTAATTATTACAGCGTATCTTATCTTTAGATTTGTTATATCCTTATTATACCATATTATCTATCGTATATCTCTTAATGCAAGTCACGTTTTAGGCTGAGACATTTTTATTTTTATAGTTTTCCCGAGTTAGTTAAAATGATACAGGTTTTCTCAACAGACGAAAATATGGCTATTTCCGGAAGGAACCCGAAACAAAGATTACACAAAGTTGCTGCCTTTTAAGAGGGGGGCGTTTTCTATGGCTATATCTGCACAAAAACCGGTGATACCTGTAGTTTTTTCGCCATATTACTTCATTAATAGGAAGAAATACATATTTAATAAAGGTAATTAAACATCCTAAGCAGTAAACATTTGCATAGAAATTTGTTTATTAGAATGATCTTCATTTTCAGGTCACGTTGTTATTCAATGCCTTGAACCCATATCAACTGAAGGAATGACGATGGACGACGTGTCAAGTCTGATGGAAAGGGTCCACAATTTAATGCAAAAGACGTACAAAAATCTTAGTAATGAAGTTTTCAGTTCCTTACCTCCCGACTATCCACTTACATTGGAGGGCTAATAAGTCTAGTTTATACGATATATTAAGTGTTATTTAAAAAAAGTGTTTTAGCTAATTATAGATATATTTAAAAAGATATTGATTAAAAAATATAGATTTTTTTTAATTATAGGCTTGTAAGTAGAATAAAGTATAACAATAGTAACGACACGGTCTAGAACATTTATTATCTATAATTTATTAACTATGCCTCAGGAATATTTATATATTTTTTTAAATATTTAATGGCCTGGTAAATCTTTATTAAAATAGGTATCCCAATGAGAATAGACCACAGACTCTGCTAATTATCGTAGAAGTTTAAAATGTGCAATTGTCATTTTATCTTGATTTTGTTGTACAAAGAATATGTTACCTAGTAGATTGGGTTTAATTTTAAAGGTAATGTAATTTACTAATTAACAGTCAACTATGCCATTGCCAATTGATCGCCCTGTAGACTACTGCCGTAGTACGCACTTTTTTTAAAGAACATGGATACAAGTCAGTTCGCCGAACTTTATTCTGACACATTTTTATTATGTCGCCAAAAAACATTTAGTTACTCTACGTGTTTCCATATTGAGCCTTAAGAGTTTTTTACGGTACAACTCAATCACTCATTAATAATAACACAAAATATGAAATAATGAAATTAAAATATATATTCTGCATAAGAGGCTGTCTAAACAATTTATGCAAATTCAAAATAAAATACCAAATTTATTGTGCAACATTACTTTTGTCTTGTAACGTTAAATAAAATTACAATTAATTTAGTCTTATAGTTGACTTTAAACAACATCCAATGGCAGCACTGAGTATAGCCAATGGACTCGTATACGAGTCGTGTAAACGAATAAAGAAGTAGACAGTAGTAATTGTTATTATTGTTGAATTGCGCTTGTAAAATGTAAATTGATCCTAAGATAATCTGACGTTCGCTTCGAAAGCTGCGGCGCCGGTTTAAAATAAGTCCACTGTGTTGCGAAGTATATTTTTAAAACTATGTGTAAATAGCTGTTATTACTCACAAAGAAAATACATAAATACAAACTATCATTAGTTTTGTTTTAATAAAAAGTAAATGTCAATCGTGTGTATTAAGTGCTTCCTGAAGTGTACGTGAAAACTAACAAAACAAATATATCAACATTATACTTAGTTTTATTTAATTATCTAACAACCACGATGTGGGATAAAATTATTTATATTTGTGTAATAATGCTTGCTACTTACATTCTGAAACAACTGTTTTCGGAAACGCCGAATAACGTAAAGTTCCAATCAAAATTTCTCGTTTTTTACATTTGGACCTCATTTGTGGCATTATTTACATTGCCATTTTTCGTGTTCAGACCGAAAAACGTTAAGAATTCCTTGTAAGTATGTTATACAACTCATTAATATTTGTATATTATGTTTCCTTCTTTATATTCTGCTTCATTGATTCGTCTAATTTGGAATGTTGTTACTTAACGCTAATTTCATATTTAAAATGTTATTCTATTCACTTCCTGATTAATTTTGAATGTAGTCAAATGTGTAAAATATGCAAATACTCTTTGTTTTTCATAATAATTTATGGGCTGACGATAATTGCTATATGAGTTTGTAAATATAATTTTAAATAAGCACATAACTGAAAATAAATATTTCAGATGTGGTGCTCAAATTGTGAAACATGTTACAAAATTAATAGAGGTCAAGTGGCATTTAAGAAATGGAAGGGTCCTCGCAGAAGATAGGGGTGCTGTCATAATATCAAACCATCAATCTTCAATTGACATATTAGGTATGTATAAATCAAAGGAAGCCATGATAATAATAATACTCTTTACTGCACAAAAATATTTATACTTAAATAGAACATAGACACTTAAAACAATATATACAAATAAAAAATGTTTGTGCAAAGGTGGAATATGGCCTATGGAGATTTCTTCCAAGCCAACTTAATGTATATATTTTAATGTAATATGTCACTTTTTATCTATTATATATTAAAAAATAATAAATAATTCTAGGTTTATTTAACGTATGGCATGTAGCTGTTAAAATAGCAGCTATAGCAAGAAAAGAACTGTTTTACATCTGGCCCTTTGGGCTCGCTGCATATCTTGCTGGAGTCGTGTTTATTGACAGAAATTGCACAAAGGATGCATATAAGCAACTTAAAGTTACATCCGATGTTATGGTAAAAAATAAGGTATGGTTCTTTAATTCTAGGTACAACCTATAACATAATATATATTTATAGGTGCTGAAAAGCAAAATTTTGGTGTTTCAATATTGTTTTTTTTTTATTTGTGATAAAATATTGTCTCAGTTGTCTCTTGAGTAAAATAATGTTCTATCAGTAGTTTATCAAAATAGAACAAATTAAACAAACAAAATGTATATCAAATGGTTTTGCTTGGCACGTTATTCAAGTGCTGGTAAGTTATTAATATGTATATATAATAACCATTTTAAGTTGTACTTTAAAATCCATAAGCTAAATCATTTGGCGTTTCAATTATTTAAAAGTTATGAAAATAATCTATGCAAGACATCTCTTGCCTAATAAGTGATTCCTTAAGTGTACATACTTGTATGTCTTCACATATATTTAGTGTTAAGCATTATGGGTTTGACCCCTATGATAAAAATGTAGCATCTCAATACTTCATAGTTTAATATTGTATGCTCAGAATTAGTTACAATGGCTCTAATCATGGTACTTGAATGACCATTACGCCCACCAAATCCTAAATTGATATACAAGGTTTATTCCTTTAAAAGATATCCACCTACAGTAATAACTCCTGATTCTATCAGAACTACCAAATCCATATCAATTAGATTCCGGTTACAAGAATTTAACTTACAATATGCTCTTTTGTATTGTTTCAAAACAATCTCCTTTGTTTTAAACAATAAAGATAGTCCAGTGCCTTGAACTAAAGTGAGCATCGTTTTTATTTGTAAGTCAGTATGCAAGTAATTGTTTACGAGTTGTATTCTCATGTTACACAATACTAAATTCCAATGAGTGCTGGCAAGCATTTTAATTACTTGATATTACATTTCCAAAAATTCTAATGTTGCTTAATTGTAAAACACATTGCCTAGCACTGACTTAAGCACAAGTGGTACGGGTACGAAACCTTGAATAAAATATAATACATTGTTATGACACATATGTTATAAAAAACTTTAAGTGTAGTAAAATTAACAGTGATAAAAATAATTACAGACGAAAATATGGATATTCCCTGAAGGAACAAGAAACAAGGACTTCACGAAGCTACTACCTTTTAAAAAAGGCGCTTTCAACATCGCTGTGGCAGCACAAGTACCGATTATCCCTGTCGTTATATCACCGTACTACTTTATCAATAGGAAGAAAAATATCTTCAACAAAGGTATTATTATTTACTAGCTGTGGTAGCGACTTCGTTCGCATAGAATATTTAATTTAGGCATTAAATTACTTTTTGCAAACCTCCGCCCCATCTAACTGTTACCCCCCACTCCCCCCCAACCTCAGAGATTAGCGCGTTCGAACAAACAAACAAACTCTTCAGCTTTATATATTAGTATAGATAGATGTGTGTGTGTATAATTGTTATGTTCCTGCTGTATTAATATTGTTTGTAAGTGTCTATATGAACTGTAATGTCTACTGCATTAATATTACACTGTTTTTTTTTAAAACATTTCAGGCCACGCGATCATCCAGTGCCTAGAACCAGTTCCCACAAAGGGCTTCACGATGGAGGATGTGCCTCAACTAATAATTAAAGTCCAGAACATTATGGAAATTGCATACAAAGAGCTGTCGAAGGAAGTAATCAGTGCCTTACCGCCTAATTACCCACTTGCTACTCAAGACTGAGTAAGAAAATTATTGGGACTATTAATCTCTTATCGAATCCTTGTATTTTAATTTGATATGAAATTTATTGGGCAGCAAATTGGTATCTAAATGCGTAACTAAGATTTTTAAAATGAATTTTACTAATGGTCCTCGCACACAAGCCCCCATAGCTACAAAACACTTAACTCAATATGTAAAAAAAATCTTCTAGTGATTTTTTGTGGCTATAGCTGATAGCGTATGTGCGGGGACTCTAAGACTAAGCGCAAGAGACTCTAGTCACTAAGTGGATTGTCTTGTGCAATATTCGTACTCAATTACTAACTCAAAATGTCTTTTTTCACTATTTTAGTTTTAAGATTGCCATTTTAGTTAAGCTTATGTACTAAGAATCATTGTATACACTTTTACGTATTTAGTTTTGTAGGTATTGTATTTTTTTTAGTGATAACGTGTGCTTTAAATATAATAATACTGTGGGCGAGACACAATTGTAAAAAACTGAGGCTTATAACTGTTTGTCTGCAGAACCTCGCCCAAAGCTGTACGAAGCCAAAAATGACGCTAATTTAAGAAATAGGGATCTTTGAGGCTCAATATTATTTACTAATCCCTTGTAATTGATTAGGTTCCATTTCGGACGATTCCAAGTTTACATTCCAATGTTTACATACCTTCTTGACTTTAGTGACCTATTAAAATCGCCCTTTTTACATTGAGCTAAGCAAAACACTATAACTGTTTAAAACGCGATATATTTTAGTTAAACTTGTTTGAAAATTATTTTTAACTACAGCCCTACGTTTCGGATGCTTTGTAGCAGGGAGACAAAGCATCCGTTAAAGTGTTTTATTTAAATGACTACAGACAGTATTTGAGCATAACATACTGAATTCATTTCCAAGTAACCTCATATTTTTAGAAAGAGTTCTTTGTACTTGCCAAAAAATATATTTAGTAATACTTAAAAATGCAAAGCAAATTGGTGACAAATTAAATCTCTACACATATACAGTATGTAGTCGTTTCAAACATGTCACAGACAACATACTGTATATATATATATATATTCTGTCCCTTTTTCAATGTCCAAATAGACGAACCACTTAACACCAAAACTGTGATAACCTCATTCAAAGATGACTCAAGCAGTGCCCCCAATAAATACGAAATAGGCTCGCCTCTCGTTATTGGATCACAATGACACAAACAACTTTCCTCGTTGGCTTGCTTCTTACAGAATACCAATTACTTATTCTGTCATCGGTTAATTTATTTAATTTCATTGCGTGTTTGTACTCTCAAACATTGAGTAACAGCTTGCGCGTGAGGTGAATCTGTTATTTGATTATCACTGTATGTTAACATACTCGACGTATTTCAAAAACCCGTAACAAAGTATCACGGTGACTAGTTTGATATTAAGGGACCGTAAGCACTTGAGTCTTAAGTTCCAATCCTGGGTTACCTATTAACTGTTTCGATCAGGTAGAGCGCAGAAGTCTGACCAACTACTTGCCAGTTAATAAAACTGATCCGTGAAGCGGACACAGAAATGTGGTTCGGAGAGACGGGATTTCACTTATTATATACATATATATAGTAAAATACTTGAATGGCCCCTATTCAAATAATATAGTTCGCATTTTAAACCGTTAAAAGGATTTTATTTAATGTTTACCATTCGCGTAAATTACAGATACAAACATCTTCATTAATTTTTAATTAAAATTAAGTAGAAAAATTACTGCAGTACTGTCCAAAGTGAAGCATTGGATATGTATTTTATATATTGAGTCCGACTAAACAAATCCAATTATGTGAAGGTAACCAAATGCTATATTACAAGTAGACTGTAGAAAAGCGATAATCACTAGTCTGCTCTACTTTTTGAGGCCATATTTGTAATATTATCTATTCAACAAACAGAACTGTTAATCAATTTCGAGTATTCAATATAAAAATAAATAAAAGGCTAAATTAATTACCAAAAATAAATGTCAAACAATTAACTTAAAAAAAAAATTAACAATACAAAATGTAATTATTAATATGTATATCGTGATACAACTAGTCCTAAATTCCTTTGAAGTATTTTAAAATTGTGATGTTTGATACTTTCGTGTTTCCCAATTTTGATAGGCGATTTTCAGATCTAGTATTTTGATACTAATTGACACTACGTAGATATTGACGTATTTAAAATTTGTATTTTATTTATGTATTATTACTGTGACTTGTATAGATGTAAGCGAGGGTCGATCCAGCTGTTAAGTGATAACGTCTAAACAAAATGTGCTACCGCCTTATTTTGACGTTGGAAACGCAACGTTTCTGAAAATTTCAAAGGAAAAAATAAGGAAAATCTTAAAACCAGGTAACCGAAATCCTTAAGACGGCTGCATTTGCCCTTCTATGTGTGGCGAAGCTTTTTATAAAAATTAATGAGAATCAAATATGTATACTCGATAATGTACATCAAATGCCTGTGCGAACTAAATTTAATATTATGTTTATATAAAAATCGATTTTAGATTGAAAAATTTTACGACCCTGGCAGGACTTGAAACGGCATCCACAGCCATGTTCTCGGTTCTGGTTAGAGAACCAATTGAGCTACCGTGTCCTACCCATCTTCAAACTTTTTCAACCTATACATGCCCCTATTGCGCAATGTAATTTCTACCTTAACACTTACGTATTAAGGTTTAATGTCTTATGCTTTGCAGCTTAAGAAAATCATTGAAGATGAAATTTCAGTTTGACGTTTGAAAACTTTAATATTCTTTTTTCTTATCAAAATCGATTTTTAATTAATATAATGCCATCATGCGCAATAAATAGCATGTGAAAAATATTCAAGTTTTCAAATATCATGTTTAAGTTCCTATGTTCTACTCATTAGTGATAAGTAAGGAAAAATATGATTCTAGAACTAGCTAAGTACATCCACTTATCAGCTGAAATAATGATACAAAACGTCTGTCAAAAAAAACATCTTTAAGGATTTGAAGTGTTAAATTATGTTATTGAAAATATACCTAAGACAATATGTATGCTACAACCGCAAGTCAAGAGCTATAAAATAATTATGACTTCTTTAATGACGTGCTTTTCTAATTCTTTAGCATTTGTTTTATTGCTGTCCATATGTGTTTCCCTAGAATCTACCTACAAGTGTTCTATGGATTCATCTTGCCTTTTTGCCTGTATACCATTATTATTACTTGCTATTTGGGTCGCTGGTTGCAGGCTAGATCAGTCTAGAAAAACTGCTAACCAATTTGCCCAATTCCTCTTTTGTTCTTCGTTTCTAAGTATTAAACATCTGAGTATCATTAAATTCCCAAAACAAACATATACTAAATCCATATTCATCAATGAATATTTGTTGTATCTTTTTTTTAATCGAGGTCTTGGGTTCATAAACCGGTGAACACAGGCGGGGGACCTAGCTCGTTCCAGGACTAAGGTGGATAATAATTTAAGTTATTGATTTTACTTGCTGCCTATTATTTCAGTTTGTTTACGTATATTAATAAAATACCTACTTTTCACTCGTATCTATTTTTGTCTAAATTAAATTAAAAGTTCTTAACTTGACCACGACTATGTATCCAGGACCCAAAGCTGAATCCCCCCCTTGCCGGTGAAACAAAATACCTTCAGAGAACCGAAAATGTTAAGTGATCTACAGTATCTAAAATACTCGTTCTTATGTTGTGGCAAAAATAATCATTCATATTTTATTTGTTGGTATGCTAAAACTATCAAAAAACCACCAGACATTTGGTGCTCCTGTTTTAGTAACAAAAACCTTCTATTTTTTGATACATTATTGTAAGGTAACGAGGTCGTATTATTCACAGAAACCAAATCGAGTTTTAGTAAATAATTTATCGTATAATTAGTATTAATATACATCATATATAACAAACTTTTTTTTATTATACCACAAACATTTTGTTTTTATCACAGCCCGCTTTACGTTATTCTAAAACCTGGAACAACGAGTCATTTTTAAATGGATTCATTTGTTTCTAGATCTAAGTACTTGGCTTCATAACCAATGATAATACCCAATTGGTGAATAATAACAAGATAAATTCAAAAGATAACGTTTGCAAACAAGTACAAAATAATACGAGGCTGCTAGAGGCAGAGTGGCCTAATAAAAAAAACATGATTTTCAATAGAGGGAAAATGTGTCTTACACAAATTCATTTATTATAACGCATAAATCTTAAATTGTGTAAGGCTTTCGTGGCCATCGTTCAGCACATCATTGTTTTTCGGGCTGTTCGGCCAACGTGAACGAGAAGAGGTTCTCGATGTTTCGCCATCACGAAAAATTTATTAGTTCTTCGAGCAATCGAGGACCTAACAACATCCTGATGATGCCGTCCACTCGTGATGGCGAAACGTGGAGAACCTCTTCTCGCTCACGTCGGTCGGACAGCTCGAAAAATAATGATATGCTCTAAGAATTATGTCACAGTACAAAAACAACTCAAGTTATACAATTGCAGTTAGGCTACTCTGCCTCTAGCGGCCTCATATTAAGTTTTTAATACTAAAACTCACCTCTCATTTAACTCGTACTGGCAATGTCTCGGCCGAAGTCCGCGTGAATTCTTCCTGCATTTTGTTTTGTACTGTGTCGATAACCGTTGAGATTTCTTCTTTCTGCACACCCTCCGTTTCGATTAATGGCAAAATTGTTATAATTATGTGTCCTGTAAAGCAAACAGGTCATCAAGAAAACGTAACATTATATACTAATATGAATCTATCTATGCTAATATATTAATTTGAAGAGTTTGTTTGTTTGAACGCGCTAATCTCAGGAACTACTGTTTCGAATTGAAAAAATATTTTTGCGTTGGTTAGAGCATTTATCGAGAAAGGCTATAACATGTGATGTGACTAATACGAGCGAAGAAACAACGGGAAATGTGGAATAAACTGGGAGATTTATTCATCTTTGTGGCTTTCTGCTCCGCTGCACGGTACAAGACACCACATTTGAGGCCCAAAAAACTATCCCACGCGGACGAAGTCACTGACACAGCTAAATATATTTTCATACTATTAACGGCAGTAATCAACACCCGTCAACCCGTATTAAGGCAACACGATGGACTTAATTCATTTAAAATTCTCCCGAACGCGAGAGGTGACCTTAGCCCAACTGTGGCATGTTCATAGGGAAAGAGAGAACGATTTTCTTTATTCAAATATTGATATATGGAATAGGACAGTGTGAAATAAAAGAAGAAGTATTTCCTTTAAAATTGAATTGTGTAAGTACTAAGTAACTATAGTTAACACAAGGTTACTTTTTTTTCTTATATCGTACTGGCGAAAACGAGGAATCAAAACGGTTCTATAATCAAGGACACCTACGTAAGGGACTACGGTTGTAGTTGCGGTATAAAACCTACCTGAACCAAACCAAGGCCTCTTCGAATCTACGTGATGGTACTTCGAAACGACCACTGGCTGGATCGGCGCCCCAGCGTCCATTGCGACGTGGAATGCCCCTTTTCTGAACGGTAACAGCTTGTCCCCAGAATGCCTCGTCCCTTCGGGGAACAGTAGTAGCTTACGCTGAAAATAAAAAGAAAATTTTTGCTTGCGCACAACATAATCACAAAACAGATGGAAATAAATAATAACATATTTATCGGAGAAATAATATTAAGTTTTGTTAATATACCAACACGGAATACTAAATGTATTTCTTTATTCCAAACTTAGGTACACAAAACATGCAGATAAGAACTTTAAAATGTAAAAGAACGCCGGGCCGGCCTTATCGCTAATAAATTGAAAATACAAAGATCGACACTTAATAAACTAAACAAAACAAAACGTATTTGGTAGAAATACCACGCACGTTAACTTATTTATTTTTTATACGGTCGCAAGTTCGAGTTGCGTTCCTGCCCATTATATATTTTACTGTTCGTACTCACGTTCTCTGGTAAAAGAAAAAACCGTTAAAAAGAATAGAATAGAAGTACGCTTATTCGGAAACATCACAACCGTTTTCATTATAACTTATTCTAACAAATTATATGGAGAAGTAAATACACATTTTATTTATATTTTAATTAAATACGATTATATAGTTGCCTCTGCAAAGGATTCCATTAACTCAGCAAAGTTTGGGTGTGTATGAGAAAGAGTAGTAATAAGTGTGTTAGGTTATAGAGGCACTTATCTTAGTACTAAATAGATTAAGACGGTATTAGTATCTCTGTGGTTTGTTTCAGGTAATGGTAGTTTTATGCTGCAAGTATCCATCGCAATTTATTACAAAACTCATTTAAATGAATTGAACTAGATAATTATCCTTTCTATTGTTTTATTAGTATTTAATATACGCATCTACATAGCATTGAAGTGTCCATTGTTTCTTTATTATTATTTAATTGAGGCATACAATTATGTTACAATGAAATTCGCGTACATATACACTGTACTTGTTGTTGTGGTTCAAATCACAAATCCTATTAATATTTATAAAATTGCAGATGCTAAGATGTATAATCAAGGTCTCGTGATGAAGGATTCTGGGAGTCTGGATTGCCAACAATTATCAGAAGCTATGAATAAAAATAATTTGATTCGTATTGAGTTAGGCTTAGTTACCAAAAAAGTGAAACTTCTTTTCTATTTATTCTATTCTAAATTTAAACATTAAAAAAACGAAACTAAAGCACATTAATCTACCACTTTTTTGTATCATGGTAGTTTATAATTAAAATCCATCTTAATGATTAGAAATTACATTTGTTGTATATCTAACGCTAATTCGACGTGAATATTTAAGTACGCAAGATAACAGCAAACAATTAATAGTAGGTGAAAGTCTACTTTGCGACCAAAAGTGATATTTGGATTAGTAATCAATAAATTAATCAATTACCTACTTATCTGTCTGATGTACAACAAATTTATATTATGTAGGTATACAACAAACCATTTCAAATACAAACATATTGAACAAATACCTCATTCTTAAACAAACATACTGAGATCCTAATTGATTATTTAACATTAAAATATTCACCACTCCAAAATTATTTCAAAACTGAGGTTGCTAAAAAACGTAATTTTCAATAAGGAGGAAAATAAAAACTGACAATTTACATAGGGGAAAATGAATGGAACTATTATTTGTTTAAAAATTATATTACCAATTTTCGGTCACTATGCTCTTGAAGATTAACATTTTTAGACTATAAGAATATATATAACTCGAGTCATAAAAATTGCAGTTAGGCTACTCTGTCTCTAGCTTCCCAGGGCTCCCAAAGGATCGTGAGGGTGGTGTGTTTATTGGTTCTGGTCAGCTATACGATTTACCCCATGTCACTATTGCCCGACGTGGGTGTGCATTGGGCATTCACACCATCAGTAAAAAAAGGCTACCTCTTTGTGAGGCCACTAGAGGCAGACCTTTAACTTTTTAAATCATGTCGAAAGAGGTTTAATTTACAGAATAGTTTTAATTTGAGTTTCATTGACTCTCTAAGGTCAAATTCATTAACATAGGCACAGTTATTGTCTGTATTCAACGCTACATACATTAACAAACAATTCGCTTAGTACAATACACGAACTGTTATCACATCAATGAGTAAACGGAATACATACATAAATAGGTATACACATAAATTTACGATTCAATTATTTCGATCCAACCTATTGAAATTCCGATGTTGTTATTTTCTTTTTTGTAGGAGCAAATCGTAAGAAATGATTTTATAAGTTTAAATTTGGTCAAAATATATAGCTATTATTTCTAATTATATTATTAAACAACAAAACAATGTATACCGGATCAGCTAGCGATGGATAATGGATAAATGAGCGATTGATAAAAAAGCCATAACTCCTTAAGCGATGAGTAAGGACTTATCACTTGGTGGGCCGAATTTTTCTTATCAGTCTAAGCACTTCGCACTCAAGGTACTAAACTTCCATTATCGACGAACGAATCAAATTGGATCTTTTTTTTCGGTTGTAATTAGTCTCATTAAATTGTTTATGTACTTTCAATGCGAAAACATGTACTAGGAATGGTAACGATAATATTCGCCATTTGTACTTTTGACGATGACGGGTTGGTTGGTCTAATCACTTCGCAATCTATGACAATTACTAAGTTTCTAATCAAATACTGTCTATAGTTTACGCGAGTAGTACACATTTAAATAAAACACTTTAACGGTTTAAAACGCGATATATTAGTTAAACCGATTTGAACACAGATGGCGCTAGCAACTTTTACTTTGACGTCAGAGACATCCTCCATCTTTAGCCTCCCCGTGACCACGGCTGCTGCAAAGCATCCGAAACGTCGGGCCGAAGTTAAAAATCATTTTCAAATCAGTTTAACTAATATATCGCGTTTTAAACCGTTAAAGTGTTTTATTTAAATGTCTCTAATCAAACAAACAAAAATATAATTCAACAGTCACAAACATGAAGATGGATAAGCTATCTCCTATATAAGCCATTGCACGATAGCTATGTTATCTGACTTAACGCACTTGCAAAGTATACATCCAGAAAAGAAGCAAATGTAATACGGCAAAATTTTGGTAAATACTGTTTAGAAAACTAATACAGTAACTGAAAAGTATGAACTTCAAAAAAACCTGCTTGGACTGCTAGAATTATTTCTTTCATTTTGGTTAACACAGTCAGGTAAATGAGACCGCGAAATTTTTGAGAAAAATGCCATGAATAATGACAAAATGATGTTTTGGTTGGACAAAGATAAACAATGTTTGCATGTCTATTACTGGCAAGGTAAACATGGCACGATGTGTACGGAGTTATCTATACAAATAAGAATTGTACAATATTTTATTATCTACTTGTGTATATTGTTATATTAGTATATTGTTTGCTTTTTACGCGAGGGGACATGCTTAAATTCAATGATATATGCTTATAGTTAATAGTGTTTTATTTTATGAGTATTGTTTAAGGAACACAGCTTAGGTACCTGTCTATTTTCAGCTGTAATAGAGTCTAACATTATAAATCTTAATCAGAAATGTGTTGTCTAATACTAAACATATACAATCTTTAACTGCACTATAGTATTTAAAATATATAATAATGGACAATGTATCTTTGGTTTAAACTTTGAGCTTAAAACAATCATTTAACATTTGAACGACATTCAGATAGCCTAAAAAAATCTCTTTAAAAATATTTTATAAAGCTACATCAAGAATCGAATTGAATACGCGTGTAAACTATAAAGTAGGTCTAATTTGCGTTATTACAATTCATCATTTTTTCCTGCTGACTGTAAGTTTGCGCAAGAGTCGTTGTCAGCGTCACTTAGCGGACACATTTACCTCATTTAGTTAATAAACATTACTTAGGTATAAATAAATGTACATTTGTAATTATTTTTTGTATTTTGCAAAACTTTTATTCTTATATGCGGTTTTTACACGTATGAGGTAGCTTAGTAAAAATATTAAAGATTCTCACATCACGACTTTTAACGAATTCTCACTTGGACGGAGACAAATAAAATGTAATTTGCTACTTTCTTGAGTTTGGGTTTAAATTCAATTATTATTTTTAATTTCTTGTTTATTTGGAAATATGCCGTTTTATATTGTTTGTGTTTTATTTTACAAATAAAAATTGAAATGAAAAAAAAAGTGACTTATTGGTGTTTTATTTGTCCTTAAATAAAAATTATCTCTCATGCCACCACTTCCGACCCCGCCTCCGACTTCGATTCCGATGTAGTTTTACCTCCGTTACATACCTGATATATATTTATATGTATAGGACTTATATATATATGCATAATAAGTTAGTAATACCGTGGCCGTTCCTAGTGCGAAAGAGACTATTTGAATAAAACTTGTAAGAATCACACAATTTCATGAGATATTTACGATCAAGATAGCACTATCAGTTCTTCACCTCAATATAGTGGTTTTAAAATATTTATGGATTAAATTAGTGATACGAGTTTACGACTCATGACGGCACGATTCTGCAAGACTGTGATGATTTTTTTTGGATAGTCTGTAGAAAATTGTTTCAGTTTCTTAAATTACAAAACTCATTCAAGGATTTGTATCTTCGTTATTTCTCACGCTTTATGTATATGTAGCTTGTAAAACATATATGTTTTGGTACACAACATTCCTTTGAATAAAGATACAAAAGTAAATATATATGTATAAATATAAACTTTGAAAACTTTATTATTTTTTTACATGTTATTGCACATGAAGGCACTATACAATTTAAAAATCGAAAATAAATTAATTTACTTTTTCTTTTGGTAGCTCAATTAGTAGAGCAATAGCACGGAACGCTGACGATGCCGGTTCAAGTCCTGCCCGAGTCGAAATTTTTTTTAATTTATTTTTAAATATAAATAGAAACTGTTAATTAAAACTATTTTATCGGTGTAAAACGCGAAATGTATTAGTTATTATACTTTTAATTTAATTCAACAACGGCCCGACGTTTCGGATGCTTTCCAGCAGCCGTAGTCACGGGGTTTAAGGTGAAATGTTAAAGTCAAAAATCGCCATCAACTATACAGACACACTACTACTACTGGTATTACTACAGACAATATTTAAATATAAACTTTACATCGCATACTAATTTCATTGTCCTAAAAGCATTTATAATTGCTCTGGTTATCTGTCATACGGTTAAGAGCCTTCTATTTTTTTTTAATGCATATAGATTGTCAACTGTTTATGTAAAGAAGAAATATGTCAAAAATGTGGCACTACTTCCTTCTTTTGAATGGCGAGATCGATAATCCTAGAGTGTTGGAGTGTGGTCTTTGCGTCAGAGCGCACTATAAGCTTACGCAACCGAAAGGTGTTGGTGGAGGAGCGGCGACGCACACAGTTGGCTTACATGGCTCCAACACAAAGTACTATTCGTTTATTGAATCATTTCCTAACAGTAACCGCAAATGCTGTAAATGCTTTATGAATAAATAAATAAATAAACATTTATTAAATTATATTGTAATTAATATTTTAGGGTTTCTTGAACCGTTTTCGCAACGGTAAAAAATAAATATTTTTTTCTTATTTCTCCATATTTGCCAACTTTCTCGTCGCTCCTAAAAGTCATAGCATGATATTGTATTAGAGATTCGATATATGGTCTGACCATGACAATTTTTTTTTTTCAAATCTAACAGGTAGTTACTAAGATTAGCACGCAATAAACAAACAAACTCTTCAACTTAATAATTATAATTAGTAAAGATTATTAGATAAGAGTTAAACTTGCAAATATGAAAAAAACGTTTGCCGGATCAGCTAGTTACTTGAATTATATCGTATAATTGACTAATTATTTAGCAAATTGAGTAAAATATTTTACGTCAACATGATATAATTGATGGCAACAATAATCAGGAAATTATCAACTAATTTGAGTACTGATACAAAGGTCACCTTCTTCTTATATTAATTATGATAGGGACGAAATTATACGATTATAAAAAATAGGAGACTTTTACATTCATTAGATACATGATAGCGATATAGTAGATAATACCAAATAGATAATGTCATTGTTTACGATTAGTCTTGCAGAGGGTACTTACAGGGCGTTCTTCGGGTCGAAAGGTCTAAATAACATCAGCGGAATCGGCGCTGTCGCAAATATAAGAGATAGCACCACGAACAGTATAAACTATAACAAATGAGAATGATCATTATTAAACATCAGCTATATCACACGTACCTGATAAAATCTACCAAATCCAATCTAGACAAGTTTATGCAACATTATTAGGGTTCCGTTAAAAAAGTACAACTAAATTCGATTATTTTTTACTTTCGTTGTAACTTGTATATTATAAATACATTTTAGGATCCTAATGTTAAATATATATTGTCTGTTATTTACGTAAGTAGTACCTACACATGTTTCATAAAACACTTTAAACTGTTTTAAGCAAAGTATAATAGTAACCTTAAGAACCCCCGCCACAGCTGTTGAACATCACCCAATACGTCAGGTCGTAGGTAAAAATAAGTTAAATAATCTATTGCGCGTTTTATGTCGTTAAAAGAGCGTCATTTCGAATGTATTTTACTCCCACCGTCAAATTAAAAATTGAGACAAATTTCCATCAAGTAGGACTTCATTATGTGTTAAACTTATTATGAAAACATTACCTTAATGTAGTATCTAACAGTAGAGCTTATCGAAAACAAGATGATGAGAAGCACCATTATGGAGCCAAGAACAACGTCGAAAGCGGCCATTTTGTTGCAGCTTTTTCGTCACATTTGATACCTGAAAAACTCTAGAGATTACTAATGCAATTGTGAGCTTAAATATTAATAGTAGTAGATAGTTAATACTATAATTCAATATAAAGTACAGTTATTTAACTGATACACACCCAAAAGTGCTAACAATATACAAATTAAAGTCGCAACTATTACAATAACATACCAAAAATGACTTGCGGTGCGTATTAATAATCTACACAACTTTCACATTATATTTTTGTTAAGCTTTGCGAGTAGGTACAATCGACTTTATTTCAATTTAAATATGTGTGATAGTTATCGTTATTCGACACTGCTCAACATCTAAAGTTGGTTTTTAATTTTACGATTTCGACAGTTTATTGGGAAAATTTATCTACGTCAAAAATTCATCAATCAACAAGGACTGTATTTTTGCAAATTTTTCAGCATTGTCAGTGTAGTATTAAACCTACACAGAGAACACAAATAACATCTAAAACGTCGTATCGCCCTAAAACATACCTTATCTTATACCGTTGAAACCGTTATAACAGCTTTATTTAAACATCCAATACTCGCGAAAACTAGAAACATGACTTTTCCTGTAGTTCATTTTCGTTACGATCTTTTCTATATTTGACGATGGAAAAGTACACCAACGCACCTAAAATGGTTTCTATTAGCTGTTTACACTGCTAACCCACGTTACTTAATGATAGATTTTGGTTTTCACCTTTAAGAGAAAGTTGTTCCACTTGTTTTCCCTTTTGGAAGTGTACTGTAGAAGACACATAGTTTAAAAGAATAGAGAATTTTGATTGTTCAATTTTTATTCTCTAATTAAAGTTTAAAAAAATATATTAGGTATTACTTTCTTTGACTGAAATAGCAAACATAACGTTTAGGAATTAGTTTAAGATGGCATATCTCAGATCTGTTAATGTAATTTAGATGCACTTTATATTTTCTAATTAAAACTATTAACGATTTTCACATTTCCTGATTGTTTTGAGTAAAAGTTTTTTGATATAACATACTTGATACATAAACAAACCTATAACCGCGTGATACGCCAAGTTAATCACACGCCCTAATCAGCATGCCAGTAATTGAGATGTTAAAATCACGCGCAAGAGCAAGTTTCATTCGTGGTACTACATTCAATACAAATATTCACATCTACCTTTGATACACTTTCGATAACTCTTATCAAACTAGATATTATCTGTATTTAATACTTAATTACTGTCTGTGGTCTGACAGGTGATAGAAATTAACAGATTATTTTTTACCCATTTAAATGTTGGGATAAAACATAACTAAAACTTAAGTAATATCCCATAAAGCACACTTTGTTAAATTATATTATTTAAAAAATTGGGGTTGCACAATTATCTTTATAATCTAAATCGTCATATGTTATGTTATGACATAACATATGACGATTTAGACCTCAATCAGATTGTAGATAGGTAGTTAGGTACCAAAGTTATTTTAATAATTACACATGCATAATTGTTATTTAATCGTCTTCGCTGTCAAAAGGAATATATCATTTAATTCAATATATCACATATCAAGAAATACTATACTAATAATTAAAATATATAATACGGGAATACATATTATTTATTCTTAGCTAAAATATTCTACGATGTAGTCTTTTTCCGAGAACGAACTTATTATCAATTTTTCTCTATAAAATATTCAAGTATTAGTTCCTGACTTCAACTAAAAATGAAGTACACAAAAAGTACTTATATATAACGCAATTAGGCAAGGCCTAGACTAGAGATCTCGTTAATTCAATAGCTTCAATTTTGTTGCTACAAATTAAAATAAATATAAATAGTTTGCGATTTTGAATTAAAAGTTTAGTGTAAACTTTACCGTAACTCATGTGCGTAAACTACGCTTCCATAAAAAATAACGAAATTTTTTTTACGTTAATTACAATTGATGAGACTAACTAGGTCTAACGAAATCCTATAAAGTACCTACTTTACATAACTTAGCACTATTGGTAGTTAATTGTTACATATTACTATTTTAGGTCTTTTAAATAATTAAAAACTTTCTAATGATATAATTACTTTATATATCTCTATAGGTAATGAGGTATAAAAATACTAAAATAATTTTAAAGTAATCCATCACAAACATTTACACTTTCCTTTTTAATTTAACATAATTAGAAGCTATAATTTAATACACTGACTCATTTTAATTCTTAAACAAAAAATGTACTACCTTACTTAATATCTCCTTCACTTTGATAATTTATTTAAAAGAAACTTACTGAAAAGTAACGAAAATCAGTCAAATAAATTCGCGATGCACGACGCGAATTTTTATTAATACTGTAATCAAACAAAACGCCTGTCTCGTGCCGAACTCACTTAACACACTGGCTCAGCCTGAATGGCTCATTGATAGTAATTCAGTAATTATTCACAATAACAAGCGACGGCAACAGACCTAGACTGAGTGGCAGATCACACTTCAACTCAAAGCAACTGTGAGGCGCGGTAACTCCGCGAAGTAAATTCCTACTGTAATGATTCCGTCAGCCGATAAAGTACATTGCGTGTGTGAACACGTCAGTCTGAACTCTGGTCATAATGTGACACTGATGCTCTTGTATATCCAAAGTGCAAAGCTTATCTGATTTTCATGAGATCATCAATTGTTTAAGTACGTTTATACGCTTTATGAGTACATCACTAAGTTCAGAACTCGGTACTATTATATGCATCATATGGGCGGGTAGTTGGATAATGGATAGTTCTTCCCCAAGGTTGGTTTTCTTTTAAATGGATGCAAATTTAAATGTTCGTAAATATCTTAAGAAAAATAGCAATGCCTATACCTTATTTACAAAAAAAAAACAAACAATCTTACTGCTGGTTATTCTTATTAAAAATATAGGTTTGCGATTTAAATAAAAGTTAATTGTAGAGTAAACAAATTTATTGACATAGACAAAATAAACATTTTGCATTATAAATATCGTTTTATGTCATGTTATACAAAATGTGTAAAATCCAATTGATTATAACTATTTTAATAAGTGAATGTAAATATTGTGCCTCCATAAGAACAATAATGTAGATTTAAAACATCTTTTTCTTCATCGCTGTATATCTCATGGTGTATTCGTTATAACCCTCTATTGATGCTAATTGTTTTGATTCAAACAAATTTCCATCGAGGTTGAGTGTATGAATTTTTGAATCTCGTAACAAACTTGGTCTTATTGCATCAAGGCATAAGCAGTTCTCTTCCAATTTCAATATTTTTAATCTCGGAGCTTGATATAAGTCTTCAGCTAGTGTGGAAATTTCATTCTGACTAAGGCTTAACTCGACTGCATAGAAGTTTGACATACCATTTGGAATCTCAGAAATTTTATTATTAGAGAGATCAACAACCTCTACGTTTTTGAGGCCTATAAGCTGTATTGGAAACTTCTTGAACTTATTATTATTTAAATACACTTGCTTGAGGTTTGATAAACTAGGAAATGTCACTGGCAATGATGAAATAGAATTGTAAGATACATTCAACATTTCCAACTTCTTGAGATCAGCCAATGATTCGGGCAATGCTTGAATAGAATTAGTGTTTAAATTTAATTGTTTCAAAAGCTTCAACTTCGTTATTTCATCAGTAATGCATGAAACCTTGTTCTTGGACAGGTCTAAATTTCGTAAGTGTTCAGACAGCCTATAAACTTCAACTGGTATTTCTTTGAGTCTGTGCTCAGAAATTTGTAACACTCCTGTCTTTGATGCTATTTCATAGTGTTGCTTCAGACCAGAATTACCCATTTTTATATACACACTATAGCAATACTCCGTTCTAATCAAGATAATATAAGCGACGATTACTATCAACGCTTACTTTTTAATTACATAGTAGCTTAAACCTACCTAAAATTAAAATATTTCGCAAGATATCCTTTGCTGCAATTAAGAATGATCGCTATCTAATTTTTAAATTATTGTTTTTAAAATAAACTAAATGTATTACAAATAAATAGTGCTAAAAATAATATCAGCTGATACGATCTATCAATGTCATTGTCATTTTTAAATATTCATTGCGTTACTGTCCTCCACAGAGTTTAGTATGCAATATATAGTCTGTAAAACATGATGCTAGTTTCTGCGTAAGTGTTAGTTAGATCACGCACAGACTATATTTCTTCATTTCCTTCTTATTTCTCCATCACAGCGAAGTTAAAATTGTATCTAAAGAAAGTTATACCAGAGACAAAGCTACGTCATGGATATTATAATCAAAACGTCTTGTCTCTGAAACAAAATTATCAACAATTATTATTTTGTTTTAAAGTAATAACTAATTTTACTCATTTAAGACTTGTTTTGTATATTTTTATTGCGAAAATAATATGCGATAACTTTCATTTGTAATCTTTAAATAATTGTCATATACTCTTTACTTTAGTCTAGTCTGTGGTTATATCCAATCTGTTTAGTTTGTGGTTTCATAATTTTATGTGTATTTAATTAATTTTATTCTAATTTTATTTGAACGTAAAATGAATGTGTTATAATAAAACAAAATCATGTATTTAATTGTCTCAAAAATGTGACAAGAACAGTTTTAATAACTTATACAGTTATGATAATGTTGTAAGTGCACTGTTTCAACCGCGGGAAAATTACTCGACGTTTGACTTCTCTAATGGCCGCAGTAGCGCCAGCCGCCAATGCGTGTAGTATTTCTTCATTAGTTATGAATTTAGATTTGTTATAAGCGTGTATTTACTCCATTTTTTCAACAGTATACCGTTTGGAAATGGATATTAATGCTGGTAAGCTATCGTTCTTTATAATACTTAAAAAACTCACTCATCTTGCTACGAGGTATACAACCACTGAGAAACTGAGTTTCTACTGATCGTAATAAGAGCTGAGAACTATTTACCTAAAACCTTGCGCTGCCCATAAAACTAAATTGTGGAAATCTATATTTTCACATATCTATACATTATTAATAAACCCTTACTTTCAATAATATTTGTATTATACTAAGCGAAAATTAACAGAACTGGCACGTAAGCCAGTCTCTGTAGTTAATAATTTCTTAGCATCAAAACGAGACTTCATAACTGTATTTCAGTTAAGATGCCACTGTTTACAAAGTTCTTCAAATAGTGGAACAATACATTTACGAAATCGTATTACGATCTCTAAAATTGTGTCGTGTCAATTGTAAAACAATATTAAAATTTCTTAGCGAGTTTATCAAAGTATTATGAGTTCTAATAAGACGTCTCGACACCTTTTTGTTGCTTTACCTTTGTAGTTATTGAAATTGTTTTATGTTATTGTGCTGTCCCTACTGGACGTCAATATAATGTGAGTATTCTTATTAATATCTGTTGACAATTCTTTGGCATACCTTGCTAGTATCATAACACTGTTGCCCTTAAACTACATATTTTATGTTATGCCTAACCTAGCCTTTTATTATATCTATTTATTGCTTATTGTCTCTTTTAATATAGTGTTGTATAACAAACTGAGGATTTCTGCATGAGCTTTTTAGCTAACTAGTCAATTTGTCCACCAATATTTATTTAAGTAATAAGTTTCAGTTAAATCAAACTCAAATAAATCAATATATACAGCAAACTATTGAAACTGATAATAACCAAAAAAACTGATGTAGTTATTATAACAAGCCTTTAATGTATGTCTAAAAACCTCAGTTCACAACCTGAAATGGGATTTGCTTTTACAGAGGTCTCAAAACAATTATCACTGATCGATGCATTGCTGAGCAACTTTGACAAGACAATACCACCAAGTCCAGATAAAAAGAATGAGAAGAAAGAAGAAGAAACACAGGATGCCATGCCAGACTCTACCACTAACACAGAGAAGGGCAACACCAACCCGTTCCATTGCGGTGATGATGTGCTTGTACCAAACAAAGATGGAAGATATTATTTAGGTAATTTTTTCCTTATATGTATCATGAAATGGCAACAACAACCATTCATAATAAAGTACAATATATAAACATGTAATATGTTAACTAATAAAATTGGTAACATTTACTGCTTTAGACATAACTCAACTTTAACCATTCTCATACATGAGTCCAGTATAATATATAGTAGTTGATAGTAAAGGACATTTCGGTCACAGTCCCTCTGTGAGCTTGGCTGTTGTGAAGTAATCGAAACATTGGGGTATAGTTAAAATAAATCAGAGTTAACTAGTATATTTCACGTTTTAAACTTTGAAAGTTAAATATAGACTTTTCAGATGGGATCTTAAGTATGTTGACTTTACAGGGACTATAGTAGAGCTGAGCACAAGTAACGACAATGATTCGTGCGAAGTGGGCACGGGTGTCGCACGGTGCCTCGTCAAATTCGGGGACGGGACACACGCGTGGGCGCCGGTCGCCACGCTCAAGCTACTCAGCGCTCCGCCGGCAGACGACGGCCGAATTATGTGTGTGGTGTGCAAGCGTAGGGAAGGCCCGGCCTCTAGTCCTGCCACCAATGCCATCATCGCCTGTGACATGTGCGGCAGAGGCTATCACGCCAAGTGCCACACCCCGCCTGTCGATGCCTGGATAAGCGGTACAGACATTTTTATAACAGCTAACTAGACACTTTAGTTTATGATTCAATGAGTTTATTTACACTTCTTACACGGCCTGTGGTTTAACACTAATAAATATTAAATCTTATAAAGTATGTCTACTCTCTGTAGTTTAAGCAAGAAATACACATTCAAATAACGAAATTAAAAGTTATAATGTTTGAAAACTTTATTAATTTTTTTTACATGTTATTGCACATGACGGCAATTCACACACATTTTCGATTTTTAAATTATATAGTGCCTTCATGTGCAATAACATGTAAAAAATAGTTAAGGTTTCAAATATTATATGTCTTTCACAAAATTGCCTTTTATGTAATCCTTTCCATGTCTGTTCTATCGTAAAAGGCATTCTTTTAATCATTTTTACTAAATTGTTTTATTTATAGTATATGGGATAATCTAATATCTGCACGAAGTAAACCTCTGTCACTGTGTTTTTAATAATTTGTAAACTGCAGATATTCATGTTTCTATTAGTAGTTCAGTACTTGCTGCTATCAGATTAGTTTTGCGGTGCTTTTTGCTATATATTGCTAATAAGCAACGGGTCGTGGGTTAACATTTTGGACTTCATCTGGTAATCTGGATATTAAGTGGGAGGTAAAAATGTCGAAACTTCTATTCGACTCGCAAACCACCGTCCACAGAAAAGCCGTGAAGTTTAATAGCGTTTCGGTTTCCTTCAAGCCAAACTAGGTTAATATCGCATTTTGTTCCATGTGATTTGGCTGAGTTATTTTACTTTCCATCATTTGAACTTGCTTGTCCTCCTCTATCATTGTGGTCTATAAACGCATTATCATGTTCCTACACATAATAAATCGTTAACCTCTGCAAGGAGGAAATGGGTGAAATGGTCAACCGATAACGTGGACTGATCACCCGTCCTACCACAGGTGACCCGAATGAAAATAATAATAATAAATCGTTGCAGGCGCATCATGGCACTGCAAACGATGCGTAGATCAGCGATACCGCGTGGCTGCGGCTGAGAATCGTGCGTCGAAGCGATCCGACCTGTTCCGCTTCAAGGGTGGCCAGCAAAGACGTCAACAGCAGGAACTCACACCGCCCTGTGATGTATGTATAAGTTTAAACTTCACATTAAAATCCCATTAAAAATGTGAAATAGAGTATTATACATCTTAATATAAAAATACTTATCTTGTAGACTGCGTCAACTACGTCATCGGCTGCGTCTGATGCCGGCAAGGATCAAAGCGAAGGTCATTGTTATTGTGTAGAGAAAAGTGATTGGTTAGCTCAGGTAAGATACTCCATTAATTCGTTTAATAATACCTAAAGTAGAATTTATACTGCTAAAGTGTTAGCACTTGAAATTAAAAAAAAATCTTGTCATAATCAATAGAAAAAATAACCTCGGCGAGATAAAATTATGTAGATCTATAAAGGCCTTTAAAATTTGTTTGAAGAATTATTACGCTTGACCAAGCTAACGCAAAATAGATAGTTTCATAGACACATTCCAATAATTACAGCAGCACAGATTACTGGGTGTCGATTCTAATCCAAAGGAAGCATATTTTTTTTTAAATATAAATAGTTTGAATCAAAAACTAGACTGAGCTTGAAATCTATCAAAATGCTGTCTATTTGTTTCAGATGTTGTTATGTTGTCGATGTTCTCGTTGGTTTCACCAAAGATGTGTGTCGAGTTTGCAATATCCTCTTTATGCTGGTGATAAGTAAGTTGTTTGAATTTTGTATAAGTAAAGAAAAAAAATTAAATCATTCTATTGTGGTATTATATATTTTAAAGCTAACAACCAAATAAAACATATTTAGGTAGAATTAGGCCCAATATACACAGAAGAGTTCATAAACATTGGTCCAGTCATTTGGAGGACTTTGTTGCACTACAATATACATTTTATATATAGCAATAATAATAATAAAAATTACCTTGCAGATTGTATATTTTCGCATGCGCTAACTGTAACGGCGGTACAGAGTTCCTACGGAGACTGGAACTGTGCTGGCTGGATCTAGCCCACCTTGCACTATATAACCTCACAGCATACAACGCTCCCAACTACTTCGACCTGGACACGGTCATAATGCCCTACATCATGGACAACTGGCACGCGCTGCAGTTACCTGAAAAGGTATTTCTTAAAGCTTATACACATCTTGTTATTGGATTGGATATGTTGTCAACAAGTTGTGTCTATTATAACTAAACTACTGTCTGTAGTTTACGCGAGCATTTAAATAATTAACGGTTTAAAATGCAATATATAAATGAAAAGCATCCGAATCGTAGGGCCGTAGTTAAAATATTTTCAAATAATTTAAACTAATATATATCGCTTTTTATACCGTTAGTTTTTATTTAAATCTATTTTAACTGCCACTTTTGATAGAGCTTACACCTTTTTTGTACTTGACTGTCCACTAGGAACTTTTTTTTCTAATCTTGTCAAATGTTGACTACTAACGTTTGCAAGTGTCAGTTTCCACAAATTTTACTTATGCGTGAACAGATGTGGCGGACCCCGGTTAACGAAAGACGGGAACGTATATTAACAGCGCTAACATCTTCCCGCAAACGTTTTAAATGCGGACGCGAGATGAAGAAGCGCGCTACCATCTGGGGGCTTCGGCTAAGGCGACCTCCACCACCTCCGCTACAGCTCACCGCATTAGAACAGGTTCTTATATTTATTAAATTGGTAATCAATTTTTAAAATAAACGTCAAAGTTACTTTAATATACCAAGTTAATATTTAAAATCTAAAGTAAAACCTTGGCAATCAAAAGTTATTCATATTTTGTAAGATTCTGTATTTATTTACATTAGTATTTCTTTGTTCAGATGTATAAAATATGTATTGTTGGTAAAGGTTAAAAAAGGATTGCCTCTGACCGATGAAATGGTTCGAGAATACGCGCCAAAGCTACGGTTTCTCCCTCGGCCACCTTCACCCCAAACTATCACCTCTGTAGACGATTGGTGAGTTTTATCATATAGTATAATCCAAATTAGGATCTTATTTCAAAGGTTTAAGTTTTATTTTGCATCTTATATTTCAGTTCCCTTCCCTCCAGTAGCAACAATGAGAAGAGTTCCTATAAAAGCAATAATATGATTGTACCAGTAGACGGACACTGGTTAAATTTGATGATGGGCAAACGTTTCCACGAAAATCTCAACTCGAATTCAGAAAACGACTCGACTAGTTCCTACGAATCCGTGAAGACTTGTGAGCGCGACGAACAGCTGTCGCCCCCTATATGCACCTCTACAGAGACTAAATCCGACACCAAAGATGATAATTTAGAGAAACTGTCAGAAGTGATCGAGTCTGAATCGAACGAAGCGAAGTCGACTTGTGAAGACATTCCCGTAGCCCCTCTAGACGCTTCGCACCTGCCGTGCGCTGTTCAGTTAGACAAAGTATCCAAAGAGAACAGCGACGACGCTAACATAGACAAAGGCGACTCTTGTACTATAAATATTAACACTCACTCGACAAGAATAGCGACGATGAACCTCGAGGTCTCCAAATTGTCCACAAAGAATATCATAGAACATTCCAAAATCATGTCGCTACAGCACATGGACCGTCTCCCCTACAACAACAGCTTAATCCCGGACGTGGAGTCTTCGGGAGATGAAACATCGAGTAGAGGCACATTAGATGCTATTATACCCCCCTTAAAGGACTTCCAAGGGAAGAATAATCCTTTTTTAATGCAAAACTCTTATTCGTCCAAGACGCCGTTTGCATCGAATATGAACTTGTATAATAGACAAAATGGTAAATTGAACCAGTACCATTCGCGCTTTTCACTGCCAAATCAACTGAATCCGTTACTTGGGCCGATGGTGAGACCCACGAAGCGAAAACTTAGCGAAAAGGATATCGTCATAGGACCCAACGGAGAGGTTAAAAGGAGGAAGTATAGGAGACCTAAGAAGCATTTACAGTTACAGGTAAAATACATTTTAGCAATCGGGCATAGATAGTTATAAATCAAAATATTTTAAATGATAGGGGTATAAAAATATTTCAAACAAATTAATGTAATCCCTAATGATTTTTCTACTGAATAAAACATAGGACATTTAACCTCAACTATAATGTAATTTCACCCTTACATGGACATTACATTGGGCCAGAGATTTTTGTTTTTTTTATAGATGTTACTCAAAAAATAACACCAAGGTTAGTGCTAGTTGACATCTAGAGTCAATCTTTGTAAAAATGGTTCCTCTTTGCAGTTAAATAAGTCATGTCCACTGCCAGAAGACTCAAAGACTGCCGTGACCCCCACCGAGAGTGAGGCGACGCCGCCGGCCACGCATAACATGAACGCCGTGAACTTCCACGGCAGAAGGCTGAGGCAGCGCCAAGAGAAGAACTACTATGAGAACGCGCGGCGCAACACGAGCAATAGCGCGAGCAGCATCAACAGCTTGAAGAGCTTGCAGCTGAGCCCGCACAAGACGAGCGCGGCGTGCGAGCCGGACGCGCACCAGCTGTCCGCACTCATGTCCAGCGTGCAATCGTACTTCCGTGCCGGGCAGACGTTTCGCGTGCTCGCGCGCCGCGTCTCGCCCGGCCTACAGCCCGCCTACCTCATCGAGTGGGAGTCCAGCACCTCATAGTCTATGAATTTATTTAATTATACATATTAATGTAATAAGTGCTTGTCTGTAGATTAAATAGGTGTACAGTGTCGAGGAATGTGATATATTATTATTCCAATCGATTTTTTGTTTCATTTTTAAAACCTTGGCTGGATCCTATATTATGTTAAGCGCCATTTTTGATAGGCTCTCATTTTTGCAATTTACATAGTCTTTAAATACTATCTATAGTACATAGTACACATTCAAATAAAACACTTTATCACGGTTTAAAACGCGAAATATATTAATTTATTATATTATACGTCGTATTTTCGCGTTATAAACCAGTTAACGCAGTCTTTATAAAACTTATATATAACAGTACCATACCTCTATAATGACACTATAAAATCCTCCTGCATCTGTCCGGCCTGTCCAGCAGCAAGGCGTGCGTAAGTCATAAAAGTACAGAGGACGTACTACCAAGGTACGTTGGCCAAACGATTTGCTCGTTATCGGCATTTCGTACTTGACTAGATAAGTTGTCTTGAGTTACTAGGTCTCACTTCTCTCACTAGGAGCAACGGAACGTTTTTCATTTCTTTTTACAAGTTTTTTAGGCTTTATCGACAACGCTCGTTATCGTACAACAATCAAACAAATCTTCCTCACTTTTTTATGTACTTCAAACTCCAAATAGATATAATACTTAAATAGATTTTTCTGACTCCGAAAAGTGAGTTGGACTTCATCTGGAGATGAGTATGTAGGTAGGAATATCAAAATTCCTGCCGGGTTACAAGCCACAGTCCACAGATGAAAAGGACGTGAAAAAGTGAGGCGTTTCTGTTAAAGTCTATCGATTTCCGAATATGAAATGCGAAATTAACTATGTATATCTAAAAAGCGGGGACAAGATGCTTTGTCCCACAAGGGTCCAGTGGGGCACATGTGGGACAAGATGGTTTTGAATGATACCTGCACCTGCTACTATTATAAATTTAAAACTACCCACAGATAAGTAAAAAATGAATGTCTATTAGAAAAAAAATCTTGAAATTTTTAAAGTAAATGAGCGAATTTCTTCATTTACGGGATACGATCATAATCCGTTATTATCAGTGATGCCATATATATATAAAACTAGATGTAATTATAAAACGGTAGTAGTAAACCAATCTAACTATATTAAAATTTTCTTCAGCTAGCAACTCTATACACATTCAAATACGAGGTGTAAAAACTATGTATATATATCTTTCTACCTGTGTACAACGTTTACACTTTACGTTACTTAAGTTGTAAGGTAGAGGATTAGAATGACGACTTATGTTTGTTTCAGATAATTTAATTAAAATTATAATAATATGAGATACACAACATATTTCATGAAACAAACGTAATACAGCTCCCACCCAAAGATTACCAATAAAAGTTTAGTAAGTTTCGCTCTATAAATAGTGAGAATCCATTTTGCGACGTGTCTAATAGATATATAAGCATTTGTACATAAAATTTAAACAACAGATTACATTATGGAATGTCATTATATTTTTAATTCATTATCTACATTTTGTTTCGAGGTTCAATTTATTATTGACTTGAAATAAAATTCGCTTAATTATATACAATATCATTTCGGAGTCTGTATTGCTGTATTCACGCTACACTACCTTGTATCATCGATTTATGTAAATTCAATACATATTACCATAATACTTATCCACTGGAGTTAGCTAACTACAAAACATAAAAGACATGTTCAAATGTAAAATAAATATATTTCAAATCAAATGTATGACATTTGATCTGTTGTTGACAGACGGATAAAAAATCTACTAACATTAAGAAAATTTATCAAAAGTAGAACACATAACAGAAATTTCATTCACTATCAAAACAACACAACGTCATTTTCACATTGCATATTGATTAATACAATTAATTCTATAATTATTTTACTAGATTACATGATAATAACTTATTATTCTTTATAAGAAACTCCGCGAGAAACCTCCATGCAATGGGAAAATGCACGAAAATAACAGAGTTCGGTTTCATCATAAGCTGATTGTCTATTTATGAATTATACAAAATGTTTTTTGATTTTTCGATACTTGAAATTACTACTTTTAGTATTATTTACTATAAAACAAGTCGGAAAGTAGAAGACGATCTAGAACAAAATATAAATATATAGGCTTACGAATGTAAAGAGAGTTTACATCGAGAACTCGCATACAAACTTATATAATACACGGTACATCGAAGTGTAACCCCTCACAAGGCCCGATGCGTCTGCGCCGAGCGGCGCGCGCCGTACAACAGTTACTTTAGTAAATATATCTATTCACAGCACTTAACTTAACACTTGAAATTAGTCAACGATTCCACACAAATACACTCTTGTGCCATTCGGGCACCCTAAGCATAAATTGCATTGTTGATATTATCCATTATTATTAGTACTACCGTATTTACAAGAATGTCGTCTGTTTAAATTACAAGGACTCTTCGAAGGCAGCCATCAAGTCACTTTGCATATTCATGTCTATCTGCCCAGCCATCTGGAAAAGAAAAAAATCTAGTTGCAATTACAGATGTAGACAAGAGTAAAATAAGTTATAAGGACTCAAATAAAAAAAAACGCGGTGAATCGCCCAGACACCTAAACTATAGTATTTAAACTAGTAGTAATTAAAAAGTTAAAAGCGAAGTAGAGATACTAACTGCTTCTCGTCGCCGCCTCTCCTGTTCGCGTTGGCGTAGACGGTCTCTTTCTGATGCGGGGGGTTTGTCGGGTGCGGCGGTTGCCACCGCTGCGGTTGCAGCAGGGGGCGACCCTCGAGCCACTGGTGACACGCTGGGTGATGACACCTCGGCGCTCTCCGTCTTTCTGACGTTTTGCACGCCCCTGCGCAATGAGTGATATATAAGCATAGGATTAGAATTATACCTTAGTAGGACGCTTTTTGTACGACAAAGGTAAATAAGGTAGCCATGATAGATACCATTATGTAATATGAAGTGCAGATACCTAAGCGCCTGTATTGTGAATCTGTAAAAAAATGTTACACAAGTAATTACCTCATTTTATCTTCTTCGGGATGTCGTCTTTCCGTTTCTTGTCTTTGTCTTTCCCTCTCGGCCTGTTCTTTCTTCCTTAATTCCTGTTGTTCTATGAGGGCTCTTTGCCGATCTATCTTCTCACGCGCTTGTTTTTTGAAGGCCTAGAAGTGTGATAAATAATATATATGTACTTCCTTTTAGTAGTCATTACTTATTTGTTGATATCAATCAATACTCAAATATTTATTTACCTGAAAACTATCCATAACGGGCTTCGGTTTTATTTGATTATTGGTTCCCAACGTTGTAGGAACGCTCTGTGGACTTCCCGCTTGGGCTAACGACGACCACGAGCTTGCGTTCCTTAAGTTTTGCTCCTGTTTTGTTTTAAACATTTGTGCGAGGGCCGTTCCTCTCTCCGCCATATTATTGGTGAGCACACTCGGAACCCTCATGAGGTCTTCGATGGGTTTGGGCGTGAGTAGAGGCTTGACGTCCTCCTTCTTTATCGTCGGTGGAATCATGTTATTCGAAGCCATCACATTTATATGAGAAGGCGCCGTCACAGGGTGAGAGAGCGGAGCAGAGTAAACAGGGTCAAATATGGAGGAAACGGGTGGAGCCGTCGTCATCCCGCTCAAATTGGGGTTCAGTTCTGGCCGCGATAGGTCTCGCTCGTGTTGAATATTATTTTTATCCACGAATCCGTTGTGCGGCGGCGGCAGGTGCATTTCGGTTTTTATGGTTTCAGGTACGTGCGTCATGTCCGTTAGTCCGCCCAATTGGGCCATTAGGTTATGGTGCGACGGGTCCGACATCATTGAAGGCTTCGACAGAGCAAAGTCTTCCAGCCGCATAGACGATTCAGAGGCGCTAACACTGTCGTCCAGTGGGATTTCAGCTTGCAGACTGCGCTCTAGACTAGCCAGCGAACGTTCTATGGGATCTATGTAGTGCGATGTGTCGACTTTATCGAGCCCGTTGCGGGGTTCCATTTTAAGAGGCTTCAAGTTATCTGCTTCCCGAACTAGAGGCACGTTGCAAGAATCGGGTAAATTGCTGATGGGTGGATTTATAATGGGTTGAACTGGCGTCGTAAGAGGGGCAGATGCGACGGGGGGGTTGTTCAGTTCCGGTTGCGGCGCAGGGGGCACTTCTTGCGTCTCCTTGACTTCAAGCGCGGGCGGGATGTGAGGAACTTCTGGCGCCACCGGTGGCGGGGCGACCGCCGGCGTCACTATTGGCGCTACGACTGGTGCAACTATCGTCTTCTGAAAGCAAATTCAAATTTATGTTTACTTGTTCTTTGTTAAATGGCTTAGGTAAATGAAGAAATAAGAAATGATATTTACAGGCTGCGTCGATGGAAGCGGATGGCCTTGTTTCTTTACTTTTTTCTTCATCTGTTTTCCAACATTTGTACCTGTAAAACAGATTTTATAAATGACCCAAAAAGTTTAATTAAATGCCTAAAAAACACAATTATACTTACTTTGTGATTCACTTATATTAGACACTGTTTAATTGGATATCGGTATTCAGCTTTGATATTCTGACACTGGTGCTAAGCGCGTTTTGGGGGCATTAAGAAATTGAAAATGGAAAACGATATGGAAACTTCAAGTCACGGGGTTCGCACGAATAAAAAGAATATAAATAAATTTAAGTATTTACTTTACGTTTTATTATATTAAGTTAATATTATATACAAAGTTTTTATCATAAAACCTAAACAATACAAGTCATGATAATTGATTGAATAAAACTTAATATAAAACAGTTACACATAGTGTATCTTCACTTTCAAATGCTACATCGATACAAACGACTCTTATAGCTTGTACCAATTCTATGTTCACTTAATTTCGTATGCCTTTTATAAAAATTCGTTTTGTTTTGCAGCGCGAGTCGAAGTCTTATGAACTGCGACGTGCGATACGAGAATCTGGAACGAGTTAACGAGATAAAATATACACGTACAAATAGGCAGAGGTGATTCATAGTTACGTAGACAAACTATATCGTATGAATCTACCTTAACTGTACCTAACGCTACGGCAATTACACGAGTATACGTTGAAAACTAAATAAAAGTGCTCAGTCATAAAATCCTTTTAAAAGTAAAAGTGCTATAGCTAACTTAAGACTTCGATTTTAACGATCCGACTAATTGTACTTGGACAAAACATCTTTAAGTGCGCTAAACTTGGTGTCACGATAAAATCCTACCTTCGCTATTGGGAATGTACAATATTGAGTAATATCTATGCATACAAAGGAATACTGTTCGACCGATTACTTTTTAAAAATCATATACTCTGTTAACTTTATACAAAATAAATACGCACTTAATAATACGTTTACATTAGTTGAATGATGCAGCTGCAATTTACAATAGTTTGGAAATTTATAAACATACCTAATACATATATATATTTATAAATAACCTAGTTATGAATATAGTAATACTATACTAAAGACACTTATGTGGTAAACTTGCTTCTAACACTGAGTAGAGGAAATTAAAAGTAAATATATTTATTCGTAAAACAGAGGTGTTGCTATTGCAATAGCCATTTAAAACTTTCGTGTTATATCTACATATTCTCTTATAATCATTTCGTCCTAAATAAATAAAAATATAAGCAACGCAATAAAAGCAAGTGAGAATACAATTCTCAGCTTTAAAATAATAAAATTTCCTAAGAGAGGGATACGCAGGTTACAGTAACGGTAATAACTGTTTATGTAAAATATTGTTTCACGTTCTTATTAATAGTATCTTACACAAAATCGATATTCTTAATTTGATCCTTACAAACGTGCTTAAAACAGTGTGGCCCTATGACGTGTTCATTGCATAATTACTCTCTTTACAACGGTCAAGCACCTGTCTGTGAATAATAAAAATAGGCAAACTATTGCACGAATATCATTTTTATCCTCCCTCCTTGAGATAAAATAATCTAATTGTACAATTTAAAATCTTCTAAAATAACAGAAATCCAGCTGTTCAGTAATAAATCTGCAAGGCCATTAACATTCAACCCTAATTTACACAATACCATTGAGATATACTAAATTTATTATAAAATGTTTGCAAACAATTGGTGGAAGGAAGGAGGCCAGCTTTAGTATTTACGTATTAAAAATTGAGCAACACGTATACGATGCGGGGAGCAAGCGCACGACAATATTCAACGTTCACCAATAAACGATACCTTTTCAGAGGGTCAATTTTTAACTACAACATGTCACAGAAATCCTCGTGGCGAGAGATTGGGGCGGTCGGCAGAGATGAGATAATTCGCTTGCCAGCTTAATTCCGTCCTTACACAATTGTTTGCATTTAGCCGTAGCGTTAGCCGTACGTGGACTCGGCTGAGGCGCCGCCGGCGACGTTCTCGCTCCAGTCGGTGCGGGCGCAGCGCTCGCTACTTCTCGCAACTACTCGCTACGACCCACGATACTCCCTCCCACTCCGAGCACTCACACTTCACGGCGTAACACACACTCACACGCTATTAGTTACCGTAACATTGAAGTTTCCAATAGATACTAAACATATCCAAAGATTTAAGATGCAAATGAAATACCGGATTCGAGGACATGATATAGTTAAAAATATTAATGTGAAAAGGTATTTCCTATTGGTTTAGAAGCGAAACGAAATAAATATAATCTCTTACCGGCACCAGTTATCAGTGTCAGCGCACCAAAGCTGGCTTCTCCTTCCGTCTAACTACCGACAGTTGTGCCTTAACCGGAATCTGACTTTTGTTCAATTTTGCTTTCGTTACCCTTATTATTTTATCACAGAAAACATTCTTATTCCCATTGATTTAAAAATAACATCACCAAACATGTTCATAAAAAAGTAAAAAAAATAACACAATGTAATAAAAAAATTAGTAAACACTGATATAAAATATGGGAGGGTGTTATTTTAATATAACTCAAATGTAGGCACAGGGCTCGTCGGAAATATAGTATGGCAATAAATAGTGGATTTATGAGCAATAAATAAAGCTGTATTATGTGAGAACATCCATTCGGAAGTATAATAATCTATCAACTATAGACTATACTATCAGTCCTATAAATCTACAACCAGAAATCTGCGTGTGATGATAAAATAAAAAGAAATACTTTCTTTATTCATTCTCATAACATTCATGCTGTCTCTTGATATTAACGGACTAGAATAAAATATTGATAAAATTGTATCTGCCCCGCTCGAGCAGTAACAAATGAGTGCCCATATTCAGTCGATTTTAAAAAGGTTCGTACGAGTTAATTTACAATCGACTCATACGTTTAATGTAAAATTGCCAATATCCTAAACTAACAATAATTTCTGCGCTCGCGCAGCGCACTTCCATAAATGCAATTTAATCGGCGATTCAACAGGTTGCTAGTGGGAATCGCTCGAGTCGAGTTTAAGGCTAACCTGCTTCGCTGTCGCTGCTGTCAGACGAGCTAGTGTCGGTGCTGGACGACGAATTAGACGAATCTGAAGAGCTGGAGGACGATGATATTCCCCCTCCTAAGCCGTCCTTGCCATCTGCAACAACCATGTACCATATACGTTACTTTCGCCATATCAATAAAAATTACAACATTCTATCTCACATAGTATTTTAACGTTTTAATGTAAAGAGATTATTAAAAGATATTTTAGTAAGCTTTCTGCTCACCTTTTTTAGGTTGCTGTTTTTTATTCGACCCTAGCTGCCCAGTTACATCGTGCAATCGCTTCTCCAATTCCTGTTTCTTCTCAGCTATTTGTTCATCTTTTGATTTTCCAGAAACTTTTCGATCTGTTAATAGAAGTACACCAATAAGAGACAAATCTTTAGTGATTGTATTCTAATTGTTTTATAATATCAAATAACTTACGTGTCTTTTTTCGAAGACATGAAGCGACATAGCTCTCGAGTTCCCTTAGTGTGGACGGTTTAAGAGTCTCAAAATCTATTTCAATCTCATCTGGATTTGAGTCCCGCAGCGACGGCTCTCGACTTTGAATTATATGTACCACTTTGCCCAACTTGTCACCTATATATAAGCATAGCGTTAATCAGTCTAATATAAAAGGCAACAAAATAACAATCTTCAAAACGATAAAGAAAGGTTATGATATATAGGATTAAAATAATAATGAATTAAAAAAGATAAATTCTGACCTGGAAGCTTGTTGATATCGAGCGAGAGTTGTCGTTTTTCGTCGTAAGACATGGGTTTCGCGAGATCTTCATCATCGCTGTCATTGGGCGGCGGCGCGTGAGTAGCCGGCGCCGCGACAGGCGTAGAGCTCTTCTTCTTAGCGGGTGGTGCGCTGCGCGAACTACCCTTGCCCGCGCCACCACCTCGTTTGCTACCCGTTTTTCCGCGTACACCGCTCGACGCTACAAATACAACAATTATTTATATGGCTCTACACATATTAATCTCATAACGAAGGTATTTGAAGAAATAATGTAACATATTTGTAATTTTTCAGATACTGAACCATTTACGTTTTTTTGTTTGTTTATAGCCTAGAGGAACTGAGTAGAAACATTCATGACATAAAAAGAATATGTTAACAAGGTACAATATTTTTGAAACAAAATGGTTTTATTGTACTCACCTAAGTTTTCTGCAATATTATTGACTTTAGTATAAGCAGGCACAGTGGTGGCCTTCGGAACAGCATTGTTAGGCACTTGCTTCTTCTGCTTATCCTTAACTTTCTTTTTTGCTTTTTTCTTTGTGTTGGATTCTTCTACAAGCTTTTTCATTTTTTCTTGGAGGGCAAGCAATTCTTTCTCTAGTATTTTAACTTTATTATTTCTTTCCTCATCGGAGTCATCCGATTCAGAGTCTGATTCGGATCCTGACTCCGAACTTGAGGCAGAGCTGCCCTTGTCCATGTGAGGGACTCCAGCATGCAACGGTTCATCAGGAATTTTTGCATATCTATACAAAAATCACAATTTATTAATTGTATTATTGTCTACATAGAACAGGGTGCCCGTATATGCTCACTCAAAATTATGGAGTTAGATTCCCAATTGTACATAAAGAATATGAATGAATACATTTGGGCATATGATGTCCGGTAAGCGTCAATATCCCAGCAGTTCATTAACATATTGTTGCATCTGCCTAAATGCGGCCAGCAAAGTTTTAGTGAGCAATGATGTTCACAAATGTTTAAACAATATTGCAATTACTATTAACAAGAAATAAGAGAACTATGTAAAAACTTAAGTAAGTACCTCAATTACTGAATGCGAGAGATTCTAGGCTCGACTCTCAAAAAGGCAAAATATTATGTTTTCAGGGCACAGATAGACTTTTTTTACTTTATGTCAGTCAATTGTTAAATAAATAAATTATTATTATCTTTTTACCTCATTTCAAAAACATCTTGCAACTTCCGCGCCATCGCAACTACATCGTGATCAGGTGGATTATATTTGTAGCAGTTTGTAAATATTAAGCGAACATCAGCGGCGAACTCCGCTGCTGTTTTATACGCTCTATTGTCCATTTTCTGTTTCACTGTACCGAGATCCATTGGCTTTTTGATGATATCAAAGTAATCATGCAGTCCAAGTAACACAGCATCCACGGGTTTGTAGAACGGCCAGGCGTAGCCCTGATGATGAAATACACACAGATAAGCAACTAATCCGGTTATGATACGCAGACAGTTCAGTAAAGTGATATTCTAATACTAACTGAATGTTTCTTGGAAAACAGTTCTTTTAAGATTTCATTGCAGCTTTTGAGGGCATCAGAAAGTTTTTCCTTATTCTTGGGCAATTGTGGAGTGCCTGCATGATGTGATGCTCCTGCGCCACCGACGCCAGGAGACAATCCGCCCATTTTGAAACTATCGTCGCCAACTCTTCCAGCCTAGAAAACAAATAGATTTTAAACATTTCAAAATTATAATATGATGTTTAAACCTTATTCTTCAGTATAAAAAAAGATTTTTGTATTCATAGAATAAGTCCTGTGGTGTTTATAACTAATGACGTTAAATAAATAAAATAAAAACTGGATTTAACTGCACAAACCTTTTTCTGCCTTCCACTCTCCCGTCTTGTGGATATTTTAGCTGGTTTAGGACCGCCCTGCTGTTCTATGGTAGGCGTGGTGTAGCCACCTTCGAAAGAACTTCCCATGGGTGTTGTAGTATCCGCTTTTCTTTTCACACCTTTTTTTACCTGCATGTTAAGTAAGAAAAGTTTACTAAAAATGCTTTTAAGCCTGTCTGCATAAGCTACAGATAATGTATTATTTTACAATACTGACCTTTGCAGGTTGCGTTTGTGATAAGGCTACTGCAGGCATAGTCGATACAGGGGGAGCGGCGGCTTGACTAACGTGGAAATTCGAAGGTTGCGTTGCTACCTGGTAAAATTACTCTTAATTATTAATAACATTTAAAAAGATATATTATACCATATATACTTATTACGTTATTCAATTTTAATAATTTAATATCTTTACCAAGGAAATATATGCTTTTTAATGAAAAAAAGCTTTATCAAAATTTAAATATTCACACACAATAGTTATGAAAACCGACCTGTTGTGGGAGGCCCGCATGTGTGGCCGGCGGCGTTGGGGGTGCTGTGAGGGTAGGTGTGGTGGTTGTGTTGGTAGAGCCAACGAATGCTGGCATAGGCGTAGAAGGAACCGCTTTAACGGGCGTACTCCGTGATCCCACTGGAGCTGCAGTTGGTACCGCGCCCACTGACAAACCTCCACTTGAAGAACCACCCGATCTCTTTTTCACAGTCCCCTTGCCACTTATTGATGGCACTTCAATTTCCTTCTCTTCTTTATCCATTTGGGCTATCTAAAAATATAAAGATGAAATTTGAGAAACCAAACAGAATTCTTACTTACTATAATCTACAACATAAATAAACACTTACTCGATTCAGGAACAATTTTTCTAAAGTTTGCGCCATAACAACTACATCTTCGCCAGGTTTATTGTAGACATAGCAGTTAGTGAACATGGTGTTGAAATCTTGGATACATTCTTGAGCAGAATAGTAATAGTTGGATTCCAATCGCTTCTTTATAGTTCCCAAATCCATAGGCTTTTTAATAATCTTATGGTAATCCTAAAAAGAGATATTTTTGTCAGTAAAATTTACCTTAGAAAAGCCACGTATATGAAAAACCGCATATAATACATACTGGAAGATTTAATTTCTTAGCATCTACTGGTTGGTGAAAGGGCCATGCGAATTTATGTTTCCACACGGCCTTTATAACATTTTTTTGAAGGAACTGTAGCTGATTGGTGATCCGTCCTTGTCGACGCGTAGACTCTTCCGATGGCGCCCCGTTGACGGGCTCCACCACCGGCTGCAAATAGAGCTTTAATATTAGTAACTAGCTAACTAGCTTGATATTAGTAACCGCAATGTATTCTTATAATTCTCAGAAGATTTATAGCATTAATTTACTTATTAATCTCTTCATTTTATAGGAATGTGCAAAGTCATGAGACTGAGGCAAAGGATGTCCTTTTGCCTCAGTCAAATAAAGTCAATATAAAGTATGCATTGATCACTCACAGTACTCGTCGTGGCAAGCGGGTCAACGGCCTGCTGCATTGTGCTGGAGTCAGCAATCTACCTGCCAAAATTATGCCAGGACTATAGAAACTATCTTAGATAATGTACATGTACAATGGAAGGCTGATTTCCACTCACCTCAATAGTAACAAGAGGCTCATCCAATTTCTGACTAAGAGGCATCAGCTATACCCTCTTATAACATTAAACCTTTCTATCATAATAATTATCGGTGCTTTTGCACCTAATTGTGACTTAATTTCTATACATTTAACTTAAATTTCACCTAAAATCGTAAAAATTTAATTCAATTAAAACATGATATAAAAATGTTAGTCAAGAATGTAATAAAAAACCTGATAGAAATGATTATTTACCGTGCACAGAAAAATTGTCTGAGCTTCGGTGATTGGATCAATATCTGTGACTGACACCCAAATCTGAAATAAAAATATTTGTTAAGTAATTTTGAGACAGGTTGCTTAAATTATAATTCTTCTTTTTATTGTATCAATAATATATATAACCCAACAAAATCTTTTAAATTTCCATCGCCCAGTATTTTTTATACCTTATTGTGTTATATTTCCTATACAAAAACATTGGGTATTTTCTAAGTAATAAAAATAAGTTTTATATGGATCCAATATAATACTGGGGAATTTATATTAAAGGCAAATTATATCTTTATTATTATAAATGTTATGTATACAATTACATAAACAACTACTATATATATTAAACAATGTTAACTCAGGTCACTATAATAAAGATTTTTCACACCGGGAAAGTTTGAAAGGAAACCATCATTATCTTTTATGTTGTTTGTTAAGAAAATTCAATGGGTGATAAAGTCAGCTGATGGTGTGGACTGATCACCCGGCCTGCTATGGGTGTCCCCGATAGATAATAAGAAAATTTAAAAAAGTATTGGATTATCCTGTTCACACCCCACACTATTTGCTAAAACTATCTTGGATATAAAATTAATTTAGGTATTTCTATTGGTAGCCTAACGGTTATGTTTCATAGTTAAATGTGCTGTTAGATTTTTTACAAACATAATTTTGGGTAAGCGGAGATAAACCACACTTTTCTTTTTAAATATTTGACTCATTCATACTTTTTCTTAATGTGACTTGAACAGTTATTAGGATATTATATCCGTTTCGCGCCAATAATTAAAATTATAGTCATAGTGAAGATAACTTTTTTAAGGTGTTAATTTATATAGAAAGTATATTGTTTAAACGAAATCAAGATTTTTGTATGTTAATTGTTATTTTTATGTAAATGTTTTGACAAATAATAAACATTAAACTAAAGAAGTATTTTTTTGCTAAGAAGCTGAATTAACCACACGAAGCTCTTGGCGCCATTACATACAGCTCAATACATGTTTCCATTAAGAGTCTAGAAAATTCTAAAAAATCAAAAAGAGGAATCTGAGGATATTAGGAAGTCATGTCGCAATAAAAATTTGTATTTTAGATGAAGCATAAGTGTATTTTCAATAGATAATGACACTAACACTAAAGAATACGAAATATCGAAAAAATCAATCGTCGTTACTTGGGCAAGCGTTGGATACTCAAAATTATAGACTCTGTTATAAACAAATAATGTTTCCTTTATCTAGTCTACACGTAAAATGGAAATGAACTAAACGGTTTAATGTATAATAAGCACCTGATATCGTTACAAATAGTGCAAATGAAAATCACAAAAATCTCTCTAAAGAGGCCACGAACTAAGATGCAATTTTTGCTCAGTATTTAAAACATGCAGGCATATATTTTACACACAAAGAAAGTCCTAACAAAATACTGCAGAGGTAGCAAAAATATACATTGTTTAACATCCTAAAAAAGCTAAAAATTGTGAAAAAGACTTACGAAGGTAAATTAACGCCAATATGGCGGATGAACTAAAAATACGATGTAGTGAGTTACTTCTGAAACTGCGTTTTCTATAGATTTTCTTAATTTTACCAAACACTTCACTTTTTATGAAGTTCATAGTCCATTAATTAACTAATTAATTCATTGTATTAAATCAATAATAATCACAGTCCTTTTTAAATCATGAATAGCACAACACGAACTTGTAAGGGAACAATCGAGTTTCAGACATGGCCGCCAAGCGCGAAGCAAGTGATGAGCGTCTTTATTCATATTATCTAAAATTGATCACTAATTATTTCTGTAAATAAAAATATGGTGATAATGGTAAATAAAAAAGTGTATGGGTTACATTGTTTCAATGAATTTGAGCCGATGACATACGTTTGCATAGAATTTTCAAGATTCATTAGACATTGTTGAAAAAATTCCAATTTTCTACTTCCTAAAATACAGTTCTGAGTCCACAGACACTTGTTAGTGTTGCCAGGGCTTTCTAAAGATTTTTTTATTTATTAAGTTGTGATAGAAACAACAGTTAAAGTTGGCAAATTATGAAATAACCCGTTTATTCCAAAAGTAAATCATTTAGGTAGACTTCTTTAATCCTACACTTTATAAAAGTTAATGGCGTAACTCTTTTCGCACTTATGATTAACATAAGAACATTATCACTACGCAAAAAAAAAATATTATCCTCACTGTGCCTTTTAATTATCTATATTTATAATATCTATATAAGTCCTTGTTTCTTTTCTAAAAATCTTTATTATAATATCGATGCTAAGAATAAAACACCGAGTGAGAACAACACCTGTGAGAAAAGTGTTTTCTATTTTTTTGATATATTTTTTTCTTTCGTTAATTTCTTCTCGCTTGGCATGATAGACTTAAGAGTTCACAATAGTTTCAGTTTAATGTTGAAGTCGATAGTATTAATCTAATATAATATAAAAGATAAAACATGATATGAGCGTTTGCTATTATTTTTTAAGTAGACAATGTGTTAAGATAATTAGTTGACCACACTCAAATTTAAAATTTACTTTCTTAAACGGAGATATTAAGAGAGGGCCTTGTTGGATATTCCAAATTGCCAACGATGACACACTCTTTTAAACATACATTTGGGTTTTTTGTGCTGCTGCGTTTAAGCGAATTATTTTAGATATAAGATATTGTAGAAATATTGTGAATAGCTCTAGTAACATGGTTGAGGTATTTGATAAATATTATTAGATTTACGATAGACTTTAATACATGAGTCAATGGAGTAATATTTTTGTATTTCGCTTTGTTTATCGACGGTAGTGTACTGCCTACTACATTAAACCAAACGAATGTTTCTAAAAAGTAGGGAAAAATAAAAATACTAGTAACCTTTAAATTAGTAACCTTCATATTATTGTAATAAAAAAAGTAATGTAGCAATGACATAATTTTGTAAGACTGTTTGTATTACTTTATAATCTGTATTAATTTATTAATTTTGGCAAATTATTAATAATATCATAATAATGGCAACCCTCAATAGTAACACCCTATCTAAATAGTTCCCCAATTCTAAAGCGTTCCTTTCCAAAATCTATGAGTTAAAATATATTTTAATTTTTTGAATTTTTAATTAAAATGAATTTAATAAAATAAGATTTAAAAAAATCTAAAACATGTGATACAATTATATATGTACTTAATTTTCTTTTCTCGTAATTTTCTTAGCTGTATAAAAATGAAGTGTTAAAAAATGCCATATACATTATACAATAATATTTCTTTATAATATGACCATTACTACGTCATGTCCTCCTGAAATATTATAAATATAAAATACACTATCACTAATACCTTTCATAAAATGGAAAAATTAAATACATATTACATAGGGCATAAATAAGCGGAGACACTTGGTATGACCATGTGAAAGTTTGAAAGAAGATGAAACTCGTAAAACTAAAATATGTTGTGAGATAAAATACTAAACCACAGAGTACTTAATCATTTAGCTTTATGTGTATGGTATACAATTATGCTTTCAGAAATTAACCGAAATAATACATTAGAGTTGTTTGACGAGTTTGTGAATTTTTATTCGCACGGGTACATATAATATTCAGTTCAGGTTCTATTTATTTTTGAAATCACAATATTATTGTAGAGGTCCAGCCTTCAAAGGGTATGCTGCTAAATGAAAGAATTATTTATAATTTACGTTCTAAGAACTTGAAACATGAATCCCGTCGTAACAAATAGAGCGGGAAGACCTAACAAAAACACAATTACCAAATTCACCGAAGAACCAAGATCAATTATATCACAATTGCTCTCGGAAGAAAGACAGCAATCCTTATTAGGAACGGAGTCTGATAATATAATACTTCATGAAAAATTTACAACCAATAAGACTGTTCATAAGCCTCCCTTTGAATATGTTAATCTAGCATCACCGGTATTACAAGCTGATAGGGAAGATCAACAAAAGCCTTTTGAGCTGAACGATTTCATATTGAGTGGATTTAATGAACACTACAATGATTTAAATTTAAACAAAACTGTGCTAAATCGGTCAGTGTGTAAACATTCTATGATAGATATCTTCGTATTTCATACATTATGAAATTTATTATAATATATTCTTTGTTTCCAGACCAAAGAAACATAAGAGTGAAATGAGAGATGTAAATAGAATGCCTGTTTGTTCTTATCCTCAATGTACTTATACCACAAAAAATTCATCTAATATGTCCAAGCATAAGAGAACTCATTCCGATTATAAATTATATTTGTGCGACCAATGTACATTCAGTACCAAATTTTCCAATTCCCTGAATGTACATAAACGACTGCATACTAATGTTAAACCTTTTTTGTGTCCACATTGTGATTATAGATGTAATAGTAGTTCCAACTTAAAAAAGCATATAGGTCATAGACATTAAATAAGTTTAGCTAGGTAACTAGGATTAATTTTTCATAAATCCACAACAGGTTAAAAATTAGTAAGCCTGTGTAGGATTTTTTTGTATTCTACAAAAACAAGTCAACAAAAGCAAAATCTAGTCCATTAATCAGTATAATAATAATAACATCAAGTGATTTTATTGTATAGAACTATGTAATATGTATCGTTTGATGATGCAGATGCAAATGCAAAGCCAAATATTATAAGGAAAATAAAAGACATATCCCCAAGCTTTTATACATTTTATTCTAAACGTAACTGGTTTAAATATACCACCCAAAAAGGTTGTCTTAATGTAACATGATAATCATAACGTTTTGAGTTCTGTAGCGAGGTTATAAAAATATTAACAATAGTAATACTACATTGGTATTTCTTAGGATATCATGTCAGTGACAATGTTCCGTAAAGTCCACAACGACTGACTCACGCCAACCGAAGAGGAAATAACCAGTAGCAGAGCCCAGGACGACAGCAGCACAGAGCCATGTGTTGTAAGTCATAAACACTAACATTAACATATAACTTACAAGTACTTGGAACCCATGCAACACTGTTTGCCAAGCGTGTGCAGTACTCATCATTGTAGGTCTAAAATAAAAAAAGGATCATTGTCATTAAAAAGCCTTTACTGTGCAGAACTATATGTATATATAATAATTTTATTTTAAGTTTTTTTAAGTATCCTTCGACACTTACATGTTTCTGTCAAGGGCGTGTGGAACAGGTCTGAAATTAAATTGAGATGATAATTACACCAACTGGAGACTTCCTTGACTAATAGTTAAATAAAAATTGATGTAAGGAGGTCCTGATTCTCATAATATTATTAACAATTTCAAATACAAAGCTAGCTATAAGGTGTATCAGAAGAATATTGGGTGATAGTATTAAATGTATCGGAACATAAAATTGAGAATTGCATGAAATCAGATTTGCATGAACTGATATGCGATTTCATCATGAAAGCACAAATTTATAGATTTCCAACTACTCACTGTATAACTTGAGGATCATCTGGTGCACAAATATTTGCAACACCCTTATCTGGTGGAGATACAGCGCAATATTGAAGCCCCGTATAAGTTTTCCATAGCAAATGCTTTCTATAATATTTAAGCCTAAAAATAAGTTTAATACAAAAACAATTATTTTCACATATAATTTAAGATAGTGTAATTATGTTAGATTGAATTTCTTACCCCTCATAACATAGGGCAATAAGAAATATTGCTAAAAATGATCCAAAGAACTCCCCCACATCAGAGACTTTCCACCAAGAGAAGAGAATGACTTCTTTGTAGCCCCCATGAAACTATAAAATTTGATATAAGCTAAATTATTATTAAAAATACAAGAGTTTGAACCCAAACCTTTTGAAGAAATATGCAATAAATATGTATTAATAGTTCATGCATTGATGCTATCTACTTACAGTCATGCTCATTTCATGTCCAGCTTGGTGATGATTTTGATGGTGACCTTCATGAGCTCTAGTTCCAACTCCATCATTTATAAGGTTTATATCTCCACTGGTCATATTAAAGATTCCCTAAAATACATGTTGCAGTATTAAAGGAGTGACAGTTATAAATAAGAGCATTATTTAATATAACTTCAAAGCCATGATAGCCCAGTTCAAGGAATGATTTTACCAGTCAATAAACTAAAATCTTACATCCAAACTGCTTCCCATGTGAGAACCATTTATACTGTTAACTTCCTCATGTCGCATGTGATCCATGTCATCAATAGGACTTTCATGGTTTGAATGATGCATATGGTGTTCCATTATGATATTCTTAAACAAATTGTTACATTACAAAGAAATAAAATATTGGCATGTATCGAAGTAATTTGCAAAACAATTGCGAAGTTTTAAAAACTTTCAGAAGTTTACAAAACATTTAAAGGGCATTGGTGTACAATTATTAAATGTGTACATTCATATTTATAAGGTAGCCTAATTTTATAAATAGCAAGTATATAATTTGTATAAATAGCAAGGACATTTAAACTTATATACCTAAAAGGAATTTCAATGTACTACAATAACTAAATTTCTATGTACTTTACGTTATTTTAACTTACGGTTTTCCTCAAACTTATTTGTTATATTAATAGTCTTGTCTTGATGTTGTTTTACGTGTTACTCGGAAGGAGATAAAAGAATCTCATAAAGTACGTTACACGTAAGTGTAGCTTGAAATAGCAGGCACTGTGTAAAGTGAAAGGTTGAGTCTATAATATACCCTTGTGTAATATCTGTAGGTTTTACAGGAACTGAATGGAATTTTGACTGACTTTTACATAACACGAGATAAAACTAATTTACTTACCAAGACGCGAAGATTTAAAATATCGGTAACTTTTAATACCAGAAAAAAGTATGCATTGTGGTCACGCAAGAAATCTTTCGTTAGAAAGAAAATATCGCAAAAATAAAAAATAAGTTGTTGATTTCTTTGGCTCATAAACATAAAATTGACATAGATGACATACTGTTTTATGACAGCCTACTAACGCACAGAATAAGAATTGGAACAGATAAAATAGGGAATAGGGACTCTGGTAAAGTAAAGTAGTAGTAGTAGTAGTCTAGTAGTATAGAAATTTTTTCATAAATGCATTGAACCGAATACTGTACTCTTATTTTTATACTGTACTATATTTATTATTAGATCTAGATTAAATAACCTGGAAGTGGAACTACTAATCTAAGTAACATTTATCTATTCATCTTTATTATTATAGCGTAATTCACTCTCTTTTGAGGTAACCACAAGATTTAATAAGTCGTTGCAGTTTTAAAACTTTACAAATATTATTTTACCACCACATGTCTTTGCTAATGAAATAAACGGTAAAAACAAAAAATATATGTTAATTATGCTATTATTCGTCATAAAAACTAATATTAAATAATTTGCATATTTCTTTAAAATCAATTTTATTTTTCATTTATAATATCTGTTCCTTTTCAGAGCTGGAGATTTGTCAATAACTTGACATATTTTAGTAGTGTTTTTAAAGTACAGTAAGTAGAGTATATGTATGTACACCTAAAAGATATTTAAGCAATTTGTAGTAAATATTAAACATCAGCACAGCAATGAGGCTAACAACTTGTTATAGATGTTATAGTTATTCTAATACGAAGTTCATCACAGAGTTAGAAAATAATTATATACCCCATACAAGTTTTCAAAAAACTCTATTAGGGTTCGGTAGTGCTTTAGTTGCACTTGTTGATCCGCATAGAGCTGATATGATATCATGCATGGGTGAAGTAACAGGTGGTCAGGCAATTAAATACATGAGACAGAAAATGCTTGGAACCAGTGAGGGTGCCGAAATATTACGTGATATGCCTCGTATAAATTCAACAACAGTTTGTTTTAAAACACTGTCACAAATGCCCCAAAATAGTCTAGGACGAGTATATGCAAACTTTATGGTAGAAAACAAAATAACTGCTGACTCAAGATTACCTGTACATTTTATTAATGATCCAGAAATGGCATACGTAATACAAAGATATAGAGAAGTTCACGATTTAGTACATGCAACTTTATTTATGAAAACAAACATGTTGGGTGAAGTAAGTTATTAAAGATTATAGTTTATTCCCACTGGTGTAGCAGTAATGACCAAGGCAGTTTTTTTAAGGTAACTGTTAAGTGGGTAGAAGGCATTCAAACTAAGCTGCCAATGTGTATAGGTGGTGGCATATGGGGGGCAGCAAGACTTAAAACAAAACATAGACAGTTATACTTGAAGGAATATTTGCCATGGGCTATTAAAATAGGAAATGAAGCAAAATTTATGCAAGGTAATATACATAATATGGTTTTAAAGAATTTGAGTTTTAAATAAGTTGCTCACTGGAACTACCTTATTTGACAGGTATCTACTTTGAGAAGAGATGGGATCAAGACATTAACGACTTTCACAAAGAAATGAATATAACCAAATTGAGAGAAGTTTAAATTTTTCGTAGAAAACAATGAAATAAGTATTAGTAGTGTAGTATTTAAAAGTCAATAAATTTTTTTATTTATTAATTAACATGATTTATTTATAATAACATTTCAGAACTACGACCGTTAGGATTATGTAAGGGTGTTGTATTTCCATTCACATCAACGATCCACTCGTACCACACTCGCCGAGAGTCTACACAGCGCCAGAAAGTTGCATTTATAGTTTCTCCTTTTTTTACTCGTATTGGGGTCTAAAATTAGAATTTCACGATTTTACTCAGTATTTGAATATTTATTCTATTTGAAACTTGCAAAAAAAATTACCTTGATTGGAATAAAAACTGGAAACCATGATATCATTCCTGGACTATGTGTTGATGGTACAATACTTATCATCTCATTGCCATACAGTAAACAATCAAAATAACCTCCAAATCCATGTATCACATTGTCTTGACTGGCTTGCCATGTAAGTGATTTTTTTCTACGGTTATCAGTTAACGGTAGACCACGGTAGTCTACTATTGTCTCACCCTCATTGTCTTGTATACCTTCAGCTGGATGTGTAAATTTAAAAACTTCCTGTTAGGATTAAAAAACGAATGTTTAGCATATTGAAGACAGTAAAATACATTCATAGATAAATATGAGAGTAGGTATTTTTATGCACAACACAAACCTTACATTCAGCTATGTCATGTTTATTTTGCATATATACAACCCATAAAGTTTCTAGATTCTTATCCATTTTGCTAGGGTCTCCTGGACAAGCAATTTTAGCTGCTGCCCATAATCGCGGTGAACAAATAGGAGTAACATAGGAAGTGTATTCCGATGGTATAGATATACCATTTGGTTTCAACAGATTCACTGCTCCATCTAAACATTCCGGTGAAAGTTCATTGTCTGCCCATGATCCTGAAATCAATTTATTGATTTTATTTGATTGGATTCTAGTTTGTAAACAATATTCTCTTTACCATTATTTCGAACTGGCACAGGAGTGCACAGTACAATGTTGAATGTGGGTTCAATTCCTACCTCAGGCAATAAATTTATATAGTGATTTTTTTACTATAACACAGTTTTAGAAACTATTATTATTATTATTTTCTGTTGGGAGCATGTATAGAAGGCCGGGTGATCAGTCAACACCATCAGAAGACCATTTCACCTATTTCCCCATTTTTTCCTTGCAAAGCAAGCAACCCTAGTACCACATATAATTTTCTTATTATATTCCTGATGAAATACCATACCATAACAATTACAAATTTTTTGTCGTGAACCAGTTTACCTAAAAGTTCTGATACAATAATGTCCGCTTTGGGTGATAGATTCATATATCTCATGTCTCCGGGAATCACTGTAACATCTCTCTCACTCCATATTTCACGAACTTGCGCTGCTAGTACTACAACAGCGCATGGGTTCTTTTCAACAGCTATAACCTACAATATAAAAAGTTCAACAATTAAATCACCAAGCTTAAAAAAATCCTCATTTCATAATATTGTTGTCTTAACTTATAGGATGGGTATATAATGACTGAATTTTACATACCCTAACATTAGTATTAGTAATATCGGCGGCATTCAATGTTGCTCTTACTAATGGACCCCGACCAGCACCAAGTACCATCACAGTGTATGGAGGTTTGTTTTCTTTTTTGTCTTCTTGATCACCTTTAGCATTTTCATCAGTTCCTTCTGCTTTTGTTGTATCTGCCTAAGAAAATAAAACATATAGCAATTTCAGTAATGTGCGTACAGTAATATTACTTGTCTGTGTTAACCTGAAAAAGCATAGCTTCTTTTAAAAGTTACCACTGCCTTTTCTGCCTCCATTAATCAACTTTAAGAGCGAAAAGATCCCAGGTTTGTATTCCTGGTAAACAAATTTTTTTTTAAATCTGTAAATAAAATCAATCAGTGAAACAGACTGAAATACTGTATGTAACTTACTGTAAATATCAATTAATTTACTGACAATATTAGACTTTTCACATTTATCTTTGGTCTGTAGATCCGTGAGAGCTTGCACTATTGCATTTTGGTATTGATTGTATTTAATGGGATCCTTTTCAAAGACGTTGTATGTGTGCGTGTCAAGATTGTCAGCTAGTGGTTGTAAGGGAGTCTGTAAATAATCTTCCCATCTGAAACCATAATGAATAATTTTTATTTGAGGTCCCACGCGAGGAATTAAACAATAAGCATAAATACTGTCTGTAGTTTATGCGAGTAGTACACATTTTAATAAAACACACTAAAACGGTTTAAAACATTATATATATTAAAGCATCTGAAACATGGGGTTGGCGCTAAAATAATTTAAAAATAAACATAACATTTACTTTGACACCATGAAAACTAATTTATTGTTACATAATATTATATAATAATAAAATTTTATTACATGAAACATGGGTTTTTTCTAAAAGTAGACAGTCTCTGCTTAGTCAAGGTACAGTAATGTCAAATCAAAACATTGAGTAATAAATATTACTTTACCTATTCAACTTACCCCCTTGCATAACTCAACATAGGGTCACTAGCATTGGGCCTTCTTTGCCAGAGTCTTAATAGATATTTTACATAATATTCAATGTTTGAACGCCTTGCACCTCCAATAATAACTTGAGCATCTCGTTCTACCATACTTATAACAAAGTGTGAATGAGCTTTAGATAGAATTGGATAGCTAAAAAATGAAACACAATAATTAATCAAATTGGTTGAGAAGTTTTCCATTAAATAATTATTACACAGTCCCAATTGATATCATACAAGCAAAACTTCAGTTTTCGGTTAAGAGTATTATTATGGGTAACAACAGTAACTTTCTCCTGCCTAGATGGTGCTGTGCTTACAACAATACTTAAGCTATATATACTTACCCATTTTTATTGTTATGAAAAATGTGTGTTGGTAGTATAATAGCTTTGACAGGTTCTCCAAGCCACCTTTTTATTATCTCAGCTGACGGCAAATCAGCAGAAACTTCCAACACAACACCAACTCTTTTATCCCAATTCATATTTTCATGAAATTTGGACCACCAGTGCCATGGCTCATTATATGCAAAATCAACATCATTATCCTGTAACTCTTCAGAGTTCCTTAAAGTCCTTTTACAAAACATTGGAACACAAGTCCATATAAGCACAGAGTGATGGCTAAAATTTGAATTATATGGTCAATAAACACAACAGAAGCTGCTGATATAAAATACATAATCTAGACCATTTTTTACCTTGTTTCTTGGTAAGTCTGCAAAATCCTTGCCAAATTAGTATTGGTCAGAGAAGTAAGAGAAATCATTATGGCTGGGACTCCTAAGCCACGACTATATAGAAGTTCTTCTGTTAAGCAGTACTCGTGGCGTTGCTGTACGACTGGTGATTTAGCATCAACAGTGAGATACGGAGAAATTCTAGCGACTATTCTGTTTGTCCAATCTTGGGGAGACAATATCATATCTGACCTAGTGAAACCACCGACAGCAGTCCTGTGTGGTAGCAACGGGCGACGAAACCGGGGATGAACTATCGGCGTAACAATAAAGGAATAATTAGCTTGAATAGCCTCACTAACGCTTTCTTGAATATCAGGTGTTAGTGAATATTCTAATCCACATGATATTTCTTGTTGAGACATCTTATACAGCTAAAATTTTAAAGAGAATTTAACTATGATTCATTTATAATTTAATTCAGTGTAGATGAAGTCAACAATTCAATAGAAGAGGCTTAGGCAATTGTTATAATAATTCAAATTAAACACGAGTTTGTTATCCCCGGATTAGGAGAGAAGAGCTCACAGATCTAGAGTCATATGTCACAGATAATATCTTAGTTCAAATTCATTGAACTACTGAAAGCCGTTGAATTTCCGTCACTACATCTGTATTTTTTGCAAAATTATATTCAATCTGCATTTAAATACTACTAACTACACGTGAGATTTGAGTGTTTCAACTTTCAAAATACACGATATTTACCAACGCTCGCTTAAAATCTTTAATGGTTAATAATTTGTTTTAAAAAGGTAACGTACATTTATAATAAACACGAAGTACGGCTAAATATGGCGATACAAAAAAAGCCAATAAAACTTAAGCAGATCAAGAATGAACTTTTACGCGAAATGAATTTCATAAGCAACATCTTCACGTTTTATGCAGCTCCAAGGAAAGGTATGTATTTTAGGGAGTAATGAATTCCATCATTCGTATTATATGTAATAAATAATAATAATTGTACAATATAAAAAGCCATAAACTTGTATGAATTTTCTATAGATGAAGAAAGCGATCTTATGGATTTCGAAATTACTAAGGGAAATAACGCTGGTGACGACGAAGAAGACAAGCCAAAAAGGGCACAAAGCATTGCTGAGCTAGAAGAGAAATTAGAAAAAGTAAAATCTCAGAATAAAAATTTGAAAAACAAATTGCTTAAGAAGAGTCTTACTAGTAAACTAAACAAAAAGATTAAGAAAAAAGAGAGAGCTAAACTTAACAAAAATAAAATTCAAAAAGCATTAGAACACAGCGATAAACCTAAAATAGAGAAACCTATTGCTGCACCCCAACCAAAACCTATTTTTAATACTGATGGAAAACTTGTATTTTCAAAATTTGATTTTGCCAATCTAGGATCTAAAGGTTGGTACATTTTTCATTAATAGATATATTGTATTATCTACTGAGTTAGATGTATTCTTTATAATAATTATATCGTTGCAGAAACAACTCCTAAGGTGCACAAAGACCCGAAAAAGATTTTGGATGATCTAAAGCAGCAAGAGCAAAAAGTTCAAGAGCTGTCAGAAAAGGATAGTGATAGAGCTAAAAATTTGAAGGAAAAAATTGCTTGGAAGAATTTACTTCAAAAAGCTGAAGGGCAAAAAGTCAAAGATGATCCAGTATTGCTTAAAAAGTCCATAAAGAAACATGTAAGCACATTTTTTTTTGTAAAAATTAAATGCCGGTTTAATAAGATATTGCAACTATTTATTAAACATTTATTGATTCTTATTTCAGGAACAAAAAAAGAAAGCAAGCAAAAAGCAGTGGCAGAATAGAATACAGTCTGTTGAGGGCAAAAAAGAAGAAAGACAAAAGAAGAGAAAAGAGAACATCTTGAAAAAGAAGAAAGAAAAGAAAGCTAAAATTATTAAAACTTCAGAGAAGAGGGGGAGAGTTGTGATATAATCTAGCTAGCTCTCTATTGTATCTTTAGTTAAGATTTTATGTAAATATATAAGGAGATTATATTGTTTTTTTTATTCATCCCTTAGGAGAATATTACTTCTTAAAAAGGTACAAATAAAAAGTACACAGAAAAAAATGTGGAAAGAACATTTTAATTGTTGTTATTTCTATTGAAACATACAGTTTATGCATTTATACACTATTATGACCATTGTAAACATACAACGTTAGTAAGGTAGTCGTAAGGTAACAGTAGCAGTTTGTTGTAACAAATTGCTCCCTTAGTGTTGTTTAAACATAAACATTAAATAAGGAAATTTACAAATGTCGGTGGATTTGTTAACTTGATTAAGCAAAAGATTGCACTGTGCTAAATCTACAATTAATAATAATATTGGGTACTGATTTTAAACTTGTATACTATTGGTAATTTTAATTATCATTATTTTTAACTGATATCTGAATTGAATCAGCATAACATTGTTTCAGCAAAAAATTGAACATCAATTACAATTTAGCAGTTAGAAACTCAGTACCCGAAAACAAAAATATGCATACATTATTCTAAATTTAGGTAAAACTAAAGTAGATAAATTTATATGAACACATATTTACTTAACTCTAGATGGTTTAAAAAAGCTCAGCTTAACCCTCATATCAAAAAAACCAACCATCGGCAATACCAATACCATTGTACTTGAAGATTTAAAACTTTGTATATCTAAATTTCACATTAGTAATTAAACCACATATTTGATTAGCCAGATGAATACAATACGGGTTTCAAACAACCTCAGTTTCCGGAGGTAATACCTTTTTATCAATTCTGTCTCCATACATAAAGTATACTTTAATGTTAACATAGTCTATTTATACATTTGTACTATTGTACCTATGTTATGATTTAACAATATTTTAATTCTATTCTTAGCTGATACCTTAGAATAATTTTCAACCCATTAAAACAAAGGTAGTATTGATATTACATATCATATATAGAATTTATGTTTAACTAAGAGTTAATATTATAATGTAGGTAATTAACAAAAACTGTTTACATGTTTTTTTAAGATCGGTTTCGTTCACAGAAGAAATCAGATTCTTCAGATTATAATCAAAATATTAGATGGCGACACATTAAATACCTACATAATAAAATGATCTTTAAAGGTGGAATACCTTACAAATATATGCCTTAAAGAAACAAATGAACTTAGATTATCTCTAAAACATTAAAGTATAATCATATAATAAATATTATTCTCAAAGCTAAGCAAAAGAACCCAAACAGTGTGTAGAAATTAAGAAAAACTATATATTTTATTTAAATGAGGCTAAAATGAGCCTTAAGGAAACAGTAATGTTCTAAATTATATTAAAAATAGCAACAAATAAACGAGCCTCAATATAGAAGTCTTGTCCTTAATTAATATAGTAACAGTTTATAAAGGTAAATAATTAATTGATAACGTAAATATAAATACTAAAAAATAAGAACGTGATATGATATTCAAATTAAGATTCTTTACAATTTCTGTGAAAAGAGTGAAAACATGTAATATGTTGAGATAACATTAAGTATGGTTTTTGAATTTTCATTCAATTCAGCCACACATTTTAAATTTAATAATGCTTTTAGGCAAGTTTTATGTTCTAATGAACATTATTCACACATTGTGTATGGCTAAGCCTGGTTATATTGCACTCTAGACAAAGTTAACAATTTGGAAAAATATTAAATTACCTTTTAACACAAAAAGAGGCATTTGTTGAGTATAAAGTACATTACAGTCATATACATTCCTTCTAAGGACAGGAAAACAACAGTTACAAACTACCATCCATAATTTTAAATTCTAAAATTAAAATATCTTAAAATAATATAAACTAAGGATTATAAAAAAATATAGCTCTTACATTTAAAATATAAAAAATAAAAATGTTTAATGTAATACTGCACACTAAATAGTATTCTAAATCAGTCAAGGCTTTAACAGTATTCAAATTATAAAGTACATTAAATTACAGAATGTAAATATTGTTTCTGATTTATTTTAAATAGTAAAGCTGCTTTAATGGAATTAAGGTGGTATTTAGTAATTAAGTATTTAAATAAAAAAGTTATCAAGTATGTGTATATTTTAAGCATGTCTATGTGAATTCTTGTTAAAATTTAATGTACATAAACATGCATAAAACATAAATTACTAGAATTACTTTGCTTACTCTCTAATTATGTTCTAAATTTAAATGGTAATAATAAAGCAAGTTGTGAGGCGGGATATTTGCATCAGTCTTGTGTAATTTTTGATTGTGAAAAATTATAACCTTTTAACTTTTAACTATTTGGTAATTTGTATAAAATGAAATCAAGAAGAACAGACTATGTATACAAAGTGTTAAATATATCGTCAGTTCATTTCAGATTTTAAAGATGACAGAGTGGCATCTAAGACCCGGTTAGCGGCGTAGCTAGGTATATTTAAATATGCAGGTTTATCATGCTCACACAGGCCAGGTTGGGTGCAACAACGGCTTACAGCAGTACTGGTGCTGGTTGATGCACTACCTTCTATCTCCGATGTGTTTGAAATGCAAACCAACTGATGATTATTAAATTGCTCTAAAGACCGAAGCTGTTCTCCACAATTTTCACACTTCAACTCTCTTGCGTGGACTTTCATGTGGCTATTCAGTGATCTTGAATTGTCAAAAACCTTAGTACACATGTCGCAGTATTTTAATGTTTTTTCACCAGTACAGACCACTTTGTGATTATTTAACCTGTCAAGTGACATATAACGCTTGTTATTACATAGGTCACATTTAAATTGTTTTTGTGGTACTCGACCAGTGTGTACTTGCATATGTTTCCGGAGATTACTTTTATCTTTTATATATTTTGAGCAGACTGCACATTTATTCACATCTTTACGAGAATGGCTAGAATCCAAATGTCTACGTAAATGTGATTTCTTGTGAAATGGTTCTAAACAAATCTGACAGCGGAATGGTTTTTGAGCTGGATGCACTCCAGTTAAATGTGTGTTAAATTCGAGAATAGTTGGGTAACTCTTTCTGCAATGGGGGCAATGAAAGAGTTTTCGACATATAGATGTACTGGAATCGCAAAAAGGGTCAGAACAGTCATCACAAAAGGAGTCTAATCCAGCTGGTGGGGTAGCTGTTGGGAATTGTTCTGTATCAGACTGAATTGGATCATGGTCTGGTGTACCGGCACCACTAGGCTCTTGTTTTACTTTTGTTTGATCACTTCCTTCAGAAAAGTCATCTTGTGATGGAGCACTCCTTGAGGTACTAGCCAGCATCCACCAGGGATTATAGGGCCAGGTAGCTAAACCAGCTTGTGCAGACTGACCTTTGATATCACTTGTTTTAGTTTGTGTTTCCGCGTTCGAGTATCCTGGGAAACTTGGCAACTCTTGTTGTTTAGTTCTAGATCCATCAAATAAACTGTGTTGTGAAATGATGTTTTCATAATCACTGGAATCCAACTTTCGTTCGTTCCGATCATTTGGTTCTCTTTTGGACATATTTTGGCTTCTAAAAAGAATTATTACATGATGTGATTATATGTTAGTAAAATATCCAACAAACTAACGTAACTTTGCATGAGCTAAGAAGTAAACAAACAACGCAAATATGCGGAAGTAATATATAATTGTTGATTTCACTGTTCTTTGCATTAATCCCACACTTTGATTAAATAATCGATATAAAAAAATATATTTTGACGATGCATTATCATAAATACGTACATTTAGTAAGTTTATTGTCGTAAAGTTTATCGTATTTTTTAACAATCGACCATTTTGTTTTTAATTGCAGTCACAGATCACAGAGAATGTATGTTATTTTGTTTATTATATGATACGTATGAAGGTGATCTGTGGTCTGTAGGGAGAAATATAATTATATCTGTGTTTATCTACTACTACTACGACTACATCTGTGACTCTAGGTCCCAGAGTCTGGAACACTGGGGTAGATAAAAAAATAAAATAGAACTAAGTTTGTTATTAAGTTATTGCTATTATTTAACACAAAATTGTAGATAAACTTAAAACCTGCATGGAACTGTAACTCGATATGGAGTGGCTAAGCTCAAAAGTATTAAAGGTTCTTTGGCGACCAACTGTAAATATAGTAAGGTTAGTATTATAAGCATAAGCGACCAACCAAGTTATTCACTTTTACGGGTTTAAATCTTTATTTTTTTGAAAATTATATGGATCACTTCTTTCACAAAGTACAAAAATTAGTATTAGTAATAAAGGTGTAGTTCTCTTAGGTTAATTATGTCAGTTACAAGCAAAGATGAACAAACAATATTATGGAATTTTAGGCAATCTTATGTATGTTTTATATGTGACAATAATTTATAGGACAAGGTATCACTCTGAAAAACAACAGATAATAAAGAGGTATGGTTACGAAGAAAAGCTGTGGTGTGGCGGACTATTACCTAGATCAAATGGTAAACGGTTACCAATGCCTGAGTACAGGTCAGTTTTTATAGCATTTTGCCTGTTCAACCCACTTAACACTACAACAATTAAATTGTTACAAAATGTACAAACTATTGTAATTTACAGACCTGCAAATCCTTGGACAGAAAAAAAAGCATTGTATGGACAAAATGACTATATAGATATTCTAGGCAATGGGCAGATACACCCAGTTAAAACCCTTTACACAGTTCCTGCTTGGATTAGAGGAGTCAGTGGAAATGAATATCAAGTAAGAAAGATACTTTACTTATGATTTTCAAAGTTCATTACCATGTCGTATCAACAGGTTATTTAGTGCATAAATTTTGATTATTTTTTTACTGTTGAATATGTCTGTATAATTATTTTTTCTCCTTAAGGTACTACTACGCAAGAAAAAGTTGTTTTCTAAAACTGGTTATCCTGCTGTGAGGCCAAAAAAATGGAAAGAGCTGGAGAAACGTTTGTTATTTTTATCTAAAATGCTAAATAGAAAGACAAAAACTGGAATGTCTAGAGATTAGTATGTTATAATCTGTAGTTCTAAATAATATTTAGAGAGACAAACATTTTAGTTTTATTTATATACATTTTACACAATATGCCTTATTCATGGTAGTCAAAGGGTTTCCATTTCTTGCAAATTGCCATTTAGCCTAGTATTATAATCCTTACAATTTAATATTTATTAGAATGATAAGAAAGGGTACTACTATTAATAATACATCTCCTTCATTTAACAATTTAATTATAGTATTATTATCAAAACGTTATTCATGTGACTAGATCAAGCATTTTTTATCCATTCATATCATTTACATTACATTACATACACATGTGCAATTACATGCATACATTTCTTCATATTTTTTTTATAATACAGGAAAACTAACAACCGTGGAGTCCACTTGATTAAAGATGAAGAAGGACTTGAGAAAAGGTCTGTGCTGGTTAGTGACCCAGGTGAAATTTCAACAGTCCTGCCACCTATTTAATATTCATTTCCAGACAAAGACCAACATGTTTAGAAACAATAATAAATTGCTTAGATATTTTGGATCTGGTGGGGACAATTGCTACCAGCATAATTAGTTTTTTACCTACATAAATAGATATGCCTTCGAAAACCTTAATATTTTTCACATGTGCACTACATGATGGCAACATATAAATTAAAAACCCATTTTAGATTGAAAAAAAATACCGACTATTGGTTAGAGCAACAGCACTGCACGCTAAGGATACCAATTCAAGTCCTGCCCGTGTCGTAAAATTCTTTCAATCTTAAATCGATTTTTACCATATGTTTTTAAAATTAGACTCAAGAAATAGGCATGCCCCAGTCTTCTTTTATCATATCTGCTGCTTTCTCTGCAATCATAACTACTGGTGCATGGGTGTGAGAAGCAGGGATACGCGGTATGATGGATGCGTCAGCAATTCTTAGCTTCCTGATACCGTAGACAGTCAGACGAGGCGACACAACAGCTGTGCGATCACTATCTGGTCCCATTTTGCAAGTACCCACCTGTTAAAATAAATGTGATTTAATAATCGATAATAAATTTAAAAATTTACCACTCGGGCAGGACTTGAACCGGCGTCGTCAGCGTTCCGTGCTGTTGCTCTAACGGTCTAACCACTACCGAGTTATTGTAAAAATGTATAATAATAATATTAAAGCTTTAAAAATGTGTGTCTAAAAATATTTAACCACATTATTTAGTTTTAAAAAATTGGCCTTACTTGATGATCCAAAGTAATTGAGGTTTGCATTATTGCACATTCCCAATATTTATCAGAATCGAACGGTATGTCTTCGCAACCAGGGAATGGCACATCGTTTAATCGGGTGCCGTACTTTTGGAAGAATGATGTGTTGACTACTTTTTGTACCTGCGAACATAATGCGAAACAATAAATAAATATACACAAACACGCGTACAAATTGAGTATAAAATAAAACAAAATAAACAATGTGTATCCTAGATTAGACCAACGAACGTGTGGTCTAATAGTAATGTGTGGCTAATATTTGTACATGTTTATAATTAATTTATCTTTTTTTTTTTTACTTGACTTGATGTAGAAATCTTGATATACAATAGGTAACTGGTCTAAGGATGAAAAAACCTGAATTAATTATTCAGAACTAATTAGTACCGTTTCGGTTTCAAAGCCAAAATACTTACATTGACAGCGCATTTCGTTAAGATAGAAATCGCTTATCACTACCTAATATAAAACAAAGTTCCTTTTATGTCCCTATGTTGTTAACATGACTATTTAATAGATATGATTCAAGAGGAAGGTTTTTAAATATAACGTTTACAATTTTTCAGTAGTGCACTTAGTATCACCGAGGGAAGCCGGGCCGGGTCGCTAGTTTAGTTATAAATTAAATAGCGTTTATATTTACTTACGATTACTTTAATCGAACTCCCTCCCTTAAAACGAGCAAATCGTCGGGATGGTCAAAATAATTCGGGTGAATTTTCGGGTGGTCTTCGAAATTTGCACTTCGTAACGATAGCCGGCCGTAGCTTTGCGGACGTATTAGTACTGGATTCATAGAAAAGGTGCGCTGGCGATCAAGTAACGGTAATGACCCGTATACCTTTCTATAGAACTGATCGGTAACTCCTGAAAAGAAAGATATAAGCCATACATTGCTACCATTACAACTTCGAGTACGCCAAAATCTGTAGAAACGGTAGTCCGATAGTAATAATTAAAATTGCATTTCGCACGTAAGTTTCAAACGACAAAAAAAGGTAAAAAAGGATTCGGTTGGGAAAAAAAAAAATTCCTTTAAATTAGTAAAAATTTTAACGTTTAAAAGGTTTTGTCAGATTTTTTGTCCCAAACACTCCGCAGCAAAGCCGCTTTAATCTTACGTTTAAGTCTCGGTTTAGACTATGGTTGTCAGTTTTCCGATATATCCGCAGCCAAAACAGAACAGGCATTTTTTATATGCTCGGCTGTCCTCATATATCACACAAAAGAGTATTATATATATTTTACTGAAGTGAGAAATATGTACCAAGTAAAGATCGTATGATTCCTAGAAAGTCACCCGCAAGCGAGCCGGCGCCCATGACCAATTCGACGTCTGGACGTCCTTCGCTAAGGTCGTTTGCATACTGCGTACGAGCAAAAGCTAGTCCTGCAGCTCCACCAGGTATGGTGAGGGGCCCCTGACCTGCTAAATAAGCTGCTGCTGATGTTGGGGAGGCTGCTAACATCTACAGACAAAAGGGTTATGACATTCAAATATTTTACCTAAGCAGTAATGTCCATTTTAGGCTACCAGTAAATAGAAAAGAAAAATTGCAATAAAAATACATCTATACCAACATTACGAAGGAAGAGTTTGTTTGAATGTGCTAATCTCAGGAATTAATAATTCGATTTGAAAAGTTTTTGTGTTCGGGGATCATTCATCGAAGGCCTCAAGCTGCTCAACATCACGCTGTGACCAATAAGAGCGAAGAAACGATGATTGTCAATGAAGACGTCGTGGGTAACAAACGTAAATAATGTACTGCCCAAAAAACTACTCCATGCGAATGATGTCGCGGATACAGCTAGTATGATTATATACAAACGTTTTTAACCTGGCCCCCTTATAAACTATTTTGAATTATTTATTACCTGTTCGAATTATATAATTATTTTAATGTCGTATCTATTTAAGGACGACGAGGTCTTGTAAATAGAAAATAGAAAACGTTCAGTTTATAATCTTTGTATATGTTACTTACATCGTTAACACAAAGTCCCGTCGTATTAACAATAAACGCGTTTCCCGAAAATGTGACATGATCCTGAAGATTATACCCCACGGGAGCGTCGTAAAGGGGTTCTATGCCGACGTCACGAAGGTGCTCTGCAGGTCCTATGCCTGACAGCATAAGTAGCTGTGCAGAACCAATTGTTCCTGAGGCTAGAATTACTTCTTTTTTGGCATATACTCGCCGTCTGAAATCAATAGTATTAATATATAGTAATTTTAATCTTTAACCATTTTTAAAATCATTTGGAACACCGCGTCATAGTTAAAATATTTTTTAAATGAGTATCAGTAATATTTGTCGCGTTTTAAACCGTTAAAGTGTTTTATTAAAATCTCTATAATATACGTTTCAAAAGTTTCATCAGAGCTTTTAGAAGTACCTCTAAAACCAATTGAGTTATATATACAGTAGCTGGCTACTTCATTGCTTAGTAATTTTTAATGCAAAGCAAATATTTAAATATCTGTATTTACTCTATTACTTATGACCACACTAGTAACTAATCCATAGACTTGGTATCTGTGTACTTAGGTATACTACATCAAAATACACCTGTATGCAATTAAAATAAAACATGACTAACGTCAGACATTTTACCTTTTGTTTCGTTTCATGAATTCAACACCGGCAGCTGTTTTTGTGTCGGGGTCAATAAGTATTCTTCTTACAGTCGAAAACTTTGATACTTTCAGGTTTTTCCTAAATCTAACTGGTTCTAAAAAGGCTTTCGCTGAACTGCATCTCCTGCCATCGCGAATCGTAGCTTGCGGCTTTGAAAATCCTATAACCTCTTCCCCATTAGGATCGTTCCATTCGTAGCCTAGTTCCTCGCCAGCTTTCCTGAATGATTCTTCCAGAGGCGATGAGAACGGAGCGTAATCTATATCTAGATAACCACCTGTTCCATGGTAGTGGGAGTTTTTCAATTCCTTTATCCGTACGTTTTCCGATTTCTTGAAATATGGTAGTATCTCAGTATAATTCCAGCCGTCGTTGCCCATTCGAGCCCAATCGTTGTAGTCGTCTGGGTGTCCTCTTTGATAGATTAAAAAGTTGAGTACACTGCTCCCCCCCAGAACCTTTCCACGAGGTAAGTAGCAAACGTTCCCTCTAAGGTTACGACAAGCACGTTCTTCAGGTTCAGAACTGTAATCCCAATTCATTGGTGTTATAGACATGAAGGGTGCAAAAATTGGAATATCCGAGAAGAAATTCTCGTTTCCACCAGCTTCTATTAAGAGAACTTTCCATTTAGATATCTCTGTCAGCCTGTTAGCCAGTACACACCCAGAAGAACCAGCTCCAACTACAATAAAATCAAATTCTTCCTTATCTTTGGGCGTGTAATCGGGAACGAATCCTTCATTGTTATTGTGTGGTAGCGGACGAAATAAGTCCGTCCAAAAGTCGAATATGTTAGTTTGTGATTGGGCATTACAGAAACTGCTTAACATACAAGCTATTAAGAACCATTGCATTTTTATCGGCTATTTCTTCATATCTGAAATGATAACGTTATTTGAATTTATGCATTATTTTTGAAAGCTGTACGCTTGTTTCTTTTTAATTTTTGTAGCTTTACCAAGGTAAATATTTGAAATATTAGGCGTGCTTAGGCAATATCAAATTAAACGTCGATAATTATGTACTATGCTGTAAAGACTTATACTGCCATCTCACGATGACATTACAAATCGAGATATTGCAAACGTACGTAATTTTATTAGCACATACCCAGTACTATGGATGTAGTATAGTAAAAATAGTTATAATATTGTAACTATATGAAGATTGAGGTCTAAGGGATCTATTTAATCTTAAAAAAATCTATTGGATAATCTTTACCGACTGTGTTTTATTTAACCACTGTTAATATTTAGTATGAAAATGGTAACGCAGTATTTCTTTATCGTTGCTCATAGCCAAGTACCTAAATTGAACAAACCACTTTCTGATCGGCAACCAACCGCCAAATCGTGTCATTTTATGGAAAGGAATATCATGTTTTAAATAGCTATAGAGGTCGAGTTTTGTAATTTATTTCGAGAATTGCAATATTATTATCTGACGAAGGTTACAGGCAAGGTCATTTGAAACAAGATCAAGAAGCCTAGTGATGAAATATTAATGGGCTGGCGATAATTAAAAACAAAGAATCTCACGAGATACCGTACATTTTGATGAGCTTGAATTATTTAATATACATTAGAAATATATACTTAAAGTAATCAAACTTATAGTAATCGATCTTAGAGTCTTATTATGACATATAAAATGGACTGGGCACGTCGTTTATATATAAAAAAGCAAGGGATACCTACTTTCACGTATTTTTCCTATGAACAGGCATTTTACTAGTAGTAATTTCCAGCTTATTGTATCTTAAAACTTACATGTGATGTGATGCGGAATTAAAATAAAAATAATTGCACATGAGTCAGTGTGAAAAGTTCTGAGGATATAGGTACAATACTGTAATTGGGGGCACAGAAGTATACCCGTAGTTAGCATTTAGCTGTGAAACAGACACGGAAGCATTTGATTTATGCAGCTTGACTTGACTTTTTTTTTTGCAACTTTTACTATGTTTTTATTATTACAATATATTTTTTTTAAATTTTCACTTGCGTTGCCAAAGCGGTGCCAAACCCTAGCAGCGGACTAAGAATTTACCGAAAATCAGTTTCAGGTCAACAAAGGACCTGATATAAGCTGAGTTGCTTAACTGCTGTTTTTATACTGTTAAGATTAAATTATGATTTATTTAGTGATAAGTCTTATATGTTTTTGAGTGGCTTATGAAGGTAAACAAATGTATTTTACTTTTTTTCCCTTTTTATTAGTAGTAGCTAGGTTCACAGGAGCCCGCTCTACCTGATGGTATGAGAGAATCGGGTCCTCGTCACCTCTTTTAGCATAGCTTGAAATAAATGAACCTCCAAAAGCAACAAGAACTATAAATAAGAAAATACTTTTCTTCTACGCTTATATCTTCTCAAAGATAAGGTTAGAGGGCCCCTAAATTCCGGGGCCCTGGTGCACTGCACCACCTGGCCCTACGATAGCTACACCACTGCGTATTCATACCTTACCCCGTGCGGGGAAAACGACGTTTAATGTGTATAAGTTGAAGTATTTGTCTGTTTGTTATTGTTGTTAAAGAACTTCTCTAATATTTTTATTTTTAAATCTGAACAATTTCGCCACCAATCTTTGTTTGGAAATTTGTTGTGCCCTGAGAGCCTTGTACCTTGAGCGCTACAAAACAAGTCTCGCAGAGTTTGTGATTTCGAAATTACCTCGCGATTTATGTAGAAGATATTACTTAAATATATGTAACATGGTCTTATTTATATTTTTTCTCTTTACGCAAAAAAACACAAGTACCCATGCATGAATGTTCCAGTTGTGTGTGAAATCCCGTTTACCCCTCGTGGGGCATGGGGAGAACACATTCCTGTATCCGTTTCACTGATCCGTTCTTTAACAGGCAAGTAGTTGATCGGACTTCTGTGCCCTGCCTAACCAAAACAATTTTTTGTTTACCTGGGATTGGAATACAGGCCCTCTCGCGCTTAACGCAATGCTAGGCAATACGCTACAGAGACAATCAAATTATGATGGAGTTAGGTACCTACTACAATATACTATATTGTTTACTCAAAGAAATTCATTCCATCTCTTTCTCACTCAAACGTTGTCTCTTTTGTCATTTAAAACGAAATTTAGTGTAGCAACTAGTTTTCGTTTTTTTGGTATGCAAAGAGAGAGCGTAACTGGCTTTTATCGTTACTAGGACTATGAGTTTATTCTTTAACAAAAAATAGACGTAATTGTACTGTAACTTGTAAGCACAGTTTTGTACGTAAAAACCCGACTGAGGTCTTTGAACTAATTAAGTGAAATTTCTTCTCGTAAATTCATTTTCATGTATATGTATATAACCAATAGTAGTATTTTAGTAGAACTATAGTAGTATTTTTAGTAGATATAACCAATAGTAGTATCTCGCGTCGTAGATTTTTTTACATCTAAATAGATTTTTAATCTATATATCACGTTTAAACCGTTAAAACGATTTTAATTAAATGTACTACAAGTCAATACTCTTTATTAAGTTATATAAATGAAACACACGTATTTAACATCGTCACTTGCGTAAATAGAATAGATCAAGTACTTCCATGGGTGATTGAAATGCAAGACCGTGCGGTGATAAGATGTAGGTACCAACATATATACACATAATACATACCAATATATACATCTAATACCACGAGGTGCGTAAATATCTTGAGTATCCCTGGTACTGGTTATGTTGCTTCATCATATAGGCTTTTAACTAGCACTCATATTAAGTATTTAATATAAGATACAAAATTTTAATGTACCTTTCTATTTCTCTATGGAATTGTTTGTTTAGATATTTGTAATAAGCATAGATGATCCCTGAACTAATAAATAACTCGTTTTAACGTACTAAATCGCCAAATTTATTTTAAATTCGTTTAATTATGACCACGGATGCTTTGCAGCAGCGACCACGAGAGGTGAATAGCACGTAACGTCGGGTCATAGTTTAAAAAGTAATGTGTGCAATATGTATCGTGTTTGAAACCATTAAAAGAGTTTAATTATTACATAACTCTTTAAATAATAAAGATCTTCTATTTAGGTAAAAATACACACATAAACATATGAGAATATTAGAGAATACAAGGCATTGTATCGTTTTTTATAGAAACCTTGTGTATTTTGTAATCGATGAACTATTAGTAACTTTATTATATATTCCACAACAACAAAATAAAACGTAACGTAACACAAAACGAGGTGTAGGCTACTTCAAGGATTTTTAACTGTTCTATGAGACCAACCAAAATTTGACACTGATCTACTTTTTAAATCTGGTTTGAGATTAATTATGCTTTTTAAATAAGCTACGTTATACGCAGATCTGTGGTAATCTATACTAATATTATAATGAGGAAATATTTATATTTTTTACATATAAGTTTGATCGGTACATTTATTTTTCGAAAATTCGAAACAGTAATAAGTTTGTAGGATAAATAAGGTTCTAATGATTTGATTAGATAAAACAAGCCTATAATTTAAAATGTGTTACCATAAATGTTATTATTTATAATTACAAAAATAATATCAAATACATTTTTTTAATGTGGAAAAAATCGATGACACAAACGGGATTCGTACTCACAATCGCAACGTGTTATCATTTATGCAATTAAAGTAACACTAGCCAACTTTTACAATAAAAATAATGAAATATTGAATTCATAATTTTTATTTAACTACATCAGAATACGTATAATAAAAATATCGAAAAAAATTAATTTGTGCGAAGTATTTTATTTTTTTATTCAAAATTATTTTATACACATTTTATTCAAGTTAAATCGGCTGACGACCTTTTAAGATACAGCATATTGGATTCGAGTGCTATTTCTAGACATGTGAACATGAGTAATGATGGATGATGCTAATATTATTTTATTAACAATCTCGTCACGCATCAAGCGAGTATCCTTAGGTACCGAGTATTCTCATAGGTAAAGAATTATACAATAAATATTAATAATATCTTCGTACTTAGATTTTGCGTTGACATGAAATGAGAGTTTATCAATATAACATGTACATATAAAGTAATAATTATTAAATCTGAAATGCTGCTTATAAATCAAATAGTAAATAGAAACGGACGCATCCATGCCATACAAAGAGGATAGATAATTTTTTATTTTCGTTTACAAGTGCGAGATTGTTGATATTTTATCGTACTGTAATAATTAATTAGTTATGTTATGTATGTCTGAAAAATTAAAATTAGTACGTATAAATAAAAAAATAATTTATTATATTATAAATAACCTCAAGCTAACCGAATAGCAATGCATGTAACCTTTTTTTTATTGTCGATTGTGTTATATTATCTGTGTCAATTCGCAATTTAAAAAAAATATACAATTATGCCTTCACGAATTTACAATTATCTGTGTTGATGTGACAGATTTAATTCGAAATTTAAAATAAAAAATATTATGCCTTCATGAATATACAATTATCTGTGTTGATATGACAAACTTAGTCCGAAATTAAAAAATAAAATAAAAATTATGATCTCTTCTTCGTGCTTCTATTTAAAAAATAAAACGCTACTCACCATTTAACAATTAAAATAATTATCTCGAGTCTACCGTCTCAATAACAATTTTGCACATAGTAAATTCACTTGCAACGCACGATTAACCAGAGCCTAAATTTTTCACGCACCACACACGCACCGAGGCATATTCAGTATTGCTATAATATCGTGGGCGCGATCGCCTGCACATTTTAAGCGTAAGGCCAAAAGACCGGCTTCGTTTATAGGCTGTTTATATTATTAACAGATTTTTTGATGACTTATTTATGCGAAATCTCTTTCACATTAATTATCTTTAACGAGCCGTACCATCTGTAGACAATGTAAGTACGGTGAGTTATGGTTGGTACCAATTAATTTTTAGGGTGCGTAACAGAGCGTAATCAATATTTTAATGGCTTCGCATAGTAATTACTACCGTTATTAAAAGTACTATATGAGTAGCCCTTGTTTCAAAGTTTGACATATAATAACCTATGAACTGAATGTTATGTATTTTTTAAATTACAACTATATCGTTGTAATGATACAATCAAATGAGTAGAGAACTACTGCCTCTGTCTCCGTTTAAGTTAGATTAATGCGATTTCATAAGGTTATCAAAAATCTTTTTACGTCTTTAATTGAATTGACCTTCCTTAGACTTATTTTTATGTTTGTTTAGCGTGTGAAAATTGTAAGGCCAAAAATTGAAAAAGAGTTTGATCTTGCTAGCATTGGTATCGTTTTATGATATTGTGTCTCAATTGACATTGACCCAGCACGCAACTACAACGACCATAGCTGTGGTCTCCTATATTCGCCGCGTATAGCTGTAGCGTCATCTTTACAAAATAAACGTTGAATTTTGCAAAGTGGGTATTAGACAAACGGCTGCAAAATACGTTCTAAATATTATTATATTACTAGGTGCGTCAGCGACTTAATCCGCATAGAATAGTTTTTTTGGGCATCAAATCATCATCATTCATTATCATTTCAAGAAGAATCATTCTTTCATAAGTATATATTTTTTGGGTATGTTTAACCGTTTTCTCAGCGCGCTCAACGGAAACCTTTCCACATTTCCCCACATCCTACTGTATCTTTGCTCTTATTAGTCTCGTCGTTGTGTTTTAAAGCCTAAAACCTTCCTTGATAAATGCACTAACCAACACAAAAATATTTTTTCAACTCGAACCAGTAGAGATTACCGCGTTCACACAAACTTTTTGCTTAATATATTAGTATAGATAATAGTAATCCATGCTTTATCGGGCTAAAATAGGGGTTTCTCATCTCTTCTTATCAGATTACAACAGTCAATCATAAGTCTTTATAAGAATGACCAAGACCGTACTTATTTAAGGGCTTTCGGTTCATTAGCGAGCTAGACATTGTATAGGAGACCGCAGTCTTATAAAAAACGGTTCAGGTTAAAACCAAAAACACTTTGTTACGCGGTAAGGTTACGTGTATAATTGCATCGACATTGGCGATGTCCGCCTCTGTTAGTGACTAACATCAATTAGTATTATTATTGTCGTAACCATCGCTAACCCTTGAAACCAAAACGTGTTAATTGTTGGCTTCTAAGCGTCAAGTTTATTTTACATCTAGTGTATACGTTACCAATATATGTATTGTATTGTTAAAATTACATATAAATAAGGGGGGGGGGGGGGATTAGGAAGGGAAAGGAGGATGCAGTTTCTCGACAATAATGTGCAGTTCTTCTTTGACTTTAACATGTCGAAATATTAGAAAAAGGAACGTTCATAGCTAGGTGTGAAAATGCGTTAGTAGTTCCTATAATAATAAAATAAAAGCAACAATACGTCTACTTGTTACTTTTTGTCAAAACCACGCAAGTAGATTAACTTGCTCCTTGGCGTAGACTAAAATGAAATCATGAATGTCTTTGGTCCAAAAAAGAAGATTAATTGTCATTTGCAAGAAACATCGTTCGTGCTTCTTATCAGTATCTTCCTTAAGATCTGAGATAAGTAGGCTTAAAAGTGACTTGCTTAAGCTATAGATCCATTAATAATGCTTGTCTGAGGTCTCTGCTGAGGCGTATACAACTAATTAACTGGTCGCATAGCTCACTAAACTTTGGCAGTTATTGTGAAAATTCGGGCTTCTGTAATTACTCATGGTAGCTTCTACAACCGATAACAAACCACATTGTACTTTACTTACGAAAATTTGCCTACATCAATAACACATACAAAATAGCTTTGTATATATTGTACAAAATATTTGAAGCTGTTTAAAACTACGAGAGCTATGGTACCGAAATCAAGAAGAAATGAACTAATATACTTTGCAATATAAACCGTTAACAATGTATTATTTATGTGTACCACTCGTGTGAACTACATATGTTGCTTTGCTGTTAGTTTTTTTTTATTGTAATAATCAGTTCTATTTAGAGTACTGGCCAGAAATAAAAAGTATGTAATAAAAAATACAAAACAATGCTGAATTAGTTAAAAGTCACATGCTCTGACCTCGTATCAATATTTAGAAATTATGCTAAGTAGGTGGGAAAAATATAATTATGTATTATGCAAATTGTTTATTTCACAAGTCACAGCGTCAATAGAAATAATTGAGATAATATTTATTCTTCATTAGAAAGAAAAAAATTAAATATCATCAAACCTTCCCAATAATGGGACAAGACATTGGTCCTGTTATAAGTATTTCTGTTTTCATTCTTTGGCTTTTTGGGAATAGGAGTGGGCGTGGGAGTGAGAGTAGGAGTGAGTGCAGGAATGAGACGGGGAGTTAGGGTAGGGAGTGATGTGAGGTAAGAGTGTTGAGACAAAGTAGTACTTACAACATAGATTTGCTGCCTTAAATGCGCCCTTCCTATTACAGCCTAAATAATTAAAAATTCTACCCCAAGTCACTATTCCACGCAGACGAAATCGCGGGCACAACTAGTTTTTTAATGAATGGAATAAAATAATTTTAAAACTATTATTTTTATTATATATTATTATTATTATATATATAATAAATAATAATACCTATATATGTATAGGTATTATTCCTTAGCATATTTCACTGTTTACACTTTACAATCACGTATATCTTCAGGCTGTACATGCGGCAAAGTTTATCGTGGTACAAACTTAACACTACCGCCATCTGCAGGCGCCAGAATAACGCTGTAGGGATCACTTTGTACTTCCCGCGGGACTGAAGGCTCTATTTTGTATTTATGAATGAGCTGTGCCAACGCTGTCCGCATTTGCATCATTCCGTAACGTTTACCTGAAATAAAAAGGATTTACATTAATACATAATAAATGAATTTCAAATTACACAGTTTAATATCATTCTATACATTTTTTGCAGTAACGTGAATATAGTTTAATGTTCGCAAGTTAAAATTCAAAAACTAAGCGCCTGATAGTTTGGAAGTGGCAAAATCCTGTAATGTAAGCATAAGTGTCAATTGATGGTAGGTGAAATATTCTAGCCATATAACATCAAAACAAGATGCGCTATCGATCTTTTTTTGCTTTCAATATTCCGAAATCCACAGACAAATACGCGATTAAACCTCATAGTTTTTTCATCTGTGGACGGTGACTCTTGACCCGGACGGAAAGATCCTACCACCCATTTCATATCCAGATGACCAGACGAAGTCCAGCATGATCGAACCCACCCGTTGATTATTAGCCATACATTGCTACAATTACACCAATGAGCCCTTAAGGTTTTTACCAGATATTATATATCAAGAACCCTATCTATACTAATATTGTTAAGCTGAAGAGTTTGTTTGTTAGTTTGAAAGCGCTAATCTTAGAAACTACTGGTTCTTATTAAAACAAAACTTTTTGTGTTGGTTAGCGCATTTATCGAGTAAGGCTTTAGACCAATAGGACCAAAGAGATAGCGAGAAATGTGGCGAAAACGGGCAATATCATTAATTTTTGGGGATTTCTTTTGCATGCGCTGCGAAAAATTGGTTTAAGAAACCTAAAAATATATATGATGGAATTATTTTCCTTTAAATGATCTAAAATTAATATGCGACACAAGACGCCCATCTTTTAAGAGAAACACGCAAGAACGACGCGACGCGGGCGGCGTCGTGTGTTATACCTGCTACCCACGACGCCGCCCGCTTCCCTATGTATTGTTTGCAAAAATAAATAATATGATGCCCAAAATAATGCTTCCACGTAGAGGAAGTTGCGGACGTAGTAAATATACCTAATAATTACCTATACAAAAGCGTGGTCCCTCTCCAAATGGCATGAAGGTAAATTGTACGTTATCACTGTCAGAGGTGGCTGAGAACCTCTCTGGTCGCCATTCGTTCGGCTCGGGGAAGTACCTCTCGTCGTAATGAATGCTGACAACGTTCACGAACACCGGTGTTCCCTTTTCGATGACCACGTCATCCGTTAATCTGTACGTTTTATTGCATATTCTGTCCAAATATGGCACCGGTGGGAATTTCCGCATTGTTTCTGTAATTATTAGCAATACTATGTTACGAGAGATGTCATTATAATACTAAATATCAGTTATGTAAAGTCGGTAATCCCTGTAGTTAGTATATTTCGTGTTTAGAACTGTTAAAAACGATAACTTTTGAAAAAAAAACTTTACGTGTTACTGCACAAGATGGCCTTATATAAGTTAAAAATCGATTTAGATTTCAGCTTCAGAATAGTTCCGTTCGTATTACAGCATGCACCATAATATTTTCATTAATAAATTTACCTCTCAAGCAGCCCGATAAATATTTCAATTCCATGAGATCATCGTACTCCAAAATGTTTTTTCCTGTTCGTTTGAGCGCGTCGTCCACTTCGCGATACAATATTTCCTGTAGAAAAACAACAATTAATAGTTTCTGTTCAAAATTGTTAGTTTTCCTAGTACGATTCTAAGTAACGACCGACGTTAGAAGACATGCAAAACTTATAAGCTCTTAAGAACTATCTTTTTTCTATTAAAATGTATGAGGGGATCTTTAAAGTCCACTTTCAGAAAGTAAATATTCTACGTATTCTAGTTCGATGACAAAATAAGTAACTGTAATTTGTCAGATTTCGGAAATAGTGCTTCTTTAGAAAAAGGAAAAAAATTCAATTCAATTTAAATGATTGACATTGCTATACAATTAGAAGATGTAAAAAAATATTTCATAAATATTTTGGCACTAAAGGCCGGCATCACATCCCTCAGTTGAAATATTATACAAATATCTTGCGGAAAGAAACAAAAAACTAGTTGGTGACAGGGAACAAGATATAATAAATAATTCCGAAGACTATGCCATGGAGGAGATCTTAGATTTTGTTGGATTAATCTACTAAATTAAACTACTATATGGTAATAAAAAAATCAGTGTTTTATTTTATGGTTTAGTAAAATATTATGATGAAGCAACCCTAATTACGGGATTAATATAAGATTTGTCAAAACCAAGTAAGTCCTGTAGCTATTTTTCAATACCCGTTACGTGGTATTTTTCAAACTTCGATATAATGCCTTTAGTTTCAATCAAACACCGATATGTCCAAACTTTAACATGGTTTTAAAGCATAATATCTTATTAAAACTTTATTTTTATATATCCTTATACTTACTAACGCCTATATAAATCTTCAATTGCTGAAATTTCCATGAAATACAGTAATCAGTAGCTAAAAACACATTTCTCTCATTCCCAAGTTTCGTTTATGGTGGACATACCCGTGATTTGATATTTGCCTACACGACTTGTGGCTGCTGATTTTAAGATTCAGATTTCTAATTGCTAGGAGAAAATATCAACGGCTTAAGACATGAAATGTTAAAATTAAACTTGTTTAGTTTGATCTGCGTGATTTTTTAAAGAAATCAGCTCGGAGTTTGAAATTAAATGTTAAATTCGCCAGTACATGCTGGAGGAGCATAATATTTAAAGCCAATCTATCTTCTCATTGAATTGAAACGAAAAATTACCCAAAAAAAATTAAGCCACGGACAGTTCTTGAAACGGCATCCAGAGCATTCCGTGCCATTGCTCTAGCCGATTGAGCTACCGTGTCCTACACGTCATCGTCGATTTTTTTCAACCTACATACATACCTACACCTCTCGCAACCACCACCAAATTAATTTTCCTACCCCATCAAGGAGAGTTCCAAGTTACCTGTTCCTCCGGATGATATGCAAGTTCGTGCAGACAATACGAAAGTGTAGTCGACGAAGTTTCCACAGAACCCAATATAAACACTGCCGCTTGTGCCAACATTAAGTTGTCGGCTAGTTCTGGAAAACACAGACATAACTATAAGACAACTAGCTGTGTCAACGACTTCGTCCGCGTAGAACAGTTAATTTGGGCAAATCTCCTCCACATCTTTGAAAATTGCTGTTACCCACGATGACGTTCTCGTCCCATCGTTCTTGCCAGTTAATCTTAAAACATAGACATACTGTCGCGAACATATTTTAGATCATTTAAAGAGAAATCAATCTTTCATACATATTTTTTGGGTATCTTTCGTAGCGTACGCAACGGAAACCCACAAGGATAAATAATTTCCCCGTTTTTTCACTTTTCCCGCTGTTTCTTCTCTCCTTTAAGTCACACCGTGATATTTTATAGCCTATATTTGCCTACCTCGATAAATGCTCTAACCAACAATTTTTCAATGCGTTTAAACAAACAAACAAACTCGCATACAAAACTTACCAGAATCAGAATTGGCGGGAAGTTTCAAGTTATCCTTCAATTTGAGGAGATGGTTGACGAGATCTTTGTCGTTGCTTGTGCCTTTAGATTTCCGCTCTTCCGTGACGTCCCAGAATATCTTCTTGATGTATTCGGATGCGGGTTCCGAAAAGAACTTTAATCTGTAAATTTAATTTTGACTAAAAAAACAGAATTTGACGAGGTCGGGACTCGAATCGTCTAACGAGCTGTTGCTTTACCAATTACGCTAGCCCTTCACTATAATTTAGTCAATTCTTTAATATAGGTGTCACTAGCGTAATTTAATTAATTCGACTTGTAAGAATTGTTATTTAAATACAATGTAATAAGTTCAGTTCGACTTTAATAGAGGAAAAAATATGGTTTTGGCCGAAAAGCGAAGAGGTTGTTGAGGAAAATGAAACAGTACTACATTTACACGCATAGTAATTATGTTATTAAAAGTAATTACGTTATATTGGCGGGCAAAGATATAGATATAATACGAGGTTTTATTTTTTAGATTCACAAACAAAATTACACTGGATATTATGTGAGGTGCAAGGATTAAAGTTCGATCGTCCCATCGATTAGGCAGATGGTTTAAAAAGTGAGACCCACCATGTTGCTTGAATAATGCACAGTGAGCAGTCGTTGGTCTAATGGTAGCCACGTATTGCTAATAAGGAGTCGTGGGTTAGATTCCTATCGGATCTTGTTTCAAATCGATTTATAATTTTTAGAAAGATGTTGAACTTCGCCTGGAAATGGGTGGTAGGAATTTCGAAAGTTATAGGGTGGGATTTTTCACATTCCATCAAGTGGGCCCCATGATGGTCTGTCGTCCTTTATCATAAAAGATTGAATATGCAAACATTATGATTTTCCTTTCGAAACGCAATACAAAATTTTACAGCGCCTGCCAATAAAATACCTCAATAAAGCTGCAATGGCTGGCATGAAGAATATCATCGAAAATTCCAGACCTCGCCAGAACGTCCATTTCACCATGTGACTTGTAATAGCCCAGAGAGGCGACAGCTGGTCGTTAAGGACGCTCACCCGAATGCCAAAAACACTGTACGCCACAGTGTCTGACGTGTACATCGAAAACAGCTCCTGTTTCATAAGACACGTTGTGATTAAAACAAATGTACGTTTAAATAAAACACTAACAGATTAAAACGCGATATATATTATATCTAGCACGGAACGTTGAGGATGCCGGTTCATGTCCTGCTCGAGTCGTAATTTTTCTCACTTTAAAATCGATTTTATTCGTATCCGAGTATTTTTAAAGGTTTATAAGATCGTATTCAAATAAAAGTATTTCAAACTAACTTTTGTTTTCATTTAATTGCAGCTTCAAGACGAATTAATTTGTATATCTTAATTACAAATATCGTTAAGTTTTAATTTATTAAACAATTATCACTAAAATATGTTATAATTTTAGCGAGTTCGTTATTTCCTTTGTGTTACTTATTTTATTATACTCGTAACACACGAAAACTGTCTATAGTTTACGCGAGTAGTACGCATTTAAATAAAAAACTTTAACGGTTTAAAACGCGATATATTAGTTAGTGGTCTCCCCGTGACCACGGCTGCTGCAAAGCATCCGAAACGTCGGGCCGAAGTTAAAAATCATGTTCAAATACGTTTAAGTAATATGTCGCGTTTTAAACCGTTAAAGTGTTTTATTTAAACACGAAAACTGACAAAAACAATATGAAAATGTTCAGTATTGTCTGTACTTAGTTTACTTAAGAGATTAAATACAACATTTTAACGGTATAAAGCAAAATTAATGTAAGTACCATTTTTCAAAAGCGTTTCGTGTTTTAAACCGTTAAAAGTGTTTTGTTTAATAGAAAAAGCTTGTTCAAAGATATTTTTCTCGTTAAATTTATTACCTTTAGATTAACACACTCGTTTTTCTCGACGTAATCTCTCTGGACTTTTTGCACCAGCTGCTGGGAGTTGATATTCATCAGTTCCGTGATTTTCTTAAGCCGCAGTGAAGTGAACATCGGCGATAATTCTTGTCTCATCTCCGACCATATTGGATTCTAGAGAAAACGTTTTCAGAGATAAAATTTGCAAAAGTGCTATCAGAGCCGTTGCTCTGTGATTCTTTTCCTTTATTTGGGTTAGTGACCTGTTTCTCTATTATTTCTTGCTATATTTAGAAACATTATACTTCTATGTATCTAGAGATCTCTTGTTATTAGAAAGAATAAACTAAACATCGAACAAGCAACAACTTTGTACCCATATTGTGTATTAATAAGTCTTTTAGTTTTAAAACTGTTTTGATATCCTTACTAATATTATAAATGCGAAAGTAACTCTGTCTGTCTGTTACTCTTTCACGCCAAAACATTTTTATTGCGAAAAGGGGGGTGAAAGTTTGTATGGAAATTCGTTGTTTTTGAAGCTAGAACAATAAAACTTTTTTCTTTGGCCTTTTGAGAATGAGAATGGGAGTGGGAGTGGGAGTGTGCGTGGGAGTGGGAGTTAGAGTAGGAGTGATGTGAGGTGAGAGTGTTGTGCAAAGTAGCAATAACAACATAGATTGGCTGCGATAAATACGTAATAAAAAAAATTAATAAACAGCCTAAATAATTAAAATTCTGCCCCAAGTCACTATTCCACGCGAACGAAGTCGCGGGCACAGCTAGTTTACTTATAATCTTAAATATTTATAAACATATATCAAATATTTCGGATCGAAACATCGTATTGTTTTTATAAACCATGCTTTAATGTAAAACATTGCTTTTTAATTTGTTTGAAGTTACCACACACTAACATATTTAAGTTTCAAGCTATCCTTTTGTTTTATGCATTAACAATACACCCACAGACGGACAAATACAAAAATTTACATGTATTGTCTGCTTTCTTTCTTTAGATTGGAATAAACTGTATATCCAAATCGTTGACTAGATTTGTTGGCGTAATGGTAGCAATAAATGGCTTATAATCGTCGTGGGATCATTCCCCACCGTGTCGAACATTTTTCCAATTAATTAATAATTTTTCTGAAACATGTTGGACTTCGTTTGGAAATCTACATATTATATAGATGGTAGGAATATCGAAAATTTCGACCGGGTCACGAACCACCGTCTATAGGTGGAAAAGCTGTAAAGTGTAATCACGTTACGGTTTCAGTCTGTGCATTTTCGAATATTCAATGTTATATCAAAATCAAAATCATTTATTCATGTAGGTAGCTTATGAACGTCAAAACAGTTAAAAAATTACAGTTACTACTAGTTCCCAAAATAGGGCGTAACAATGGAAAGAAAACTGGCAAGAAACTCGCCGCCACTCCTATGGCTGGGGTATATCTCTCACCAGGTGAACCCCAGGCATATCCTACTCTATTATTAAAATTATAATCGTAAGTACACTTACCTTCACCGTGAATAGATTGAGCGATCCTAGGGGATCAGAATGCCCCGAATACAAATATCTATCTTGGAAATGGTCGTTGTCTTTTACCAGAACTTTCCTCGCCAGCTCAGCCGTTTGCACGAACAGCGCGGGTTTCCACGCCATAAAAACACCAACATAATCCCTGGGATGTTTGTTTTTCAATTCATAGCAGAAGTCCCAAAAACTTTTCCTCATAAGAAAACCCAAATTTCCCAGGGGGAACGATGGCTTCTCATAAACAATGCCGCGATTTTTCCAATAATTAAAGTTTTTATTTATAAACAAGAATAATAACACTACGAGAAAACATGTGGTATAGAATAACCAATGCAAAATCGAATTGATTGTGTCCGCGTCCATTTTCTTGGCGGTATTAGGACTGTATGACCGTTCTTCTCGATTCGCGTTTATTTAATAACTGCTCTACTTGACTTCCAATCCATATTTTTATTCAATGATAAGAATATACTTAGAAAAACAAATATTATTTTGTTTTATCATTGCATAATGATAATTCATTACATGTCGATAATAACAAGTGTGATTAAAATATTGTTCTAGTCTAGGTTTTTGATATTATGTTCGTCACTTGAAAAGGATTTTTTAAGTGTATTTGAAACTGTTAAACTGCATTTTCCTATCTTAACTAATTGAAATACTAAAGTCAATATTATTGTCGAAGATAACAGAGCCCAACGCACGTTAATTAATATAGAGAGTTGCTGGATTCGAATCTCGAGATAACAACAAATTGTTTCGGACATAAAAATCGGAGCTTCCTTATCTGTACAAAATAAATAAACAAACAAATAATACACATAACAAATATAAGGATTTTTCGCTCAATCGGTCAGAGCAGCAGCACTAAACTCGGTGGATTCCGGTTCAAGTCCGTCCGTGTAACATTTAAAAGTTATTGTGCCAAGCAAACATGTTATAAATAAAGCGATGTTATATATGTTATTCTTATACGTTCCTATTATCGAAACATACAGAAAATTTAAACAAATTTTCTTTAATTAAATAAAACACTTTAACGGTTTAAAACGCGACTTTAGTAAACTTATTTAAAAATATTTAACTTCGGCCCGCTCGGCTGCCAGCAGCCGTCTCCCCGTGACCACGGCTGCTGCAAAGCATCCGAAACGTCGGGCTGAAGTAAAAAATCATTTTTAAATAAGTTTAACTAATATATCGCGTTTTAAACCGTTAAAGTGTTTTATTTAAATGTGTACTACTCGCGTAAACTATAGACAGTGTTTAAATTTTCTATACATTTGATAGAATATCAACTTTTAGTTTTACTATCAGGGTGTCAGTATTGGCAAAACATTAAATAGGCTTTTTAGGCTTTTTCCACATTTTTACGTATGACTTGTCATGAAATACGATCTGAATGATGAAATTATTAGAATCTATTCTCTCAACTCATTGGTCTAATGGTAGCAAATAATAATCAACGGATCTTGGGTTTGACCCCCAATAGGTCAACGATGTTTCTACTCAACTTTAATCGTCTAGAAATCAACTGCCACCGACCATAGATGATAAAGCCGTGAAGTTTAAACACGTGTCGCTTACAGTCTGTGATATTTCGAATATGCTATGCCAAAATAGGCCAACGGCGCATCTTAATTTGATGTCATATGGCTGGGGTATTGCGCCTTCCATCGAGTAAACCACATGCTTGTCTGTCCTATGCAATATATGATACATTATTTATTGTGCTATGTCACAATAAATAATGTATCATATATTGCACTTTTTATAATGAGCGCAAAAATTATAATGCGAATATTATTATTTAGTAGAACTATCATCGTCTTATATAAATACTAGCTGTGTCAGAGCGACTTCGTCCGCGAGAATCGTTATTTTGACATCATCTTTTACAATTTTTTTTCACATTTCTCATTGTATCTTCGTTTGTATTAGTCACAGCATGATTTTTGATAGCCTCTAGCCTTCCTCAATAAATGCTCTAACCAACACAGAATTTTTTTCAATTCGTACTCGTAGTTATTCAGATTAGCCCGTTCAAAAGAGTAAAGTTAAGTAATTTTACTCCAACTTAAATAGAAATAAAAATTAAAGAATATCTCTATTAGCAGTTCTTATAGGCACATTAATTAATTTAAGAAAGGTATCTTATTGTTAAAGCATAACATTGTTAACGTCCGGTTAGTATTGACTGCGTCGGACCAAAGTGCATAATACTCAAATAAAAAAAAATAACGTTGTAATGGTTTATATAAAACATTGTCTGTAGTTTGTGCGAATAGTACTCATATAAATAAAACACTTTAACGGTTTAAACGCGATATATATTAGTTAAACTTATTTTAACAAACGACTCCCCGTGACCACGGCTGCTGCAAAGCATTCGAAACGTCGGGCCGTAGTTAAAATAAGTTTAATTAATATATATCGTGTTTTAAACTGTTAAAGTGGTTTTATTTAAATGGTTTATATATTTTGTGTTTTAAACGAGAAGTAGGCGTTGGAACAAAAACTTGTGTTTTGTAATATTTCAAATATTGCGTGTGAGTTTTCCTCCTGGCTTTTCCTCATAAATTTAGCGTAGAAATTATTACGCAGGACATACCGATAGCGTCATACGTCGTGCGTCTCGGGGATAACTCGGCAGGATGCTTATGAAGGCATTACGAGGAAAATTGTGTTTCACTTCCTCTTTTACGCATATTTGTGGAAAGATATACAAATGGTTTTCGGATGCTATATATTTCTATATATGTGGGTGCTATTAGATTTTTTAAGTAAGCATTTATAACACTATTAACGGTTTAAAACGCAGAATTTATTAGTAAAAAGATTTTAAATATAGCCCGGCGTTTCGGAGACTGTGCAGCAGCTGTGGTGACAAACTAAAAATGGTGTCTCTAACGTCAAAGTAAAAACTGCTACGCTAGCGCCATCTGTTCCGTCTTAGTTGGTATTTGGCGCAACTGGGTGGATCCTTAAAGAAGGCATGCAGTTAGTAACGCTGATGTTTGATACCCTGAGGCCGTCCAGTGTTAATAGTTAAAAGTGTATCACTTAAATGTGCACTCCTAGCGTAAACTAGAGTATTTAAATTATAGCTAATTTAAATTTGTTGTCTATGGAAGATAAATGAAGATAAATCTATAGACAAATTACTTCGCTATAATTTAATCACTTAAACAACCTTTTGACCTGAAACGTTTCAAAAATGATAGAGCATGTTTTAATGGCTATCCTAGAGTTCGCTAATCTATACTTTATATTATAAAACTAACGAGTATGTTCGTTTGTCTATTGTTTAAAAAAAATCAGTCAATTAAAAAATGTGGATATAGCAAAAAATAAGACTAATTACTAAATTTGAAAAGAAGATACTAAGTTTGAATACCGGGGAAATAATAGATTGTTTCGTTGCATAGATTGTGGAGCATGGCACAGAAGCTTGCATGTAAGGGAAACGAACATAGAACTATGTTCGTCCCAAGTCCTACGAGGGAAAAAGCTAATTTTCCTTGTTTTATGAAAGGTTATGTGTCTGGCTCAAAATCAATTCCTATTTCTTTATAATGAAAAATTGAGAGTAAATTACATGTTCTTAGACAACAATACAGACGATATGCAAATAAACACAAAATCAATGGGAACGATAATTATGTATATCAAGTAACAACCTACGCTAGTGTGTAATAAACACATATATACTGTATTGATTGATATCATCTATGTGATAGTTCAAGATTATTAAAAAATGATAAATTACATCTATACAAGGTCTAACCTGTAATGTCTGATGTTGATATATTTCTGTAAATTACTTGCGTCCTGGAAATACCTTATTTAAATTTCAACGGTTTAAAACACGAAATGTTAAATTCAATTTAGGTAAGTTAAACTTATTTATAAATTATTTTACTTACGGCCCGACGTTTCTAACTATGAGTTTCGCGATTTAAACCTACAAAGTGCTCTATTTAAATGTGTACTACTCGCGTAAAATACAGACAGCATTTTACCTTTAAGGATAATTAAATTCACGAATAACAACGTGTATTGAAAATTGCATTTAATATACTATCTTTATAAACAACCTGATCACTAATAGGTGCTAATTTGTTCTTAGATACAAATGTAAGAACCACTTATTATCTCATTATACAAGAATAGCGACTACATAGTTGTAAAAACAATTGAATCGTTATTAATTATTACTATTTCCTCACTTACTGTATGAATTGCACATGTACATATCTTATCACAAATAAATAATTGTAATCTATATTCTATACGCTACAAGCCAATTTCTCTACAATAGAATGTTTTAATTAGAGATGCGCCGAGTAATTCTTTTGCCGAGTAACGAGTACCGAGTTTTACTCGGCTCAATTTTCTTTCACTTCAATTTTTTTCGGCCGAGTAGCTCGGTTCAATCAAACCATTTCGCGTAAAGAAGTACAAACAGGTTCGCGCCGGTCAAGACGTCGGCTCGCTCTCATCTTTTCGTAATTTTGTTTCATTCTCTAGCATCATTTTGATTTTAATAATTGAGATTTTCAAAGATTTCCTAAATTTCTAATAAATAATTTTGGATTAACGCAGTTGTTTTAATTATATCTACCTAAATATATTGCTTTTCTAAGAAAAAAAAAACACTCGTTATCAAATAACAAGGCATAACCGAGTTAATCGGCCGAGTACGGGTATCCGGTGAGAACAGATAGTAGGTACCGAGTATCAACCGAGTACTCGGCCCATCTCTACTTTTAATCGTTTTATTACGTATGACGCAATATAATTAATGATATATTTATTTTTAATGATATAATCAAGCAAATCCATCCATGATCCATCAAAAATTGTCAAGTTTTGCACTGCTTAAAATTATTTATGGTTATCTTAACTTACAATTGAATTTTTGAGTAGTTATTTAAATTTGGCGTTAACAAAAAAAACAGAGAACTGTAATATAATGTTTTTGGTCATTAATATTTTTATATGTATTTGAAATTATTATTGTTTATTTGTTGTTATGTGTAGCTCAAAACATATTGATGTCGGTCGCATCAAAAATAAATACTACCTAGAGGCATCTAGACGTTGACATTCAAGGAAAGTATAATTCTCCTAAAGTATGTATTCCAAGTATTATACAACTGATAAATTTAATATTTATGTCACTCAAATCTTGTGTTGTTTCCTATTCGTGTTCTTTATTTTTTTCAACGAACATAATATTACATATGAATTTCCATCTCAAAAATGGCTCACGTAAAATATTCATATTCTTCATAATTTCATACATGACAGCGTATGATTTAAGAAGACAAACACTAACACTTCACTTTTAAATAAGAAGTCTTTAACAGCTTCATTCAATCGTTAATAAATACTCATTAACAACGTATTTTTAAACTAGAATCTTAACGGAATATCCAAAAACAACTTCATTCGCTCCCCTATATCGGTGATGGAGCGATCGTCGATCTGCTAGCTGTCATCGGGTTCAGTGACGTCGTCAATGTCGTCGTCGAGTGGTTGGCTGGTGAGCGCGGCCCAAAGAGGCGAACGTGCGCCGGCGCCGGTCTGCGCCGAACCCCGCCGCTAGCTGTCACGTGCGCACGCGGCCGCTGTGACCGCAGCGGCTCCAACGGCGCCTATTGTGCCGAATAAAATTGATCCAACCTCTCGATCTGGCGTAATTTCAACCTGCGAAATTAATATTCGTTATATTTTGTATGCTATTGTACTTTATACGAATATACATCATCAAATTTTATACTGTACATGTTCACAAGAAAGTTAAACCGTGAATTTTTCTTTTAAAAATATTGTATCAAATCGACCAAACTTAGTACATTTCCAATAAGACCTTAAAAGTGACCGAGAAAAGTTTGACGAGGAGAAATTTAAAAGTGCAATTTACAATACCTTATAATTTTACAAATTTAACATTCAATTGCGTTTTTGAATGTAGTAACACGTGAAGTGCCAAACTTCGTATCCCATAAGTGGAGCATGGTACACATACATATTTCTATATCTTTTAATAAGCTTATACCCGCTTCCACAGCGTTCCGTGCTGTTGCTTTAACCAATTCACACAAGTGACAAATAAAGTTTTCAAACGTATTCATCTGTGATTTCATCTTCAATGATTTTCCTAAGATGCAAAACATAACAATAATAACATTTGACGATGACGTGTCGGACATGGTAGCTTAATTGTTCAAAGCAACAGAAGGCTATGGATGCCGGTTTCAAGTTCCGCTAGTGTTGTATGTATGTTTTTATCTTAATTCTATTTTTAATTTATATAACGCCATCATGTGCCGTAACATGTCAAAAATATTACAGTTGTCACACGCATTATTTGTTCCATTTAAAATTTTAAGAATTCTTCAATAAATAACGACGTAAGATATATTCTACAGTCACTTGTTTTTCGTTTACTCCAATAACTAAAGTGGCTTACTACTTAAGCAACACATTACCTCTGCGACACTATACATAAACATTACCTGAGAGAGTGTTGTTTGTTCGGGATCAGAGCGTTCCTCCAACACCGTATCGAGTTCTAATGTCGGCGGGGGTCGTGGGGACCGAACCAGGCTCACTGCCCTTTGTCTGCTCTTTATTGGGGACAGCCTCACCACAGATAACTCACCGCGGTCCAGTTCGCAATTGCGTCGTCTTGCACGTTCTCTACAAATTTAACAAAAACCTTAAGGATTTCTTCTCTCAAGTGAATTCGTATACAAATTCCTGTCGCATGGTTTACTTATATTACCTATACTGATATTATAAAGAGTTAGTTTGGTTGTGTCCCTTATGTCTATGTTCACTGCCTAAAGTCTCAGCTAGCTTCGGCAAATACCTACTACGACGAAACAGATGGCGCTAGTGTAGTGATTTGACTTTCACATTAGGGACAACCTTTAACTTCAATCCCCCGTGACCACGGCTGCACAAAGCATCCGAAAGATCAGACCTTAGTTAAAATAAATTGTAAATAAGATGATATATTTCACGTTTTAAACCTTTTACGCTATTTAAGGACAAAGAAGTCCTAGGTGCTAAACCTTCCAAGTCAACATATGGACGTTATGATACTAATAATGACATCTACAACAAAAGGAATAATACAATTACATACAAAATCAGAAAAGTGAAAAGTTGTAACGTGAGCATTTGAAACGGATACACAGTGTAAAATATTCAAATTCAATTCGAATAAAATTTTCGGTATTGTTCTAATGTAAGGGAATTCAACATTTTATCCGCGTTTGGAAAATATTTGTTTTCAAGCCACTGTTCCGAAAGGTCTACTGCGAATCTCATTTGAGTATTCAAAAATGAAAAAACCTATATAATTTCAATTAAAAAGCTATTATTAGTATTTATTGATACTTTATTAATAAAACCATGTATTGTCTGTGATTTACGTGAGTTGTGGGTGAGACTCTTAGATAAAACAATTGAGACGGTTTAGCGCCAAATATATCAGTTAAATTATTAGGAGCCGTAGTCCTCCTGTGACGGTATATTTCGCGTTTTAAACGTTTAAAAATATTTTATATAAAATTTGTTTGAGGGTTTAAAAACTCGAAATATATTGGTAAAGTTATTTTAAATAACTTTAACTATGGCCGGACGTTTCGGATGTTTTGCAGTAGCCCTGGTCCTCCCGTGATCGTTGATTTAAACCTTTACAAGTGTTATTCTATGAGACACTTTTAAAAAAAGCGTTTATACTTATATTTCGAGGTGAAAACGGTTACTTCGTGAGTTTTTTGTGTTAACCCTTACCTGGCTAATTTCGCCCGTCGCCTTAAACAGCAAATAACAGTCAACGCTAATAAAGGAAATCCGAAAATACAGGATACAATCGGTATTACTATGGACTCTGGTGACACTAGAACAAAAGACATATTATATATTAGTACCCGATCAAAGAACAAGGGCACAAAGGAACAAAGGGTAGCAAGAAATAATAAATGTTTGGCATCGGCTTATGACGCTGTACGTGCGCCTCCAACATAATTCTGTAGCGAGTCCAAAAATTGCCAAAACTTTACGGCTACCTTCAAATGCCTTTCGGGCAAAGGAAAAATAAATGCTTTATAAACGAATGTACTCTCATTTTGTTAGAGCTTTAATATTATACTAGCAAAACACTCTTTTGATTGAATATTCAGATATTTATCTGAAAATCTATACTCATATTATAGACCTGATGAGTTTGTTTGTTTGTTTGAACGAGCTCATCTCAGAGACTACGGGTTCGAATTGAAAAATAGACAAAGATTGAAATAAAACACTAACGGTCCGAATCTTCGGGCCGTCGTTAAAAAAATTCAAACAAATTTAACTAAAGTATATCGCGTTTTAAACCGTAAAAGTGTTTTATTTACTCTGACGACTCGCGTAAACTACAGACAGTACTTAAATACATAAAGAGCGTTTATCGAGCTACAAGTGGAAATAGATTCATCTTTGATGGTTTCCGTTACGTGCGCTGCGAGAACGGTTTTAAACGCGCTTTGAATTATCCGAAAAAATGTCCCACAAGATATGTCTATAATAATTTTTATAAAGCGATAAGAGTATGGTCCCATGCGTGTCTCTTTTTTCTTAAATCTATTAATAATTTTAAAGGTTATGAATGTAACTCATTCACTGTAGCTCAATAGTTCAACCTGTTGTCTAGAGAATTGTCTGTAGTCAAGAGATCCTGGATTCGAATCCGGGAAAACAGCAATTTCTTGGTGGAATGTTAACAGGCGTCTTATAAACTACTTGCCTGTATATGGATCAGTGATACGAATACAGAAGTATGTCTGGCCCATGCCCAATGTCAACGGGATTTCACACGTCGCATGCGTTTGGTAAATTGTCACAAATTATAAGGAATGTGAAAAGCATTTATTGATAAAATGATTAATCAAATACCCAACCTGTCTTCGAAAATATTTCGTTTCACAGACCATTAAACTTTAATAATAAATATATTTTTAAATTAAAAAATTCATGAACGGGTCATCCATTGCGTTCAATTGTGCTACCGTGTTTCACACGTCATCATCGAATTTATACATGAATTAGCTGTGTCAGCGACGTCCGCGTAGAATAGTTATTTTTGGTATCAATATCTGTTTTTGCGAGCCTCCTAATATTTATAAAATATAGTTACCCACGACGTTGGTCGTGGTTGCAAGTTAATCTTAAAAGATACACATATCACGCGAACCTTTTCATAGATCACTAGCTGTGCCCACGACTTCGTCCGCGTAAAATAGTGACTTAGGGTGGAATTTTTAATTATTTAGGCTGTTTATTTATACATTAAATGCGCCCTTGCACTCACTCCCATATCCACCCCCACTCCTATTCCTATTCCCAAAAAGTTTCATTGTTCTAACTTCAAAAGCCACGAATTTCCATACAAACTCTTTTTCAACCCTATCAACTCTTTTTTGGCATTAAAAAATAGGAGCCTTGTCCTTTCTCAGGCTCTAAAATATCTGTGCACCAAATTTCATTTAAATGAGTTCAGTAGTTTCGGAGTTAAAGCCGGACAGACATACAGACAGAGTTACTTTCGCATTTGTAATATTCATATAGATTTTAAGACAAACGATTATTTCATACGTATTTTTTTGGTATCTTGAATCGATTTCGCAGCGTACGCAACGGAAACCCACAAGGACGAAAAATTACCCCGTTTTGTCTACATTTCCCGCTGTTTCCTCCTATTAGTCACCTCGCAATGTGTAGCCTATAACCTTCTTCGATAAATGCTCTAACCATCACAAAAATAATTTTTCAATTCAATAGTAATTTCTGAGAATAGCTCGTTCATACAAACAAACTCTTCAGCTTTATGTATTACTATATATATAGATATCATGTGAAAAATAATAATGCTATTAATCGAGCATTTTAGGCTTTGACCTCCATAATTAAATTCTGCGAAGATTCTAGACGACGTAATTTATAGTTACTGTTCTCAATTAAATAATGAAATCAGACGTCGGTTGGTTGGTTATAACTTGTCTAGTATAGAATGGTATGTTTTATAATTTACAATAACGATGCGGGTATGTAATCGTTAAATCTATCCATTATTGTTAGTTGAGCTTTCGCGTGGTTGAGATATTTTCAATCACGATGGCATTACAAAATGGCCGCGAAAGCTTTATATATATATATATTTTTTTTTTATTTTATATGTTTAACTTTATTTAAACACCACAGGATTTTGTTTTATTAATACAAAACTTATTAACTACCTTATCAATCAAATTTTATATTGAATTATAAAAAGTCTCAATGACTAATAATAATTAATTGTAAATACTCATCTTCGATCGTATGAAAACTCGTAATTTTTACCTTACGTACCAAAAAGAAAAACAAAAAAATATTAGACTTCAAACAGAAAAGCAGAAAGAAAAAAGAAATACATATTGATTTAGTTAAATAGAAATGATTGAATAATAATTATTCTATAAATTTTAGGTTAGAACCACTTTCGACAAGAAAATAATCATTCAAAGTGTTTCATAAAACATGAATTTGGTACAAACCGAGAAGGTTCTTATTTTAGTACGGTTAAAAAGTATAATTGTAAAACTTATCATGCTAAATTAAAAATTGATTTTAGATTGAAAATATTTACATCGTCGGCCATCGTCCCGTGCTGTTGATCTGAGCTACCGGGTCCTACCTACTGATACATGTATCTATCGCTCAATGTAATTTCAACTGTATTTCTTAAACTTAAGGTCCAATGCTTTGCAACAGAAAATCATTGAAGAAGACATTACAGAGTTTTACGTCTTAAAAATTGTATATTCTTCAATGTTCTGTCATAATAAATAAATTGAAAATCGCAAGTGAATACAAATATAAAACGTGTGAAAAATACAAAAGTTTTCAAACTTATCATCCTATATTACACAATTTGAACAATGCGTCATCAGCGTTTATTGATTGCGGAAAACGTTATGGAAATGTGACTTACCAGTGGGGTAAACGATGATGGACGGGCGCTTATTGCTGTGCGTTGATTTTGCGACTGTGATCACATTACTGGGTGATGGCGTGCTCGTCGCGTTGCTGAATGGGTTCAGGCTTGATAAGGCGGTGGTAGATGTTCTCGTCATTGTACTGTAATCATCTCCATGTTTAGATGCTAGTTTTAGAGGCTTATTCTATCACTAGTTGACATAGCAATGTTATTTTTTGGTATGTGAAGTATTTCGACCAAACGTTAATTACCATAAAAACCTTCGTTATCTTGAACCTATTTTTACTGCACACTCAGAGATTCTTCCCGTCTTTTCTACATTTCCCACTGTTTCTCCACTTATTGGTTGCGGCTTGCTGTTTGCCTTTCTTAATAAATGATCCAACCAACCCGAGAATAATAATTAATTTTGAACCAGTAATTCCTGAGATTAGCACGTTTTAACAAAGAAATAAACAAACTGTTCGACTTTATAGTATTAGTATAGATCTGTCAGGCTCGCTATTTTAATGGTAGTGCTAATAATCAACGGGTTCATTTATCTATCATCTTATTTTTATATCATCAATTTATAATTTTTAAGACAGAACGGATTAAAGGCTATCGTTCATAGATGGACAAGCTGTGAAGTTTAATCAAACTTCGGTTTCAGTCTGTGGATTATGTTTAAAGACAAAATAGGGTACTTTTATTTATTACTAGCTGTTTTGGCGAGTTCGTATGCGTAGGATAGTTATTTTGGGCCTTCAAATTTGTTTTTGCAAACCTCCTCTTCATCTTTATGAATTTAAACTGCTATCCGACATCGACATCGGACGCGTCTCGTCGATCGGGTCCCGCCGTTCTTGCAAGCTAATCTTCATATTGTGTCGCGGACTTTTTTTTAGATCATTTAAAAAGGAATCATTATTTTATGCTTATTTTTTGGGTATCTTGAACCGTTTTCGGTTATCGGAAACCCGCAGAGATGAAAATTTTCCCACGTTTTTTTTACATTTCCCGCTACTACTTCGCTCATATTAGTGACAGCGCGATGTTTTATAGCCTATAGCCTTCCTCAATAAATGTTCTTACTAACACAAAATGAATTTTTAATTCGAACCAGTAGTTCCTGAGATAAGCGCGTGCAAGCAAACAAACAAACTCTTCAGCTTCATATATTAGTATAGATTAATTAAATTAAATTTTTTTAGTCCATTTCTGGACAGTGGCATACCTTTCTGTTTATCATTGTAGAATCCGAAAAACAAAATGGAAATGGTTCTAGGAATTTTGCAATTTTAACCGATAAAGTTCAAACATATACTGTATACAGCGAAAGCCGTGAAATTATAGCCGTAGAATTTTTCGATACCGAAAAATGCGAAATATATTACCTACAGTACATTTGCAATCCGACGTTTGAGGTTTTTTACAGTTGAAGTTGCAGCAGATGGATATTAAAGTAAATTTATTAATTAATATAATGCCATCATATGCCATATTAACTAATATATTTCGTGTTTAAAACAATTTAAGTTTGTTCGTTGTGTTCTTGCAAGAAAAATAGACGAGACTACACAACCGACATGACCGCCTCTGTAGCCAAATGGTTAAACGTATTGCCTTGCATTGCGTTAAGCGCGGGAGGGGTCCTGGGAAAAAAAATGTTTTTGTCGGCCAGGGCCCAGAAGTCTAATCAACTACTTGCCTGTTAAAGAACGGATCAGTGAAACGAACACAAAAATGTGTTCGCCCCATGCCCCACGAAGGGGAAACGGGATTTCACTTCACACAAAAGACATATTTAATTCATTATACAAACTTCTGTAAAGCTCCATGCCCCTTCATTACTAAAATTTGTTATTATTAAATACTGTTTGTTACGCGAGTAGTACTCATTTAAATAAAACACTTTAAACGATATATTTTAGTTAAACTTGTTTGAAAATTATTTTTAACCCCGATGTTTCCTACTTTTGTTATTCTTATAATGTCCCACGGCTGGGCTCTCAAATAGGAAAGGCTTTTAAAAACTCATTGGTGGTTATGGGACCGACAACGTAACGTGCTTTAGAGGCTGATAGCGTTCTTCCAAGTTTCTTTTTATCTTCCTCTTTTTTATGTAGTTATTAAGCTAACAATTAAGTTATTTTGTTGTATTCTTTATGTTTTGCGAAAGATATAGTTTAAGTTTATTTGCAGTCGATTGCACTTACCGCTATATGAACTAGATAGTTGCGGTTTTATTTACTTTGAACACTTCATTCCAGCCTTCAAAGTGGTATGAATTAAAAACTCTCCATTTAGTATATTTTGAGCGTAGCCTTCGACTTTCAATGATAGATGAAAAGCTCAAAGCCCCGACTGAAGTTGAAATGTCGGTTATTTTACTTTGCGACCTCAAAGTAGAGGAAACGTCATATCTCTTGCTGTATTAATTTTCAACTCGGAAATAGTTATTAAGCGCAAGTTGATATATCATACATTTATTTACATTCAAAATCCGAAATTAAAATTATATCATTTGTGATAAACATTTACAGTCGAGCATAAAATACAATATGAATAAATTTATATTTGGTATGGTGGCTGAATTAAAGAAATAAATCATAGCTACATTTTTTTATAATAATTCAAGATTAAATTCAAACGCATATATGATAAATATGAATAAGAAATATCCTTTCTTAAATATTGTGTATAGTTTACGCAAGTTGTACACCGTGAAAAGATAAGCTTTTAATGGTTAAAAACTCTGGTGAAGCTCTACAAAATTATATCACAAATATATATAATGTGATTCCTTAATAAGTAATTAACTAACAATTTTGTTGTTAAAAAGAGACTTCATTTTATACGACACTTTTGAAGCACTTGTTAATGACTTGGTAGCGATGCACGGCTATTGATCCGTATCGCGGATTCAAACCCCAACAACATGATTCTAACTTATTTATATATTTTTTTTAAACATGTTAGACTCGTCTGGAAATTTCCGTTTGAACTAGATGGCAGGGATATCGAAATTAAATCAAAACGCCACCGTCCTGAGAGGAAAAAAGTAGTTTAATCACGTTTCGGTTTCAGTCTGTGGATTTGCGCATATACAAATCCAAAAGAGGTCGACAGTACATCTTGTTTCGACTTTGCATGGCTGCGGTATTTCACCTTTCACCCAACATTGCCTCCATGCTTGTCTATATCATAAAAAAACACCTTTAATTTCGTAAACACTTTTCCTTCCAAGTGTACGGTATTTGTACCTAACGTACATATCGACATATTCTAATAACAACCATTGTATTCTTGAAGCTACCTGAACACTACATTTCTAAGGTTTATTTCTTTTCATAGATATTGATATGTTATGAAATGTTGAAACTATTATTCTCAGACTATTCAATACCTCTGAAAGATAAGGCTCGAGGCTTGGTAGGGAAAGCCTTTGTACCTCGTCGTTTCAGTAAGGTGGTTTAACTAGATACGAATAGGTAGAGAAGAGATTACAATATAGTATAATAAATCTAATAAAGGAATTTACCCAACGGAACAATCGCTCACGCGAAAGTTTGCGCGATACAAACGCCGGTGGATCTAGCGATTGAAACAAATGTATAGCGATTTTAATACCTAGTAATTAAGTCACACAGAGCCGCGATCGGCGAGCTAAAAGTATTATTGACTATAAATAAAGCCACGAAGTCGCGCGAATTGTCGCTGAACAATGTCTGAGATACAAGTTGCCAAAAAATTTACCCGCAACTGGCAATCAATAAAAAAATAAAAATGTATTTGTCTATTATCTATTCAATTAAAAATGTATTGCGGTTCGTTAGTCTCGCTTAAACTCGAAAACGGCTGAACGGATTTTTTTATCTTGGTCTTGAAATGTTCGTGGAAGTCTAGGGAAGATTTAAAAGGTGAAAAAAATTAGAACAATTACCTATCGGGAAAATTCTCAAAACAGGCCATTTCTATATTTGTAATTTATTACCGCTGCATAAAGTTTTAATCCGCATTTAATCTTATTAATTAGTTGGTTGTCAAATCCATTGTCAAATATTATGATTGCGTTGAGAAATTTAAGATTCATCAATAATCTGACAGATTGAATTAACAAATGAACACGCACACTTCATGCTTTTTTCAAAAGATATTTTTTGTATACTGATTCGATTGTGTTTATTTTAGAGTCATTTTACACAGTTTTTTATTTATAGATAAGGCAGTACGAAGTCTCCCAGGTCAGCTGGTTATTGATAAAATTGTATTTATCCATTTAATGAGCCTAGAAAATGGGAAGTTTAACAAGAAAGCTTACGCCAATTGTTATTACAAAAATTTAAGAAATCGAGAAACAAATTCGTGGAATCTATCTTTAATTTAATATACAACATATTATCTCAACTATCGTAGAGTTGGTACAAAAGACAGAAGGAGGAGTTACAATGTAAGATTGGGCTGACTCAACTGACTGCGGAACAAGGAAGTTTTAATGTCGTTTAGCAGAATAGCAAAACTCAGAATGCGGAGTTTCAGAAACCAAAAGTAATTGACGGACTCGGTGCAATATATAATTATAATTAACTTGTAATGGTTTCACGAGTCACCATCCACAGATAAAAAAAACATTTTCAAAATAAGTAGAGGGCGCATTTTGTTTAGATATCATATGGCTGTGTTATTTCAATTACCATCAATTACCTATCCTCATCTATATTAAAAAAAAATGCAAGACTAAACTATAAGCTGAATAAGTATAATATTTAAGTCAAATATATTTGTTTGCGAGTAGTACAATTCTTTAAATATCCTAAGTGAATCCTTATTGTAATCTCAATTACTACAAGGAAAGATGTTAGTATAAAAACAGTCACAAGCATTAAGCACTTTTGTTTTTCCTATAAATTAGTAGTACGAATTAAAACAAAAAAAGAATCTAACCGTTTAAAACGTTACATTTTACCGTTTGAGTATTTTTGCTTTATGAAATCGTAAGAACAGCATATACAAATTAGTTATATCACAGTTTATTTTATTTTACATTACAATAACTATTACAAAAGAACTATTTAAAATTTTAGATAGTCATGTAGAATTTTTCAGGGACCAAACCAAATAGGTTTGTACAAAGGCACTTTTCTATAAAAGTGG